TTGTACTGAGAAGAACCGGCAAGAAACTCAGCAAGGGCTATTTTTTTCTCCCTGTATTATTACATAATAGACACGTCAAGTTGAAAAATGCCTTTAGAGATAAAGCCACCTTCCATTACATAATTTAGAATATAGCTATATACAAGTTTTATTGTGAGCTTTACATTTTTGGTAGGTATATAGAAAGCGGCTTCAGATACCACATTATTGTTATGAAATGTACTTATTACATTACAAGAAACACTATGTCCATGCATTACGATCATTAAGATGATCATCTACCTTATAATAGCCCTTGCTCATAAGAGTATTCTTGATCTGAGATTTAAATTTGCTCAGAGGAAGCTCAATTACATCTTGGGGAACTTCATCAAACAGTGCAATACTACAACCCATAAATGAACCCCTTGATTTTTGGAGTCTAAAACATGGAACGGCAGGCTTGTTCTTAAAACTTATGTTAAAGTCATGGGTTGGACTTATTTTTGCAAATGCGTCATAGTTTTTTCTTATATTTATTATATTTTGGTAAATGTATTGCGATGCCAGTGTTAAAATATTAATTTCTTTGATTTTTTCTCTAATAGAATCTCTTGCCTTCAAGTTGTATATAGCGCGAACAGCTCTCTCTCTCTCATAGAGTATGATAAGGATATACCATTTCCATTTATTTGTTGAGAAAATTAGTGAAGTATATTGTTGTCTAGAGATGCTGACGGGGTTATGTGGATTTTAGATTATTGCCCCTACCACCAATATCCCTATCTAACTGTCTTCATTGAAATTGTATTTTTTTAATGTTTTTATAAATAATCAGTCAATGGTAGTCATTCTCAGAGCAAGGTGCCTTAAATCCACAAAATAAAACTAAGATAAGATAACATGGTTTCTAAATAAATAAATATTTCCAACGCTCACGCCAATCAGCCTAGCCCCAAAGTAAGCACTGTAAGGCTTGTGTTATGGGACGCTAGGGTAACGGATAGAATACATATACTGAATATATATAAGTATATTTATACAGAAATACATATTAAACATCCATGACTGGAGTACAAATGCTCGTATTCATCACACAAACATTTGCCCCCACCGAGATTCGAACCGGGACCTCTCGAGTCGGCGACACCATGAAACCCGGCGTACAAACCACTCGGCCACGGAGGTCGTCAAAAAGCTTTAGTTTTGCTCCTAGCTTACTAGACGACCACGACCACGGCCAGTCGTAGTCGTGGCCGCAACCTTGGTCGCAGAAGATACGGTTAGGCTGTGGCAGTTTGCGGCCACGACCATGACTGGCCGTAAAGCGGCACAGTGCTGGTCGTTTCTCAATTTATTAATAAATAACTCTGTCACAAAAATCTACGCAGAAAAAGGGTAGTCACATTGAGTTGCAGAACGATAAGATGCGTGTTCTGTTCACTCACGAACATTCCACGGTTGGTCGTGGCCTGGCCGCATTCGCGATCCCAGATCTAGTGCGCGAGCACTCGCTCATAGCAAACCAAACCTCGTAAGTTAGCCGCAACGACCAGTCGTGTCGGCCCGGTATGCGGCCAAGCGCGCGACGTTCATACTTAGGGTTTCTTTACTTAATCTGGTAGTCTGGTCGTGGTCGTAGCCGTCTTGTGCACGTGGTGCCATAATATCGAATGATTTCTTATAATAAGATAAGGGATCGATAAATATATCGGATATAAATCGATATAAGTCTTGTTACTATCTTTTTACCTACCTTTTTTTTTTTTTGACGATGGAAAATGCATTTACGCACCGTACCGCGCGCTGGCTGGGCACGCGGCGTGTGTGGGACTCCCCGGCGCGGAACAACGCCGGTCCTACCCACTAAAAACCACCGGTACCCTCCTAGGCCCATATGGGGGCGTCTCAGGATCGACGCACCTTAGTGTGCGCCACTTCACTGGGACGCCTCCGGATCTTCTTACCTACCTATTTATTGTATGCCAAATGGGGCTGATCATGGCTACACAATTTAACACCCATGTAGCTTTTTATTTAACCCGTGTATCACAAATAAAGTATTTGATTGATTGACCTACTTCATAAAATGATCATCATAAAGTTTGAAAATTGGAACCGTTGTAAAGTTTGAGATCGTTATAAAGTTAGTTAATGGGGTAAATTTGAAAAGTTATGTACTTATAATTCTGTATAGGTAAATCACAATTTAATTACCATGAAAATTGTTAATTTGTGTTGCTAAGTATTGGCGTATAATGCTGCTCGGGCGCGCGTGGGCATGTGTAATGCATCCGCTATAGTTTTTCTTTGTGATAAACCGTGATAACATTATTATACGCATAATATATTAATAGTAGGCCTAGGTAGATATATTACTCAGAAATGTGTATTGCGTTTCATGTGATTAACAAGGTCTTGCATTATTATAAGGTACTATCGTGGAATTTTGCGCTCTGCCACTTGTCGGACAAAATACTTTGAACGCACAGATATAGACGTAACCGCCTCACGAAGAAACACGAGGTTGTCCCGAGGCGAGGCGATTACGTTACGATTCCGATTAGCGTGCGTTACAGTACGGAGTTTCTTACAAAGAACACTGAATAGCACGAGTTGAAACGTTAAAATCCCCATTTCTAGTTCATATGTCTGGTACGACCTCAAGATGTAAACCTACGAACAATAAAACGCGTATTTAATTATTAAGGGACGGGATATTAAGAATTTAAAGAGTGACTGATATATTTCATTATTTCAATTAATTTGTCACACTCGATAATTCAATATACACTGTAAGCAAGTCAGTATTTTCTTATCTCGAAATAGTTAAGAGCTCCAATAGGTCCTACTGTGTTGGTAACTCCGTCTTTGAGGGTCCAATGAGCACCATGTTCTTGATGGCGGTCGAATGGGTACTATCATGTTAGTAAGTACCAATTATGAGTGTCCAATGGGCACCATGTTCTTGATAGGAGGTCGAATGGGTACTATCATGTTAGTAAGTAAAGTACCAATTATGAGTGTCCAATGGGCACCATGTTCTTGATAAGAGGTCGAATGGGTACTTTCATTTTCGTAAGTACCAATGGGCACCATGTTCTTAATAGGAGGTCGAATGGGTACTTTCATTTTCGTAAGTACCAATTATGAGTGTCCAGTGGGCACCATGTTCTTGATAGAAGGTCGAATGGGTACTATCATGTTAGTAAGTAAAGTACCCATTATGAGTGTCCAATGGGCACCATGTTTTTGATAGGAGGTCGAATGAGTACTTTCATTTTCGTAAGTATCAATTTTGAGTGTCCAATGGGCACCATGTTCTTGATAGGAGGTCGAATGGGTACTTTTTTGTAGGTAAGGTCCAAATATGAAGGTCCAATAGGTGCTAGACCCGAAACACGACCAGGGGATAATAAATATCTAGGTACTATCAGATAATGACAAGACGTACTTGTTTCAATAAATATGCATAAAGCAATATTGAACTAATAAATGAAAAAAAAACGCCTATATATAGATAAAAGAGAAAAATCGATACAAGTCTCATGTGAGTGTCCAGTGTCAACCCCATATTCACGAACAGTATTCACCTGGGACGGCAAACAATCTCGAAGCAGGTTCGAACTCTAAAAGCTTTAGGATATTCTGAGCTCCTTGAAATCTACAAGGATAAAGGAAAAACAAAGCGGCGAATCAGATAGCTTGTAGTGACTACAACTTTATCAGAAAAAAAAAACTGCACAGCGACAAAATCTGACTGCCAAACGTATGTTTGTATCTTTGTTCTTTTGAACGAAAAAAATATTTTGCAAGCCTACCGAATTCCATAGTCTTTTTGCATTGAAATCTCAACACTACTATACTATATACGCACGTGCGGAGCACGGATAGATCTCTGCAGAAAAATAAAACAAATATTAGGTACCATCTCCTATAATAATATGAAATTATTTATCGTGTGGCTGTTATTCCACAAAATGTCGCGGTTTGTTTTTTTTTGTTTTAATCTATTTCCGTCCACGAAACATTATTGATTTTGATTGAGCTCGCATAGAGATTTGCGGTGCTATTCTTAAATACATCTCGACGTTGAACTCGCGCACGAGACTGTCTTTACAGCCTCGCCTTTGACCGTGCTCCGTCTAAAGGAAAGCAATGACGTGGCCTGAGATGGAGCACGCTCGCCTAGGAGGAATCTATACAATCGTGATTTGGATAGACCCAAATTGTAAATATCAGGAAAAAGAGCAACGAATTGGCCTGGGTTGTTTGCAATAAAAAGGTAGAAAAAAGCGCTTGCTAAGTGTATCTTCGTGGAATAGCTGTGAATGCAGAATTAATAAGCGAAAGAGGTGTGCCTGAATAATTCCAAGGGAAAATAACTATCTTCTACATTAATGCAGTTAATTGATCATATTTTTTTCTCTCTTTCTCTGAGATGCAGGCAAGTGTATTTGAAAATAAACAATGAATTTGTAATTGTTTGTGTGCCGCAACGTTGTAACCGAGTTTGATTACTTACTGAATAACGCCGCTGTCCTGCTTGTAGATTCATGGTCCGAACAATTTTACGACTCGACCTTTACTGGTGATAGTCGTAAAACGAAATAGCAATGTGTTACTAGTACCATTGAATCACAGTAAGTCAGTGCCACTGTCATCGATTCTGAAATTCCCGACGTTATGTCATCAAATTGTGTTATTGTTTTACGTTTTATGTAACTCAAATGTTATCCATCTACTTCATTATCCTCCAATAGACTTTTATTATCTTAACTCGATATGTTTTTCTCCCTTAGCACAAACACAGTTATTAGAGAACGCACGTAACACGTTATTACACATCAAGAAACTTGCAGTGATGTTTAAGGTTTGGCTGCATTGGCTCATTGCCCATCTAATCAGCCAGTATTTCGCTTTAATAAAAACTGTTTTTTCACTTGTCACCGTCATTTCTTAAAACAGCGTATATTGTAAGTGAAAAAGCGTACCTAATGCGACATTCTGTTTGTCAACAGCCATGAAAATGACCACATCCACGTCGGCAACGATGACCGCGCGTGTGCACAGAAAGGTCATAAGGGCGCCACATAAGCGCGCACACCCGGGCAAGACTACACACGCGGGCAAAATACTGCACGCTGGCAAACTTCAGGGAAAGCTGGTCCACCCGGGCAAACTGCTCCCCACTGGCAAAATGGCCCACCACCTGGGCAAGTTCGGAAAACTCGCACACTACGCTTACACACATGCCCTGCGGCCTCCAGAGCCGTGCGAGAACAGTAACGATAGCGGCCTTGGTCCAGACCCGATCAACAGGTGAGTGTTGGACCGTTATCTTGGCCCCCTCTTCCCAATGAGTCACATACTCCACTGCTGTTACTCCTTGGGAGAGTTACTACGTGGTCATGACACTTGCAACAGTGCCGAAATTACAGGGACACGCAAAAAACAAGGTACATGTTAACAATTCAAATAACATAAATTACTAAAACTAGTGACCAACAAAACAATACAAAGTTGGTTAGACATTAAATAAACATCCTAAAAGGCACACTCCAATATTTTTGTCACGCAAGTCCCAAACTTGAGTGTTGTGACTCTTTGGGAGAAATGTATTCCAAATTTCTAATACAGTCCCATTGATGCAGGGGACGGCAATAATTTCTTCCCATAAGTAATATTTTTCGGTGCATATTTTTAAAGGAAACAGCTTTGTTATTTTGAAGCTTAGAAAAATTTATACAAACATGTTTTGATCATCTTTCGACCAAGTATTGTGCCTTGGGAGACCGCTAATTGGACACTGCTTGTATTATGTGCATGAGTAAGTGTGCTAACATCGTTATAAAGGAATGCGCGAACTGATAATTGCTGAATATTCGATGTGCTTATATATGAAGTCATTCATTGTCATCGTTAAACTGTGGTTTATTTGTACAAGTTTGAATGTTATACTTTTACGCTCACGGAAGTTTAAGATTATAATATGCTCATTTATTATAGAAGCTAGTTACTTAATACATAACTTCGATTAATACCCTCACTTGATGGGAGTTGGCAGAAACCATCTAGGGTACGAAAACTAGAGACGTAAAATAAACATGGTGACCAATCATACTCGTAGCAACAAATGAACGTTGCCAGCAGGGCCAGCTTTAGAGATACGGGGGCTCCTAAATCTGGGCCGGATAGCTGCATAATTTGCATTCAGGGGGGGCTGCCCCTCCTGGTTTGATGACCTCTGTTGTGCCCTTCTCTTGTGGGTCCCTGGGCATCATCATCATCATCATCAGTCTATTAATGTCCCCACTGCTGGGGCACAGGCCTTCCCTATGGATGGAATAGGGAGATTGGGCCATGACATGGGCATGCCCTGCCTTAAATCTGACCCTGGATGCCAGAAATTGCATTAGTAGGTGGCTGAATTGTGACGGATTGCCAGCAGGTATCGACAATATATACGTTCCGAAATGATCCAGCATCATTTTGGAACATGCACTGGCTCCTCCCATTCTAGCTCAACATGTTAATTTTTTTTATACGTGACTAGGGACCCACAGGCTTTGAATAGTGAATATAATTTTAACGTGATATAATAATATAGCTTAAATGTCACTCAGTCCCTGTAGCATGAGCACCACAATTTACATTGGATCACGTCTTTTATCGCCTCTCACTGTCAAACTCCATGGTAATTTGACAATTGAGCGTGATAAAACCGGGCTTTATATCATATCGCGGTGTTCAGGTCTGTACCCGTAGTATGAGCACCACAATTTACATTATATCACGTTTTTTATCGCGTCTAACTGTCAAACTCCATAGTAATTTGACAATTGAGCGTGATAAAAACGCGTTATATATCATATCGCGGTGCTCATGCTAGGGGGGCAAGAATAATGTAGCCTTCTACTAAACAAAACAAGTTTCAACTGCATAGATGAACTGATTTATTTATTTATTTATTGCTGTGTCGCATCCTTTTCAGGATGCGTCGTCTAAATTATGAATTCTAACAGCGCATCCTGAAAAGTATGCGAAACGTCATAAATAAATAAATCAGTGCATCTATACCGTTGACAAGAGGAGGAGCTCGATGGCGCAAGTGGTTAGCGCGTTCGACTGCGATCGTTGAAGTTAAGCAACTTTCGCAGTGGTCGGTCATTGGATGGTTGACCAAAAAATTTACTATCTTGAGATTCCTCCGTGTTTCGGAAGGCACGTTAAGCCGTTGGTCCCGGCTACATCTGCAGTCGTTAGTACCCGCCAATCCGCACTGGGCCCGCGTGGTGGGTCATGGCCCAATCTCCCTATTCCATCCATACGGAGGGGCCTGTGCCCCAACAGTGGGGACATTAATAAGCTGATGATGATACCGTTGATTAACTTGTTTTATTTAATGAGTGGTGTGCGTGAAAACCTGAAAAAGAAATAGCCTTCTACTATTGAAAGATTTTTTTAAATCGGTACAGTAGTTCCAGAGATTATTTTTTACAAACAAAATTTTCAGTTTTTATCTTTTAATAACAGTGTTGATGTATTTGTACATACCTACAGACTATAATAATGTGTGTAAAAAATACTAGGTATCTTTAGTTGCAGTCGTAGGAAATTATGTAAACAAACATGATCCATCAAGTTACATAGTGACAAATGAATTTATCGTTTATAATATTATGTGTTTACCCAATCCAATTTATTTATACAATAAGTAGAATACCGGTAATACGAAACTATTTCAATTATGCTGACTGTTCTGTACCCTTAGCACGAACCAATATCGAATTCGAATAGTTTGCGAGTCCGAAATGTCAGTGTCCAATGTGTACTGATTTTTAGTTCTCGCTACGTCCGTTGTGGCTCTGCTGTTTGACAATGACATTTTGTACTCGCAAACTATTCGAATTCGATGGAATTCGATAATGGTTAGTTCCAAGGGTACTGCAGTACAGGGATCGTAACAAGCTGTTTTTTTTTGTCTAGTTTACTTTTCTTTAGATTTAAACATCTAGCAGTTAAATGCTTAAAAATAAATAAAAACATAACTATAATTGCTATCTATATATAGCTCTTTCAAAAATGTTTAATACTTGAAAAAGTATTCATTTGACATTGTGGGTTACCTACAATGCGAAGAGATGGCACTGCCTTGCAGCTGAAAGCTAGGAAAATTTAGACGCGGCCAATAGGGCCGTGTTAGCATAATGGTCAGTGCATTCGCCCGGATTGCGAAGGGTGCGGGTTCGAGTCCTGACCGCTGCCTGGTCCGCGTGGATTTTTTTTTTCTAATAAACTTTTCTTTAGATTTAAACATCTAGCAGTTAAATGCTTAAAAATAAATAAAAACATAAGCTGGTTCAATATTTAAAGCTTTCGTTCATTCGAATTTGTAATACGCACGCATGCTTGATTTATTGTTGTTTTCGTTCAGGTCTAGTTTGCGTTATTCATCGAATCCAAACCGAAAGCTGTAAACCCTTAAATGTTTGTTTACATAATTTTAATATTTAGCACGTGCCGGCGACTATTGTCAACAACATTATTGATGCGTTTCAATATTTATGTAGTAGGTACCGTTTTGAGTTACGTCGCAATGATAGATGGTCTCGTGGTGGTGAAAGGATAAGTAAATAATGATAATTATATTTTTTATTTTTTAAGCATGTAACTGCTTTATGTTAAAATCTAAAGAAAATATAACTAGAAAAAAATTGTGGGTTACGTACAATGCGGAGGGATGGCGCTGTCTTGCAGCTTAAGGATGGCTAGAAGAATTTCGACGCGGCCATCAGAGCCGCGGTAGCATAATTGGTCAGTACATTCGCCCGGATAGCGAGGGGTGCAGGTTTGAGTCCCGTCTGCTGCCTGGTCCGCGTTTTAATTTTTTCTAGTTATATTTTCTAAATAATGATAAGTTTGTCGTGTGAAGCGGGTCGTTACTTTCCTTAAAATATGGTTGAGCGAAGCGATAGCTGATTCATGTGTCATGCTCGTGAACGGGTGCTGCCAGCGAAGATCAGTCCTGCTCTATAAGTACTACTTTACTACCGAAAAGAATTCGACTCGGCCTTTAGGGCCGTGGCAGCATAATGGTCCGCCCGGATCCGCCCGGATGGCGGAGAGTGCGGGTTCGAGTCCCGTCTGCTGCCTGGTCCGCGTGGATTCTTTTCTAGTAACATTTTCTTTAGATTTAAACATCAGTTAAAACAGTTAAATGCTTAAAAAGTAATAAATATAAGTAGTAAACCTAGCCCAGCCATAAGCTCTGTTACAAATGATAATGCATTTTTTTACGAAGTAATGTTTTATTATTAAAATTTATACCTACAAACCTTTAAGGTGTATGGCTTAATAAAGAATAAAAAAGAAAAAAAAAAATTATACCTACATATTTATTAAAGTCTGAGCAAAAATTAAAAAAAAAACAATCTATTCGAAATGGCCTTGATGACCTTTGGCTTATACGGGACTTTAATCTGTTTGGCCACGAATCTATGGATTTACGGACTGTTTCCAAGGATAATTTCGACACTGCTTGCTCCAAAGATTTTTTAAGAGACTCAATGTCTCCGTGTTGTTTAGAGCAGGCCATGTCCTCTAAAACTGAACATAAGTTGAAGTCCAAAGGGTTGAGGTCTGGCCTAGATGAGGTTCAGTCTTCAGCTAATATAAACGTTGGTTTCAAGCCAGGCTTGGGTGAATTGAATTTTTGAATTATGATTTTTTTTTATTTGTATTATAAAAACATAATGTATATACAGTTACATTATAACATGATAGTAATCGATATTAATAGACTATGCAAGGCGCTTTTTTATATCATTCAAACATCGAAAATACACTGTAAAAATCATACATAAATTTACTAATTTAATAGGGAACATGTATGTTCATTATTATTTCACTTTGCGGCGCGAAATAAATACAATATTTAGTAAAATAATGTTACAAAACAACAATGATAGCAGAGTGCCAATGAGGGTATTTATATTTCCCTCTGATAAACTTGAAAGTAGCACTAACAAGCCATTGCCACGGTAATACATTGCTGCAGCTATGAATACAAACGGACACAATCTCAAGATACCCACGATAGGATTAAAGCTACCGTCGGATAGTCAGTGCGGTAGGGTAATTACGCTATTCGAAGTAGTTGAGGAAATAGTGATGAGGCAATCGATATCGAGAATAAGTTTTAGCATAATGCAAGGTGCACAGTCGCGATTCAGGCTTGGGTAGTTCGGGCCTTGTGACCAGGTGCAGAATCCTGCTGGAAAGTCCACGGTATATTTTTCAAAAAGTGTTTTACTGAGAGGTTTTACAACATGATCCAAGACTGCAGCTTGATACACTTTGGCTTTTTACTCCTCTTTCACAAAATGTAGTTTTGTGACTCCTTGATAAGACACGACACGCCCCACTAAACCATCACTGACGCAGGATGATGGACCACGTAGTACCTTACCGACCACTTGAGCAGCTTCTTTAGAACTGTGAGCGTGCACTTTATCATTTTGCTTATTGTTGTGTTCTTCAATCGTGATTTTTTTTTCATCGGTAAAGAGGATATTTCTGTGCTTTTCACCTGCTTATCGCGACAGAGGGCGTTTTGATCGATCCACTCTCTTTAATTGTAAAGATTGATTTAGGACACTTCCTGTATATCGACGACAAGCACCGAGCTTCAGGTCTTGTGTTATAATAAGCGACAGAGTCCTAGCGGGAATCATCATTTCTCGCGATAAGATTTTTTGCTTCCTAATGGGGTTTCGACGAATTCTGGCTTTAACAGCATTAACAGCCTTTGTAGTTCTAACATCAGGCGGCCGCCCCGATCTTTTCTGGTCTTCGACAGACGATATACCAACATACGGCTGATACCAAGCTTTTGAAGTGTCTGGAATATGACTGACGGCTCCATACCCACTTTGTGTAAGGCGATAACTGCAATCCTATTTTCTTTAACACCCCATTCCATATTGTAATTTGATAATGAAAACAAAAAAATATGAGAAATGGCGCAAAATCGAAAGGAGTTTTTAAAGTAATACGTGTCCCAAATTCAAAATAATTAAAAAGTTAAAAAAAAGTATGTAAAAATATTTATGGCCAGACAGACTAGTGATATTTATGTAATGTACCTTTTTTAAACACGCTGCTGTTACTACTGATGTTGTTTTGCAAAGATTGAATTTTGATTGAATTTTGAGCATTGCCAACATTTTTTTATATTGTTCGCATGTTCAGGTCAGTTAATTCAGTGGATTCGTGAACGTTTGTTGCCATTTATATTTGGAAGGATAACATAGTTCTGCGCGAATTCTTAGCAGCGACCTTGTGAGGTGCGTCATAATATGAACAAATATACACCTCAAATAGGGCTACCAAATTAGAATTTAAACGTCAATTTAATATAACTTTTTTGACAAACTTTTCTTTTGTTTCTTTATTAACGAAAATAACTTTTCAGCCAATGATTTTAATCTTACTTTATACTTCTTTATAAATGATTTTGATTAAGGATTTATCAACCGATACGATACTTAGAAACAGCTGTAGCGTTTGAATTTTAGCTATACTTATTCGATACAAATGAGTTGTATTATGTCTTCAATTTGAAAAAAATAGTTTTTAATTTATAGTACTAATGTGGGGTATTTTTATCATTCCTACCAACTATATAGCATGGAGTTATATTGTTACGTGTCGGGATGGGGTTCGAAATGATATGCCTGTTCAGGCTTGACAGTTCTTTATTATTCAACACACAGTTCTTAAACACACAATACTACACTCACTATTCACTTTAAAAGTTTTTAAACAATCGCACGATAACTTTGCTTGTACTTTGATCGCCTTTGTATTCGTTCCAACATCGCTGTCGAAACTCATTTGATTCGCTTTATAAGTCAATTGTCCACTGAGCTTTATTTTGTTTCCTCCCAGGCGGGGATCTAGTGTGAATTCCTCAAGGATACCCTACCAGCCGGCTGCAAGGTTATGTCAGACTCCTACTGACTAAAACACACCCGTAGTTCATGCTTCATGCTTATGGCCGGAAGGGCATTACAAGCTTCATCTGAAGCGATCTTCCTCTGAGAGCGGGATGATGCAGCGCTGCGTTAGTTTAAACTAATGCTTAGTATAAATAATGCATAATGCGCTAGAGGAACGGTCACTCGACACGGGAGGGGGCTGTGCGGCCTCGGGCCTCTAGGTGTTTGGGCCACTGCGCGGCGTCAAACGCGCTTATTATGTACGCCAAACGACGCATTCCAGAAAAGACGAGTACGTATTTACCTAGGTATACGTAGGTAACGCGTATGAGTTTGTAAACAAGTTCAGATGTCGTTGCACATTGATTGTAGACAGCCCTGGTTACATGTGGTCACCAGGCAGGGCCTCGTTTGGCATGCGCGCGCGCCGCTCTCTGCGTGCTGATAACGAACGACTGTAGGTAGACAGATAAGAGATACGTCAGATCAGACCGTTATTCTGCTTTATCTTTCATAACACGAAGCTAAGTACGTTCACATTATTAACTTGACCGATTTTCATTAAAAACTTGAAAAAATAAACATTTTATTCCGGAGGTACTTACATCTTATATTTGGCCAATAAAATTAGACAATTTGTAGGCACTATCTTATGATAAGATTTATGAAAGTAGGGAACTCACACGCTTAACTCTGTATCCCCTTTATTTTTCTGATTAAGATACATCTTTAGATCTTCGCACTAAGTGAACGAACAATTAAGTTCGCAATATTTAGATTCAATAATAAAAAAATATCTGTGAATATTAAAACGAAACCTCAGACAGGTATACTGAATTCAATTAACGCGCTTACTTTTAAATGTCAAACCAAATGTTTACAATTCTTGCCTGGGCCATACCACAAGCAATCAAATTACAACTAAATTAAGTTAATGTAATGATCTGCCCTCTTACAACCTGGGATCCTTTAAAAGAGGCTAAAGAAGTACGAGTAACGTGCAGGCCCGCAGGGTGAGGATGGCTGGTGTGACAGGTAGAACTGCTGTACCAGCTATCTTCGCGTCTGGTCTCCACTGTCACCTAACATCAGGTGGGGTGGAGTCATTTGTCGCAATTATCTATAAAAAATAAAAACAATATTGTTTAACCTTACCTTAACTCATCTATAATAATTTATCAAAAAAGGTAACCGTTACTGACTGAGTGATTTATTAATACAGAGTTCAAACCACTTCAAGGGATTGCGCTGTAATTTTGCATGCAGATTGTTATTATGACGTAAGCATCCATCCGCTAAGTAAGCATTCACCCACAATTAAAGGATTAAAATTGGGGATGAATGTATATTTTAAACTTCGTCATTTTAGAATAGACGTCTGAAAATTAGTAAATTTGGTAATGGATTTTTTGTTACTTACCGATAAATTACTTTTCATGGATTTATCCCTTAAGGGCTTAAATGAAAACAAAAAGGGAAGATACGGTACGCTTCTACTAGCATCAAATAAAATATGCTCCGACTCAACTACATAAGCAACTCACACACACGCATATGTCTGTAAATAAACATACAATCGAGCGAGCAAGACAGAACTGTGCGCTTCAACGCAGCGCGAGCGAAACGGCGAGTCCACATCCGAGTCCGCATGGCTGAGCTGTATTATTGTCCTTTTCTTGATTACAAAATGTTGTGATACGTAAATTTGAGAAAAAAATGTTTATACAGTTTTAAAAAAAATCTAAGCTTAAGGGGTAAAAAATTAATGTGATATAAATAGAGGATCTGTGTGAAACTTCGTCTATTTTGAAAATAAAAATCTGATAATTGGAATAGAAGTTTATGGATAGCAATATGTATTTTTTGTTAAATTTGTTCATTAACTTAAAGTAGATTATATAAAAATCTTCTACCTGAGAGTTTAAAAAGGGGAGCACAGCACTGCAAGTAAAAAAAACCTATTGTGGCTTTGGCAACTGCGGCTTTAAAATTTGGCGGTAAGCTGGTGCCGCTCGCCGGCCAAAACCAACATGTTTGAATCGACCATATAGGTTTAAAAATACTTTTCCATTAAAATGACGTATACAGGCATATACATCAGAGTCCTAAAGTTTTTTATGATCAATTGGGTATTAGCAAACTATAAAAAGTAATCATTTTAAAATATAATATTTTCAATCCCTGATGCTGTCTTGTCTCGTCTTGAATTCGTAACTGGCATTGATTGGCAACCCAGTCCATAGTTGATTCGAATGCCATAAAATTATCAAGTGCCCCGTGTATACAGATCATCAGACATGTTGGAAGACTGGGACCATGGAGATTTGAAACGGCGGCGAGGCGAGTGCGAGTCGGCCGTTAAGATCGAGTGCGACGACGCTAATGACGCGTATCCTTTCCCGCCTACCGCGCCGGCGCCCGCGCCTGCTCCCGCCCCCGCTACAGCCACTGTGATCGCGCCCCTCGATGCCCCGGCAGACCTCCACACATCAACGCCAGTTCTCTCTACGTCCGTGTATGTCTTCTCTTTAATTACTCCTCGCCCTTTTGATATAGATTTTTATTACTGTACAGCAATAAAATCTACTATCATCAATAATCATTTACAGTTTTCATTACTTTATTACCTCTACGAGTTTTGCAAATATGAAAAAAAAAATTACTTTTGTATGTTTGAGTAAAACGATTTGACTCGTTCACACACACGTTACGGAGATGTTTGCTTTGGTCATCATACCCGGTAATTCAATGTGCTATTTAATTTTATCAACGTGCCTATTAGCTTGTTTGTTTGAAATATAACTGTATTTGTACATTTCATCGTCCATTCCAAACCATGCATGCTTCGCGTGGCTAACAGTGTACTTGCACAAGCAATTAACATATACATGAAAGGGATAAAATAATATTTGACAATTTATCAGTTTTTCAATTTATTTATTAAGTTTTCTTTGCTCGGTCGGTTACAGAGCCAGAGCGAGTTGCAGTATATCTAGTCCAAATATCGGTGAGAACCCGGGGAAGCGCTTCCAAGATCCCTACAGATCGTGCGGGAAGCTGGGCGGGGGCAAGCTCGCGAACAAGTACGCGGGCGGAGGAAGCAAGCTGTCCGGAGCGGGGGGCAAGCTGGGGGGGAAGTTAGGAGGAAAATTGGGGGGTAAATATGGAGGGAAATTGGCGCAGGCGCTGGCCAGGCGGAGAGCGCTCGCGGCGATGTCGCACTCCGGCCCGCCGGGGCTGGCGGCACCACTGAGCAGTCGTTCCAAAGACGGTACGGTGGAGCTCCAAATACTGTGCCAGCCTGAGACGCAGCACAGAGCGAGGTGAGACACTAACCTATACTATTGACAATAATATTAAAATTAATTGATTGCCCGCGACTTTGCCTGCGTATTTTGATTGATTTCCCATGCAAACTTCCACCCCACTTTTCACCCCTTTAAAGGATGAATATTGGGAGAAAAACTATCCCATATCCTTTTCCGGGACTGAAATTATACGTATACCAAAAATCTAAGCGTGAAGAGGTAACAGACAGAGATACACTCTCTCGAATGTTAATTATCTTATATATATTAGAAAAACTTACCAGCGCCACTTCTATTTAAAACATGTCTTAAGTGTCTTTAACTATATAACCTCCTTGCCTTTTAACTTTAGCAATAAATAAATTAATCTTTTCAGATATCAGACTGAAGGCAGCCGGGGTGCTGTCAAAGACAACTCAGGGAATGGATTCCCAATAGTAAAATTAGTAGGATATGACAAACCAGCCGTACTTCAGGTAGGAGCATGTTACTGTTACACTTTGCTCATAGACAACATATAACTGTTATAACTATAGAAGTTTGAAGTATAACGTATCCATTAACGTATAAAAACAAGTAGACTCAAAATCGCGCTCCAAAAGTGTTGTCGGAAGAAATATAACGCCGGCGCGTCTATTGTGCGTACATAATTTTTAAACAGTCGTGGTTCCACCGCGCTTTGATTACAACGCTACGCAATGACAAATTTTTCGGTTAAAAACTGTGCAAATGACACCAGATCCTCACTTAAAGAACATGGAGTGTGGGTTTTTAAGTAAGTATCCCTTTATAAAAAATGGGTCCGGCCGTTACGGACCCATTCCGCGACACCCGGGCCGGGACGCACTCATAGTGAAAATTTCGTTTTTCCGCTACACACCCGGCCTTAACGCACCTGTTTTAAAATACCCGGTTTTTTGAAAGGAAACTTATTCAATACAGTTGAAAACAAAACTGTTTTTAAAGTGAATGAAAGTGTGGGAATCTTATATATTTAATTTAAATATTTACATTTTATTCAAAATTATTAAAATTAGGTTTAAGTACTCCTCAGTACTCCCTTTAAAAAAATGAAAAATTACATATGTTATAAAAATATATTGGTTATCGAAATGTATACCGAACGGAAACAAGGAAAGGGTAGCTCACCTATTTAGAAAGCGACTTTTAATTATAAGTAATAATAATTATTTAAAAAAAACATACTACATTGTATTTGACCCCTAACCGTTTACAGACCATGTATAAACCTGCTACTACTCTTTCTTAACAATTATGTTCTAAAAAGTACCTTACTCTAGTATTGTTGAAAAAAAAAGAAACTACGGGTTCGTCCCGTCCGGGAACGTGGCGGAATAACATAATTTTTTCCCACGCACGACCCAAAAAAATACGCAACTGTCTTGGCGTTTTCTATCATATTGTTTATTAACCTTAGATTAAAACAAAAAGGGAAGATCCGGCACTCGCGGCTCAAAAGTGATCCGCTTAAATTGTGGTGCATGGCCACAATTCGCTTTAGTCACAATTGGATTTTCAAACACGCTGCATATGCACTCATTATAACAATATTGTGTATATTCTGTGTTATAAAGATAAAACAATACCTTCGATGCCGCGGCAACACTTTTCAGTCGTAAAACTGGAAAAACATTCTTTTTTCAAAATCACGATTTGTTGAATGTTTTTTATGTAATCGCCATTTTAAAGAAAATATAACTAGAAAAAATTCTACGCGGACCAGGTCCGTGAGGGCCGCGGTAGCATAATTGGTCAGTGCATTCGCCCGGATTGCGAAGGGTGCGGGTTCGAGTCCCGTCTGCTGCCTGGTCCGCGTAGAATTTTTTCTAGTTATATTTTCTTTAGATTTAAACATCAAGCAGTTACATGCTTTAAAAATAATAAAAATTATAACTATAATTGCTATTTCTTCTTTCAAATGTTTAATACTTGTAAAAGTATTCATTTGACATTGTGGGTTTACCTATAATGCGAAGAGATGGCGCTGCCTTGCAGCTTAAGAATAGCTAGAAGGAATTTCGACGCGGTCCGTGAGGGCCGCGGTAGCATAATTGGTCAGTGCATTCGCCCGGATTGCGAAGGGTGCGGGTTCGAGTCCCGTCTGCTGCCTGGTCCGCGTAGAATTTTTTCTAGTTATATTTTCTTTAGATTTAAACATCAAGCAGTTACATGCTTTAAAAATAATAAAAATTATAACTATAATTGCTATTTCTTCTTTCAAATGTTTAATACTTGTAAAAGTATTCATTTGACATTGTGGGTTTACCTATAATGCGAAGAGATGGCGCTGCCTTGCAGCTTAAGAATAGCTAGAAGGAATTTCGACGCGGTCCGTGAGGGCCGCGGTAGCATAATTGGTCAGTGCATTCGCCCGGATTGCGAAGGGTGCGGGTTCGAGTCCCGTCTGCTGCCTGGTCCGCGTAGAATTTTTTCTAGTTATATTTTCTTTAGATTTAAACATCAAGCAGTTACATGCTTTAAAAATAATAAAAATTATAACTATAATTGCTATTTCTTCTTTCAAATGTTTAATACTTGTAAAAGTATTCATTTGACATTGTGGGTTTACCTATAATGCGAAGAGATGGCGCTGCCTTGCAGCTTAAGAATAGCTAGAAGGAATTTCGACGCGGTCCGTGAGGGCCGCGGTAGCATAATTGGTCAGTGCATTCGCCCGGATTGCGAAGGGTGCGGGTTCGAGTCCCGTCTGCTGCCTGGTCCGCGTAGAATTTTTTCTAGTTATATTTTCTTTAGATTTAAACATCAAGCAGTTACATGCTTTAAAAATAATAAAAATTATAATCGCCATTTTGTTATGAACTCGAAGCGGACTCGCCGTTTCGCTCGCGCTGCGTTGAAGCGTGCAGTTCTGTCTCGCTCGCTTGATTGAAGGTTTTTATACAGACGTATGCGTGTGTGAGAGTTTCTTACGTACTTTATTTGATGCTAGTATGAGCGTACCGTATCTTTCCTTTTTGTTTTAATCTAAGTTAATTAAATAAAACTAGTTTTTTACGGGTTAATGCACGAAACTTTATTTATTTATTGACATTTCGTAGCCTTTACAGGCTACGTCGTATAAAAAACTAGTTTTATTTAATGAGTGATGTGCGTGAAAACCTAAGAAACAAATAAGTTAATTACATTTTAATAGCTACAACAAAATATGTCTCCCCGTGTGTGCCCCGCGCGTCACGTGTTCGTATATGTCTCTTTCGCACCGTAATCAAACTCTCTCTTTCACTAGTGTATGCAATTGACATTGAACCTTACTGCCACGAGTAAACGTGTCAATTTGAACAAATGTGTTGATGTTATCAGATTATTGAGGTCGATGTATATGCGCCGCTCAGACATTTTTTGATGCACTTTTGTTAGGTGATTGGGAGTCTTGTTTTTATACGTCTATCATCGTATCATAATATTATGATATGAGTAATAATATCCACATAGACATTAATCTTGAAATTCTTAAATGATATTTTCATTAAAATTTTAACATCATATTATAATATTGTTCAGATAAGTGGCGTTTGTGATAAATATATCGACGAATGAATTTTAAACTTACGGTATTTTGATAATTTTAGTTTTTTAATGATGGCGCTCTGATATAAAGACGCTATGATTTCTCAATTGACTAAAATTTCATCATGGATGCCATCTTACATCCACATCCGATACTTATACATTTTTAATACTGCAAAATTTATTCACAAACTTGCGCAATCTATCCGTCTTTAATATCTTCAAACATATTAATTTACCTTTTTAATTATTATTGATTAAAAACCACTGAAATATAAGGTTTCTGTTGATTTCCGCCCTGAAATACGGTCGGCGGCGCCAGAAACTTACTTTTTTTAGAATGAGTATTTTTTGTATGCCAAATGATACATTTGACTTGATAATATTATTTTGGTGAAATGAAAACAGATCAATTATTTGTTAAACAAATTCTTGCCAAAAAAAATGGTAATATTGTTTTTTTGGATAGGGATAATTTAAATAAAACTAGTTTTTTACGGGTTAGTGCACGAAATTTCGTGCATTAACCCGTAAAAAACTAGTTTTATTTAATGAGAGATGTGCGTGAAAACCTAAGAAACAAATAGGGATAATTTGCTGTTAAAGGAAAAATGGAAAAATAATTTTGCGATGTTATATATTGGGAAACGTTTTTATACCAACCCACCCATACATTAATAATTATTAATACATGTTTCAAAAACTGCAGGTCTATTTAAATGAATCACATAGAGCTTTTTTACGTCATATCATTTTATCTCTTTATTCCACCCAAAGGGAAGGCCTGCGCCCCAGCAGTGGGGACTTTAATAGGCGGTGACAATGATAATGATGATGATTTTATCGGAACTTTTGTTCATGTTTCTGTTACTTCGCAGGTGTTCATAGGAACAGACACGGGTCGCGTCGCGCCGCACATGTTCTACCAGGCGTGTCGAGTGTCCGGCAAGAACTCCACGCCCTGCAAGGAACGCAAGGAGGACGGCACCGTAGTTATAGAAATAGATCTCGAGCCGAACAAGAACTGGCAAGTCACGTGCGACTGCGTCGGGATACTAAAGGTCAGTCCTGGATAAAAATACATATTATCTCTATATCTTCTGTTTTATACAACAGGGTAAACGGAGTTCTGAATATATTTCCTCTTACTCTTAGAAAATGCAGGGTAAAATCTATGGAATGGCTTCAAAGCCTGACATATTCTGATACAGAGGCATTATTTGGTACTTTATTGGGTTTGGCCTGATCATCTAATGTAAATTTGGGCTATACATACCTCACACATACACACACGCACCCACACACACACACACACACACGCACGCACGCACGCACGCACGCACGCACGCACGCACGCACGCACGCACGCACGCACGCACGCACACACACACACACACACACACACACAGACACACACACACGCACACACACACAGACACACACCCTCACATACATACACACAAATAAGACACAAAGACGCATTTAATTTCTTTTTTAATATTAAATTAGGATTAAGATTAAGATTAAAATTAAAATTATTGTAGCAAAAAATGTTTTCTGGAGGTGGGTGTTAATAACTGCGACACAGTTTTATAACTAATGCAGTTATTATCGATCACTATTGTTATTGTATCTTTGTTATGGTTTTAATAAATATTACATTTCATTTCATTATTTAAAAAAAAATTGTTTATTTTTTTTCCACAAAAGATAATGATGACACAGCTTACCATACTATCACATAGGTATGACACAGCTATGACATAATATTAAGCTGCTGGTACTTGAAAAGAATACTCTGTGCTATAAGTACCAGCCTCTTTCCATAATGTGTATGTACTCGCTGGTATGAAGCTGAAACATTTTACCCGACTGCGCAATGCAATAGTGCGAAGCGCGACGCGCACGCATGGTATAGTGTTTAACATATAAGCAGTCGATATATGTATGTATGTTCCTTTGTGGTACACTAGAGACCAAACGCGTGGACCGATTTTGATGATTCAAACATCCATCGATTCGTCTTGATGATGGGAGTGCTACTAAAGATATGATAGTAATCAAAATTTAATATATGTATACATTTAGGCGCCATATTGTCACACAGTAAAAAAATAAGTTGACGAAATATATCATTGTCTAGATAATCTAAAATCATATTTAGGTTCCTTACACCATGTTTCATTTTATATGACTGTTTCGGATCTACAACGACATAAAATTCTTTATCAAACACTTGCGCTTTTAATTTCAATCTTACGTTTTTGTGGATATAAAATATGAATATAAAAACTGAAAAGAAAAAAACAAGTCCAGTAGTTTATAATTCTGTTAATTAAGGGACAAAGCTACTTTAACAGTTGGGACCCATTATTGAAAAATTTGATCCATTCTTGAATATCTTGAAAGCAGTCGGGTTTTTTGATATTTACCTTTTTTTGCTATTATTATTCAAGTTCTTAGATTTTTTAAAATTATTCTTAATGTCTGATGATCTTTTTGTAATTTTGGTGTATTTAAAATATTTATCTCTCTTTCACTCTCTCTGAAACTAGCAAACATTGTAGCAGACACATCCAGCAACGCGACCGTCACGAAACGTATAACTTGCAATTGTTCTGATTTTCTTTTTAAATGTAAAGGAAAGTAATCGAGTTTTTCACGAGGATATCTAAAGCTATTTTCAAATATAGCTATCGTGAAATTTGCGAAAAAAGACGATTTAAGCAATATTTCACGTGAAAACTTATGTTCTTGCCTTTAGTTTTTCTTATTTATTTAAAAGTAACAGCAAGCAGGTACTATAGCTAAGGTAAAATTTGCGAAAAAAAGACAATTAGAGCTATTTCTTACGTGAAAACAGGGTTGGGTACCCCACATGAAAACAATTTGATTAGATACTTTCCTAATTCTTTACTTTTAAATAAATAAGAAAACCCAAAACAATGGCCAGAAATACATTTCAAAGGCAAGTAAAGTTAAGTTTGCACTTAAAAATTGATTACATCGTCTTTTTCCGCAAGTTTTACCTTGACTATACTAGAATAGCGTTAGGTACCCTCGGGAAAACGAGTTGATTACTTTCCTTTACTTTTAAATCAATAAAACAGTTGCCTGAAATAGGTTTTGTGACGATCCCCGCTCTTGGATGTGTCTGCTACAATATGTGCTAGTTTCAGCTTCATATTTGGTAATTACTAAGATAAGCCTATTATTGCAGCAGGTACAGTGAATTGGCCAACATTAGTATGACCACGTTATAAATAAAAATATTTACATCGTTAAAGAGATAGAAGTCGATATCTTTTATCGACGAGATATTAATAACTACTAGCAAACCAGTGAACCAAATGTTCACCAAAACCTGATTTAAAAAAAATGTGTTTAATTAATGGAGAACTTCGGAGATTTTGTGTGGTTTCGTTTGAAATTCGTGATTTCTCGAAAACCGGAAGTGCTACGTTACTCAAATCCGGTTTGAAGTCTTATCAGACTATTCTTAACTTATAACTTAAATATTCTCTTTATCTATCTCTTACGGTTTGGCCGCTGAAACAGCACCACAGACAGACGGACTTGTCTAATAGATAAGAGATCATTTGACCTCTGTGGCCGAGTGGTTTGTACGCCGGGTTTCATGGTGTCGCAGACTCGAGAGGTCCCGGGTTCGAATCCCGGTGGGAGCAGATGTTTGTATGATGAATACGAGCATTTGTACTCCAGTCATGGATGTTTAATATGTATTTCTATATAAATATACTTATATATGTATAGTATATGTATTCTATCCGTTACCCTAGTATGCCATAATACAAGCCTACAGTGCTTACTTTGGGGCGAGGCTAATTGATGTGAGTATTTAAAAAAAAAACATAGTGATAAAGTCGTTTCTGATTGTTGTAATTACGAAATTTGAGAAGGATTACTTACATGCTTTTTTTATCTTAGACTCTATTTATATTAAACACTAAGTTATTAATTTAATAAGAACTAAAGACTCCCGATAACGATAAAACATTATTGGCATTATTAGTTGTTGTGAAACATAGTAAATAAACTATTTTTATATCTTGAACTATTTCTGTGTAAAAACAGTACGCAATATATATGAGACGCTATAAAAAAATCTTCAGCTGATTAGACATTGGCCCGTTCTGACCTGATCAGTTGACCTATTTACTACCAACCGCTGTGTTTTTATTTTCATTGTATTCGGTGTGACGTTTGTTACAGTTATGTTTATCAGACATTCATTACAAGCTAGTTTTAATGAACACAACTGTATGTTGTCATAAAGCTTAGTTGCGCCAAAATGCTATACAATTTCGATTTAATAAATAAATATATTCATCATTATCAGCCTATTAATGCCTACTACAAACATGCCTTCCCTATGGATGGAATAGGGAGATGGGCCAGGACCCACCACGCGGGCCCAGTGCAGATTGGCGGTTGCTAACGACTGCAGATGCAGCCGGGACCAACGGATTGACACGCCTTCCGAAGCTCGGAGGAACTTGAGATAGAATATTTTTGGTCACCCATCCAATGACCGACCACTGCGAAAGTTGCTTAACTTCAACGATCGCAGCCGAACGCGCTAACCACCTGCGCCATCGAGCTCCTCAAATAAATTTATTATTTACATGTTATCTTGGTGGTAATTTTTATTTTACTAACCGTGACTAAATTTGTATTCTATACTTGATCCGTTCTAATGTCAATAAAAGTTAACACTAAAACTCGAAAGTTATCATTTTATATGAGCACTCTGCCCAAACCCGTCAATATTACATTGAATTTAATACTATTAATTTCAAATACTGCAAATAATGTACAGTTTAATATCAGCGAGAAATGTAGATGCCCATATTGCGTTTGAAACGGAAGCGATCTCGTTAATCGTGGAGCTGGACAATAAAATTTTATTAGACGTCATATCGACACAGAAACGGCTCTTAAATGTACATAGAACAATATCACACGATACCTATATAGTGCGTATCGTCTGCAGCGAGCAATAAATTAAATAATCTGTGACGGCGTCGATGGAGGGGCGAGAGGGGGGGGGGGGTGTAGAGGGAGTCTCAGGCGCGGGTTGGTTATCGGGTCGATGCACTTGCTATTGTAGCGCATACTTATCAGGTGTATGTTCTATATGAAATGAAATGAAATGAAAGTTTATTTGCATGAAACATAGTTTACTTTTTATATTATTTACCAGCTATAACGGTAAATAATATAAAAAGTTCCATATGTTTCGCCGTTGAAAGAGCATACAAAATACTAATAAATTATCTAAAAATTCAAATTTAAATTGAGTAATAGTTGCATTCCAAATGTCATAATAACTATACATTATATGTATTACACATAATAATCATACATGTCATTTTTTTAAGTCAATAGCCATGTCAACAAAATTACAATTATTAATTCATAATAGAAATTCATTTGTACTATAAAAACATTAACTTATTAACCAGTCCCGTAACTTTTTTGCCATTAATTTTATAGGTCCGCTTGAATTGATTTGGAATTCTATTGTATACCTTAATACACATGTTATAAGAGCTTTTCTGGTACATCGAGGTTTTTGGCGCTATAGAACGACACATAAGAGTATTATGCTTCTAAATATTTCGTTTATCACATGAACGTGAAAAAGTTTTAGGCAATTAGCTACAGCATCAGGTAATTTTTAGTTCGAAACGTCAATAGTACTATACCAACGGGCGTGCTTTATTCATGAAATAATAACGATAGTGAAAAAAGTACCTACCAACCCTTTGTATGTAAGGGCCTATCCACATGTCCACGTCTCCACGTCACGACGTCTCGTCAACGTGTAAGGGGGCGTCCATAAATTACGTAAGATGTTTAAGGGGGGGAGGAGGTCGAGTCAAATCTCATCTAATCTTACGTTGGAGAGAGGGGGGGTCTCGGCAAATATCACACAATTTTATTTCTGATTGATATGTACATGCTTAAGATTTAATCTTAAGCGTTATCGTAATACGATTAAGATCATTCACTAATTCGTTCGAAAGAAATTGATTACTAGTCTTAACTAGTCGTAAATAAAAGCACGAAGCAAATAACAATCCAACGTTTGCGTAAGAAACCCACATTTTGAAAAATTTATTTATTCATTTATTGCATTCTTGCTGTTTACATGCTGTTACAAAAATATATATATATCATTCCAAACAAGAACCCAGTTAGGGTATTGCAATAATCCTAAACTAAATAGATCTCAAATTAATCTCAAATTATGCATAAATGTCATCTGATTCCATTTGTTTAACAATATAACTTACTCAATTGATCTTAATAACAGTAGAAATATAATAGAAATGGAAATTCATTTATAAAATTAAATTAAATTTGTCAGTAATTAAAATTAATAAATATGTCAATAAAATAAAATTAAAATAAAATAATATGTCAATTAACATGATTATTACATACTAGGTTTGTATTTCAAAAAAATTCACGTGAGATTAGGGGATGGGGGAGGGGGTTGAATAAAATCTCACGACATCTCACCAGGCGGGGAGGGAGGGACAGAAAATTCAAAAAAACACCTCACGTAATTTATGGACGCCCCTTACGGCGCGATGACTCGGCACGGTGCTTTGCCGTGTCGTGCTAGTGCACGGTACGGCAATTGGCAATGTCGCCCTGTAACAGCGCGTCTGAGGTCCTCTTAAGCCAACGTGGCTACGATGCAATCTCTCAGCTAATGTTTCAATGGTGTCAATTCTGGCATGATTCTCTAAATCTAAACTTAAATTTGACAACAGTGCATCCTTGCCATTCTCTATACAGAATGAAAAGGAGAGACTGATGTTAAATTTAGTTTTAAGTTTAGAGAATCACTCTAGAATCGACACCATTGTCTTTTCGATAGTTGTTGTGGTTGCGAATAAAAGATGACCGAGTCTTCGGAGAATATTGACATTTATTTATTTTCATTTGGGAAACATACAGTTTTAGACAATTCAATTAAGTAACACTTATTACTTTTTCATAAACAAGTTAAGTTTTCCCAGACTGAAACATTCATAAACTTACATATAATTTACTTAGGATTACGTACAATATTTAGAGTTAGTGAATAGGATAAATATGATAATCAAAATTGATTTCACAGATTGATTTCACTTGTTGAAGAACGTTCAGTGCTGACTGCTATTTCTCCGGTACTTTAGTAAAGAATGTACCGGAATTTTGCAAGGCACGGTGACGTGTAACGTTGCGACGTCGTGATGTGCATTTATACGATACGGTCACGTAAATTTGCACGTTATGTCAACGCACCGTGCCGTGTCAACGCACCGTGCCACGTTGACGAGACGTCGTGACGTGGAGATGTGGACAAGCACTAACAAGTCGTCTAGACAGGCGGCTTGTTATAGATTCTGAGGTCAGATGCCAATTTCGGTGGGGTGTATGTAAATAATAGAATATTAGGTATACATTGCGAGTAGTAGTGGATACGAGAGGACAATCGATTGCGTATTATCAGGACGCTTTTAAAGTTTTTAGGAAGTAAAGTCCATGTTTAATTTGTATCATGCATATTTGTCAATAGGCAATTATCAAAATAGACTGATGCGCACATATATTGAATATTGAGTGTGCCCTACATGGCGCAGAACGCGCGACAGTTGCCAAGGTCGCCCGTATAACTATGATGTGTTGTTGAGAATATTTGGGGGTCTAAAATAGCGATACAACGTTTAATTTATTATTTATCATATGTTTAATTTTCTATATTTCATCAAACATAGAATTAATTTCGTGAATAATCTTATTTGAGAGTATAGTATGAATACGCTTAACACTTAAAAGAAAAATAATTAATTTGTACAATATAACTACAGTGTCTAGAAATGTGTTTTTGAAACCAATTTCCTCGCGTGTTTACTGATTTAGACATAGACGTGACTCAACGTCCTGTCAAAGTCAATCCAGCAGACCTATTAACAATAGTATAAAGTATAGATAGGGTATCAATTAATATACCCTACTGTAACTTTATCTGCTAGTGTTACTGCATTTCATGCCTTTTGCGATGCTTGACTCGTATTGCACATAGCTATTGATTAATCACAGACTACCAAGAGATTTTCTGCCTAAAATTTGAGCGGCCTATTTTCATTCAATTCGTTAATAATCTGTCGTAGTCGGCCGCAAGTTCGATGTTCGATATTATTATGCTGGATTGACTTTGACAGCACGTTAGAAATCAGTAAACACGCGAGTAAATTGGTTTCAAGAACACATTTCTATACAGTATAATTTATATTGTACAAAATAATTACTTCTCTAATAAGTGGTCAGCTCTAAACATATTCATACTAAACTCTCAAATTAGATTATTCACGAATTTCATTTTATGTTTGATTAAATATAAAAAAATAAACATTAGATGAACAATAAATCAAACATTCTATCGCTATTTTAGACCCCCAAGTAATCACCATAAAAGAGTAGTTTTTTGGACAGTGTAAAAACCCACGTTGGGCGCCAACAAGTTAGAGGTAAAGAAAAGTTTACTAGAAAAAAATCCACGCGGATTAGGCAGCGGACGGGACTCGAACCCGCATCCTTCGCAATCCGGGCGAATGCACTGACCATTATGCTACCACGGCCCTATTCGCCGCGTCGAAATTTTCCTAGCCTTAAGCTGCAAGGCAGCGCCATCTCTTCGCATTGTAGGTAACCCACAATGTCAAATCCACACTTCATCAGTCTATTAATGTTCCCACTGTTGAGGCAAATACCTTCCTTATGGATGGGATAGGGAAATTGGGCTATGACCCACCACGCGGACTCGTTGCGGATTGGTGGGTGCTTACGACAACTGGAACCAACGGCTTAACGTGCCTTCCAAAGCAAGAAGAAGCTCGAGATATTCAAATTTTGGTCACCCATCCATTGACCGACCACTGCGAAAGTTGTTTAACTTCAACGATCGCAGTCGAACGCGCTAACTATCGCCATCGAGGTCCTCTAGGCCTGTGTTTATAGTGACACAAGCTGACCCAGCGAACTTCGTACCGCCATAAAAAAATAGGGGTTGGTGGTAGAAGGGTGAAAATTTAGGGTTGTATGTATTTTTGTATGATGTATCATAAAAAAAAATAAAAAAAAATATCTAAAATTGAAAAAAAAATTTAGGGGTGGATTACCCTTAACATTTAGGGGGATGAAAAATAGATGTTGTCCGATTCTCAGACCTACCCAATATGCACACAAAATTTCATGAGAATCTGGAAAGCCGTTTCGGAGGAGTTTAACCACAAACACCGCGACACGAGAATTTTATATATTAATAGACTGATGATGGAGTTTGTTTGTTTAGGAACGGAACGTGGACGTGGAACATAGGTTCGGAGAGACATTAGGAGGGAGCGGTGTAGGAGGGGGTGTGGGGGCAGCTGCACACGTGTCAAGGGGAAAGAAGAAGTCAACGCGTTGTCGAATGGTGTTCCGCACCGACATCCTCAACGCGGACGGACAGCGAGAGACGCTGCAAGTCTGCTCCACGCAGATAATATGCAGTAAGTGTTTGGTACTTATAATGCGACCCGATTTTATTGGTGTTAGTGAAGATAACAGCGAGTGGAACTGTACGCAGGTTTCAACTTAATGAAATATGTTATATCTATTGTGAAACCCTGCGCGTACCCAATTTCTTTTACTGCACCGCGACTTGCGGTAACATCAGAGCGAGTGCGACTTTAAACTTTCATGACCGCTGCGAAGTTAGCAGCGAGCATAACTATACATAGATTTTTGCCAGCGACATCTCGCGTGCGTTTATATTACCCGGAGCCGCGACTTGCGCCAACTTCACAGCCGCCGTTAATTTTGAATTGCACTTAACTAATTTACATTCCAGGACTATTCAGGGTAGGGGATGGGTTTAAATTAGGTGCAAGTGATACTTAGCATGTCAAGCGTTTATAGGCTATGGCGGCCACTTATCATTAGGCAGGCACTAGACTGTGTACTAACCTTTAAAAAAAACTACGTATATTGCAGTGTTTTCGCCTATGCTAATAGATATACGCATTCTTCTAGGCCTGAACCCTAATTCATACCTTTTTCATTTTCCGCGAGTCCTTTAATTTCATAGAGGAGCAAGTGATTAGATTATTACATTACACTTGCTTTAGCTTCGAAAGCGTTGTAGAAACTATTAAATAATACCCAGGTAGTACATAAGCGAGTTTACGCTTATGATTTGAAAAACATTGCGGCCAAACAGCTCTTATTATGTAGTGTGCTATTAAGTAAGGTCAGCACACTTCACCGAAGCAAGTCAACGAGGTTAATCCGTAAGGTGAGGGTGATCCGTGGGCGTATTAGATGTGATGGAGTCTCATTAAAAGTATCTTTACCTATCCTTTTTTACCGTGAAGTGTATTAGGAACCTAACTTGACTGGAAGGGTCAACGATATTAAATACCGTAGATACAACATCACACACGAAATCGTGGCCGAAACCTGTCCAAAAGGTACATAAGACTATCCACGGAGCTCCGTAAGATGATTGCGTAGTCAAAACAATATAAGGCATTATTTAAACATTGAAAGTCAGCTTTAATAGGTACTAATACATAGTTTCTAATATCACAAATACAAATTTTGTACTAAATGAGTTTATAATATTGGAACAATGCGTTAATTTATCCAACATTAATTAGATACCTGTCGAAAAAAGGACACTTTACTTACTATAAGTATTTATTTCGCATTTCTTCATGAAACTCTGCGGCATCATGACTTTACAACGGTCCGCGCGTGACTGTGAACCAAGAAGTGCTTAAGTCGTGTTCAAGCACTTCTTGATTGGGACATATTTTGAGCACACGTGGTGTATAAGAAGACGATAAGAAACAGACTCGGATAACGAAAGGTCACTACCGTTTCGAGTATCTAGTGTTGTATAGTAAGTTTCTAACTATGGCGGTTGTGAAGTTAGTAACGAGTCAGTCGGTAAAAACCAAAGACAAAGAAAATGGAATGAGCAACTGCTCACATGAAATAGACAACTCTCAAGGAATTAATAAAGCGTACTGTCCTTAGATATACGTACTATTGGCCGCACGATTATGTGTCTCCCTCACACTTATCAACCCAGTTTATTTATGTCGCACTTTGCTTCACAACCGCTATTAAGTTTGAACCTTAACTGTGTTTGAAGAGGGTATGTTTCGCAGCGCAACCGCCGGGCGTCCCGGAAGTATGCCGCAAGTCTTTAGTATCGGCGCCGGCCACCGGAGGCCTGGAGCTCTACCTGCTGGGCAAGAACTTCCTCAAGGAGACGCGCGTGGTGTTCCGACACCAGCAGTGGGAGGAGGAGGTGGTGCCCGACAAGGAGTTCCTGCAGCAGGTCAGTGTATACATCTGTCTGGCTCACACTGCAGCGCCAAATGATGTTATAATAAAAATACAACTTTTAAGTTAAAACAATCGACTTTAATTGAAATTAGAAAAAAGTCCGTTTAATATAATCTTTGTAAAGTAAGATATGGACAGTGAATTATAATCTTGTTCATAACAATCGCCGGTTTTAATTCATGAGAGTTTCCCAATATTTTAGTAATATTGTTGGTCCTATAATTAATGATTGTATTTTTCTCCGATTAGCCCGATAGTTGATTGGTAGAGAATGCATTTTGGCATTAATTCCGCCGTTTGTTTAATGACAATGAAGATTAAATAAATAAATAAACGATCACACCGTGTAGTCTATGTTCAAACATAGATTAATAGAGTTTAAAAATACATACCGACCGAATAGAGAATGATTACTTTTGAAGTCAGTTAAAACAACTTTCGAATTGTCTATTTATTTTTGTAGTTAATTATACTTTTTTTATATTATATTATACTATTTTATATTTTTGTAGTATATTAAGCATTCAACTGCTAGATTTTTGAATATAAAGAATAAAAATTCTAGTAATGTTTTTTATAGATATGAATATATTTTTGTAGTAATTTAATATTTGTCGAACACTTCATAAATATCTAAAGAAAATTTACTAGAAAAATAGCGGTTCAGGCAGCAGACGGGACTCGAACCCTCACTCTTCGCTATCCGGGCAATTGCACAGACCATTATACTACTGCGGCCCTGACGGCCATGTCGAATTTTCTCTAGCCTTTCTTAAGCGACAGCATATGTCCGTCTTTTAAGGTTGACTCACTATAACCTTTTACCTCATATTAATGCGGCGAGATAGAAGATTTTTTGGTCACCCGTCTAAAGCTGCAATGCAGCCGCGCCGTCTCTTCTAAGCGGAATTTTCTTTAGATTTAAACGTCTAGGAGTTACATGTCATTAAAAAAATCATATGAAGTGTAACTAACGCTAGCGTTTGATCCGCAGACGCACCTGGTGTGCTGCGTGCCGCCGTACGCGCGAACGGACATCACGGAGACGGTGTGCGTGCAGATCTTCGTGCGGTCGGGCGGTCGCGCGTCTGAACCGCACGCGTTTTTCTACACGCCGCCCGCGCCCGCCGCGCCGCTACACGCCACGCCGCACGCGCTGGCCGCGCACCACCAGCACCAGCACCCGCACCCGCCAGGTAACCGCGCGTCGGCACCCGCGACCCACCCCGCTCCATTTCGAATTTCGAATCCCACGGTGGCAGGCTCATCTGAAAAGTTTCTAACATCCATTCGCTTTTTTTTTATTTATTTTTTTTACCTTTTTTTTCTTTAGACATTTTAAGAACACAACATTGAAATTCATCCGCTTTTTTAATGTTAACACTGTTTGGTTCGTGAAACTTGTCGGAGGGGTGATGCGTTCGTTTTTATTACTGTTCGCTTAAAAATGTTAATCTTTAGTATCTGTGTTTGTGACGCGGTCCACCGCATGACGAAAACAGTCAAAGTATATTTTATTAATGTTTTCTGTTTATGGACTCATTGTTAGCTTTGTTTGAATTGTAATGTACTTCATCTAGAAGAAACTGTACAATTAAAAGTTTTCTATCTGTACATATACACGCGAGTCGAATTCGTAAGGAAACGCTTCTAAAGGGAAATCATTCGTGCGATTTAAACACCACTACCACTAGTAATAAAGGTTATTTTCTAATGTCTTCAAACAGTCTATATTTTGTCAGCAATAAGATGGGAGGGACTTAAATAAAAAAATAAAATTCACAAATTGTAATTGGATCTTTGCTGTTACGAGATAAAAAAAAAATTATTTAGTTCGAAAAAAAAGCGATAAGTTTCATCTCTCCGATAGCATGCTTGTTTTGTTCCATGCCTTCGCCGAATTTTACTCGTTCGGCTAGCATCTGCCACGGTCGGTCTTTTTAATGATTTTCATGAAGTTTCTACATACATTAAAAAACAAAAGAAAAATATGGCACTGTTTTTTTATTGGACAGTTGTGTTAAAACTCTAATAACCGTGACATAAGCTAGCGTTCAGTTGCACTCTCAATTACATCCCGGAATTGTGAAATTGTTGTATTTATGCTTTTGTCTACCAGCTCTTACCATTTGTGCGATATCTATGTAACATTTTAGAACATGAAAAGGGTGAAAATTTATCGAATAGCTAGATTTCATTCATAATTTCATGGAGCTTTATATTATCATCATCAGCCTATTAATATCCCCATTGCAGGGGCGCAGGCCTTCCCTAGAGATGAAATAGGGAGACTGAGCCCGTTCATCTGTGAGTTTTATATAGTTTCAATCAATTTGGATCAATAATAGTATTTTAAAATGTCGCCCCCCCCCCCACCCTCCCCGTCAAAAATCAGTAAATCAAATCAAAAATAGGTCGGGAACAAATACTTTTATAATTATTGCTTTTGCCGTCCTTCACCCAGCAAAACAAAGTTTCAGTATTTACAGATAAAGATTTCTGAATTGTGCTGCTTTGTCTGACAGATTTTTCTCTTTTAGATATTTGAAAATAAAATTTGTATGGCATACAAGTTCCGGATAGTCAATAACAACTTATGAAAAAGACCCCTAATCATCTTGACACAGTATATTGTGCAAGATCAGTTAATGATTATTGAAAATTCTTTACCCAATGCCACATTTGCGCCCCTAAATTGGGATTCTACTTATAGCAAAATAACGGACTGTGCTGTTTCTTAATTTAGCATTTTTGTTATATACGCATCTCGTATACAAGCTAGTTTCTAATGCCATCAATGTATTTAAAGCTAGATCTTTCTATCTGTGAAAACCCAGCGAAGCAAACTCTGAAAAGATGTTAAAAAAATCATTTCATCTTAACATAATAAAAAAAAAACATTACAATATTAGTAACACGTGAGAATTATACAACAAATACCTTAATGAAATGGAAGCTCTTTTCATTCGTTCAATATTTTTCCTGCCACTTGTTCAGGACATCTTTTAGCCGATGAGAAAAATGGGCACCAGAAACTCGTGAGCGTTTAACAGAAGTAGTAACATTTACATAAAATTACTAGCTGACCCAGCGAACTTCGTATCGCCTTAAAAATAGGAGCTGGTAGTAGAAGGGTGAAAATTTAGGGTTGTAAGTATTTTCAATGCCACATTATAAAAAAAAATTTTTTTGTCCAAAAATTAAAAAAAAAATTAAGTGTGGCCAATCTTATCACTGAGGGGTATAAAATAGATAGTAGCCGATTCTCAGACCTACTGAATATGCATATAAAATTTCTTGAAAATCCGTTAAGCGTTATTGTTACACGATAATTTTATATATAAGATTTCGCTACCAAAACAACGTCCACTCACATTTTGATTCCTGTATCATACAGTGTAAATACAAAAAGTGCATATATCAGGTACAATTATATACTAAGTACAGTGCAACCTCGATCTAACAAATCGGAATGGAACAAGTAAATATTCGTTATATTAAGTAATTCGTTCAACTGAAGTTTGTAATATTGAGGATAGGTTAGTCGTGTCGGGTGACGGTGCAGGAGTATTATCTGGTTTTTAGTGGCCCTGTTCAGGGCGTAGGTAGGGCCCTGTTCACATCAGTGAGCTCCAGGGCTGGCTGAAGAGGACAAGGAGGCAGGCGCGGTCGCAGCCTGAAATTTTGGAGGGGGTCACTCATTACACTAATAAAAAAAAAACTGGCCAAGAGCTAGTCGAACTCGCGCACCGAGGGTTCCGTACACACCTGAATTTTCAAAAATATTTTTTATTATATGATGTAACTAAAAATTCACGGTTTTCGCAATTTTTTCTTTGCTACTTTGTACCAAATGTCAAGAATGACCTTAGATTTTGGGGGGGGGGGGGGAGGTCATGTCCCCTGTGACCCCCCCCTTCGGACCGCGCCTGCAAGGAGGAGTCCCACCACATACCTTCTTCTCGCTCCCCCAGTGGTTGAAGGATGCGTAAGGCATTTTCCAAACATAATAAAAAGGTTAGGTCAGTCTAAAATTTGTTTCCCGTCGTGACATGAATCACGTACTATGGGATTAAGGGCCATATATTGATGGAAACGTTATAAAGAGGTTTTTGGTTGACAAAATTCGTTAATTAGAGGCATTTACAATTATTGATAGTTGAAATTTTTTTATAAAGAGGTTGATCGCAATGTAAAGGTATTTTTTACATTAACTCTTATGGAAAATTCAATTGGATTACTAAGAATTTGTTAAATCAAGGAAGTCGTTATATTGAGGTACGTTATATTAAGGTTGCACTGTATTGCGATTTGCGAACGCTTAATCTGGTAAGGGGAGGATCGTTCATAAAGAGTCACATTATGAGTGATAAATTAACAACACTAAGATGTCACACAAGTCCTTTTAGATTTCAGTAATTCAATGCGTGCTTAGTACTCATCAAGTCCATCCATTTATATATTTTTTTCATAACAGTATCGTTTTTTCATAATAATTCTACTATGCATCTTCATTATGTTTTAAATATTTTATACTCACATTTTTGATATTGACATTGTACTTGTTTCATGAAAATATTAAGAACATAGATGTATTGTTTGTGTTTGTTTAGGTTTGTAAGGGGTGTGTTGCACATTGTTGACTGACATCATCGTGCTGTTTGTGTCGTTATAGCTTTGTTATCGTTTCTTGTCATTAGAACACTTAAATTTTATTACAATTTATACAGCTTCTGGTGTACAAAGCCGTAATCAAATATTAATTTTGTTAAATACTAATACCATGTGTTTGATTGCAGCTTCCATTTTGTATATTGCTTATAAGTTTTAATAAATTTATTATATTAAAAAAAAACATTACTTGAAATATATTTGCTTGAACAAGAGCTTTGTAACAAAGTTGAAATTTCAACATCGAGCCCTACTAAAAGTAATCATCGGTAGAATATTTACCTACCGAAAACATGTAAAAATATATTCGTAATTATATGATATGATGTTGTCGTGATTCTGCATAAAAATCGCTGGAACGTTGCTTTATATTAAAAAAATATCAATATATATAACCGCATGCGAGCTTCTTACGTCTAACGTGGTGGTGCATGCGTTAAATGTACGTTTATTATTTGGGTTATAGTATGTAAGTAACAGATGAGAAACAATTTGGAAGAAATGACTGATGCGAAAATGGCGTACTCTTTCTTTTTTTCCCTTCTGTTCAAGCTAGGTCTGTCTAGGTAGCGCCGCGGCCGCCGCCCGCCGCCGCCGCCGCCCGCCCTCACGGTACTGACGCACGCACACACGCACACACGCACACACGCACACACATACACGCACACACGCACACGCCCGAACACTACACACACACAAGCGCGCGCGCATACGCGCACACGCGCACACGCCTGCGCGTATTGAAATATAAAGATCTCTTTATCAGAATAAATATTTGAGAACATCTCTTAGAGAAAAAATTGAAGAAATCGGGATTTTGACTTTTGCTTCACAGTTTATTTATATCTTTATCTATGTTCTGCCATCTACCTACCTTGAGACCGTTTGAATGTCTTCTGTTTCTCAAATAAGAATAAAATATTGAGGGCTCGATTTTTATGTCTTTAAGTTTCATTTTCAAAGAAATCAATTTTCGATCAACGAATTTTTTCCAAAATGTTTTTCTGTTTCTCTCTAATTTGTTATGTTTTAGGTTCGAAATTTTGTAATTTTCTCTACAACAATGAAAATTCATAGGCCGTCGCATTAATACGACACGGGCGCCGTAGTTGACAGATCTATTGGACTATTCAATTATTATTTTGTTTATACATATAAGATAAAACAAAACATTATTTTAAAATAATATGACCTTTCAACTAAAATAACTTATTGAACGAAAATTTATATGAAAGTATTATCTTAAGGCCACTTGTAATTTCCAAATAAATTTTCATAACATTTTCGAAGTACAACGTAAACGAATTTCTTAACAAGAATCCAAATATAATGAAAATATCGTTTGGTATTTTATTTAAAAAAAAAAAACATTACACCCATATTTTACACTTATTTCTTTCAACACTGCACAAGAGAAGTACACTATTCACAAAAGATCGATACAATTATTGCGGGCGACGATTTATTGTAACACATACTTTATTGACACGTAACACAGCTGACTATCCAATGACACTGCCGCGTACGAAATTTTTTAGGGTACAGACTCCACAAACCTCCCCTTCCTCCTACACCATTTAGACAGACGTCCGTGCCTTTCCACGACCAAAGTCTCTTTCGCTGCCCTCGCATGCTCATAATTCTGATTTTATTACATATTTATCATAGTGCTGAAAAGATTCTCTCGGTAGAATTATATATGGAACTCATTCTGCTTTGATTTTGATTTATTGAACGCGTGTGTGTTTTATGAAATTGTAAATAAAAAAAAATGTATAGGTAAGAAGAATGGCGAACAACGAATAATTTATAATATGTGTATTTCTCCTGAAAGCGTTTATCGGATAAGATGATGATATTTAAATAGTCGATGATAATGCAGTCATTGAATGTTCAACCAAGAGCTAAATTACAAGATAACAGCGCTTGCGCAGTCATATGGCTTTTAAATAATTGTAGTTCTGAACCTTTTGATATGTTTCTATAAGTCTGGAAAAAAAAATATAAGAATAGTATGCAGACATATGATTAAGAAACAGATGATAAGACATTAAAGAATGGTAAATTGTTATAGTACAAGTCAAACCAAAAAGGAGGAGAAATTGAATCGCACACTTGCAACAATATTCCAAGTGAATTAAATGGTCTATCATTCAAAGGTGAAAATAGTTTGCATCTCTTATCTATTAGACAAGTCCGTCCGTCCGTCCGTGGTGCTGTTTCAGCGGCCAAACCGTAAGAGATAGATATAGAGAATGTTTAAGTTATAAGTTAAGAACAGTCTGATAAGACTACAAACCGGATGTGAGTAACGTAGTACTTCCGGTTTTCGAGAAATCACGTGATTTCTATTTCAAACGAAACCACACAAAATCTCCGAAGTTCTCAATTAAATAAATACATTTTTTTTGTTTTTTTTGGTGAACATTTGGTTCACTGGTTTGCTAGTTAGATATTAATAGTGTATTATTGTATCCTGTAATTATTAGGATCGTTTTCAAGCGACTGTAGCCCTAAAAGAGAAGGTCTTTTTTTATTGTATTCTTATGAACGCACTCAGAGACATTGACTAACTTTTTTTGATTGAATTAAATTGGTGCGCTGTCACCTTTTACGCGAAAATAATAGAAAAAAAAATAAAACACTGAGGCATCGAAATTATTATTTGACGTGTGTGGTGAGTGCGGCCGTAAATGTGTAATCACCACTATCAATGCGGCTACTTTAACACAATCCTAACGTATACGTGCGTACGGTTGGTAAAGAAGGCACAGAGACAAAGCTTCATTCAATTGCGTGTGCAGAGTGTAGCACTGCGCGTACGCAGAAAAACGTTCCTATTGACGCCGATAGACCGCCAGTGCTCTCACACACACTGCAATACATGAAGTATTGCCTCTGCGCCTTCGGATACACCGAATTCGTTATGGGTCGAACTGTGCTCGGCCGTCATTGACAAAACACGGCCGATCAATACAAAAGTTTGTAAAAGAAAGAGGGTCCGATGAACACCCACCCGAATTCATACTGAATACGTTTAATTCAATCTGCCGATGTAGTCCGAGCATAGTACAGCCGATAATGGATTAGAGGTCCAAGCACGAATTTTGACAGCTCCGTAGTCGTATCGCCATCGTCAAATTTTGTATGGAAGGTGTCAGTTTGTTCTTACGTCCGGTAGGGGCGCTGCTTAGTTTTCATAGAAATTAGCAACTGATGATGGGATACGATTGCAGAGCTGTCAACCGCCATCCGCCGCGGTTGGCGGCTGGTATGTTGTTGCACTTAGGGCTATATTTCACCGACACCATGGCGGCGCAATCAACAAAATGTACACAGCTCTATAGAGAGTCATTGACCTGGTGTCCGTTTGGTTACGCAACCAATTTGGTGGCGCGACCAGCTCACAGAATGTTACTGGTCGCACCGCTACGCTGGTCGCGCCACTACTTATTACTACAGCGCTGAATGGGTATCTCACTCGTTCGGCAGCCAGTGACGCCTAGGTTCTTACGTATATACAGCAGTGGTGCTATCTCTTCGTGGTCCATTTTAATACTATACTCTTCACCACGTATTTCACGTTGCAAATGCACACTTGTAATATGTCAGTGAGTAGTTTTAAGAGTACGCCAGTATTAAGATGAAGAAACAGTTGGTGAAATAGAAGGTTTCTGTGTTAGTTTATTGCGATACTATTTATTATATTATAAAATTATTATAGATAAACAAAGTTTCGCAAGCAACGTAAAAATTATATAAATGACTTATATGATAATAAATATGTTATATTTTTTAAGCATACAACTGCTTGATGCTTAAATCTAAAGAAAATATAACTAGAAAAACTATCACGCGGACCAGGCAGCATACGGGACTCGAACCCGCACCCTTCGCTATCCGGCCGAATGCACTGACCAGTTATGCTACCGCGGCCCTGATGGCCGCGTCGAAATTCTTCTAGCCATTCTTAAGCTGCAAGCCAGCGCCATCTCTTCGCATTGTAGGTATGTTGCGGTAAAACCGTACAGACACTGTTTCAGTATAGTGTGGCGACTCTGTTGTCCGTATGGTGACGAGTTTGGTAGCTTATGGATGCCACGGTAGCGCGTCTGGTTGCGCCGCCACGGTGTTCCGGGGAAACATAGCCCTTAGTGGGTCGTTTGCTCGTGTGTTATAAGTCGCGGCACGAAACTCTAGCGCTGACCGTCATTGCGCAGAAGTAAAAATTAAGATGTGTTGGTGAGGAAACGAGGTGCGTTTGCGCCGATTGTCTCTCATGCGCACCTATCCCTTCCGCGTTTTGTTCAGCTCTAGAGTTACGTGCCGTGACCTGAGGGTCTACTCTCTCTCTCCGAAACGAAATTTCGATAACGAAGTTCAAACGAAATTTCATTTCGTCAATTTAAGCTTATACTTAATTTGAACGAGAAACCATCAAATCGAAGCTTTCTTTGAGTAGGCTTAGATTTTTTTTGCGTCAATCTATATTTCGACGACGAATATTATTATAATTAACAACGAACCAGAAACATGGTAAGAAAAGTGCGAAGTTTCGATCGGAATTTCGTTTTTCGTAGAATTAGAGTAGGCCTCCTGTACTGTAGTGTATATTCGCGTGCGAGTAACCGTGAGCGTGAGCGTGGAGGGCAGCGTATATACAGGCGTGGTGGCACTTGGGTAGTGCGTGGAGCCGGTAGTGAGGTTGTTGTGCGCAGGTGGCGAGTGGCCGCTGATGCCGCCCCCCGCGACGCCCGCGACCCCCGCCACACACGCCGCACACGCCACACACGCGCGACCCGCCTGCCGCGCCGCCGCGCTGCCGGACCACGACCTCACCAATCTGCAGGCGCTCAAGAGTGAGGTGAGTGACTACACTTATCGTGTGCAACGTGTAACAGAAATAACGAGCAACAACAACAACAAATACAAAAATTAATCAATTTCAATTATTGTTATTAGTTATTTCTAGTTTTTGCGTTTTTAGACATAAGGTAGTTATAATTTGGTTAAGATGTAAAGGACTTTGTTTTCATTTTACTATGAGGTTAATAATTCCAAGATAGAAGTGAGTAGCTACATATATTAAATATAATTCTATAATGAAGATATATCAATTACACAATTTTGAAGTGAAACTTCTTTAGGCACGCTTGACTTGGGGCGTAAGCTGGCGAATGAGTTACGCTTTAGGAAAAGTGTGTTCGGGCGAGGCGCACGGGAGTTGAGTGGGGGATATAAGCAAGAGAAAGCAGTGCAAGCGCACTTATTCTTTCTCTCTTTCTCTTATAGCTAGTAAATTAAATATGTATATGTACATACATGTATATATTGAACACATACATATATGTATATACAGATGGAGCTAAAGAAGATTCACTTCAGTCGTGTCACAGCGGTGACACTCTCTGTACGTGAGAGTTCCAGCGTCAGTGACCTTGAGCAGGAGCGTGTATGCGCTAGGGTTGAACTTGGAATTTAGACTTGTGCCAATGAATATTTATGCATACTAAGTTATTCAATGTAAATTGATTCAAGGATACTGGGGTAAATAATGAAGGATAGGATTGATTTTATAATCAATGTTTAATCATTTAATGTAGGCACTATAACAAATTGCTAACTTTTATATATTTTCTCCTTTGCGATTCGTTTTATAATTCTTATTATTATCTAAATAATAATAAGATTGCGTAGCGTAGTCAGTCTGTGCGTGCAATGCAGTGCAACGCTATTATTTTACTATTTCGCTACTGCCATGCCTTCGGTCGAGGCAGTCGGCGACTGCCCTCTCCACGCCCCGCGCGCCGCGCAACGCCACCGCGCACCTCCAGACACACCCACATATAGCCGCGGGCGATTTTTCGAGCACACATGCTTAAGTGTCGCTTCTTTTCGCGTAGTGTATATATTCTGTGGTCGTGTGGTCATAAGCACACTCGATTTTGATGTGTAACATCTTTCCTCTCGCTTTCCTGCAATTTGTGGGAGTGATTTCGTGAAATAGGACGGAAGTGTGTTACAGGAAGTCGCGAAAGCGCGCGCAATTTAATTTGATTTTAAAACATAATGTTATATGACTTACCGTAAGTGAGGGTTATTTTAGCTCGGGCGGGTAACTTTGTCCTAAATCAGAAAAAATATTGAACTTGCCGCCCCATCAGTATTTCTTGGGTGACCGTAATAGTTCCAGTTGAAAATCACAGATAGCCAGCCATATAGGCGTGTAGTGTGGTGTTGTTTTACCGACATCGTTCCTGTATCAAGTTGTCATTGTAACGCGGGATTTTTTGTAACTGAAATAGTTCGCAAGTTCATGCGCAAACTTTCTCAAAACTGTGGTTTTCGGTAAGTTTACTATTTTTTCTAAATTTAAAGTTATATTTTTTATTTAACTTAATTATTTTTGGGCAAAAACATCCATTTGTGTATTGAGTATGCTAATGGTGATCTGTTATAAGGGTTACTTAACCCCAACATGGCTTAAAATGAGTTTTTTTCACAGAGAAAACTCAACGAGCTAAATTAACTCTCTTTAAGGCCAACTTTGGCCCAAAATTAAAACAATATATATTAACCCTTAAATATTTTTTTTTTCCTATTTTCGTATGATAACTTTGTAACTTATACTTTAAAGTTCACAATGGAAAGATATAAACGTGACATTTTCATCACAAAGAGAAGCTACAATTTGATTTAAAAAAAAAGTACACATTTTAGGTCAAAGTAACCCGCAGTTACTCGGTATTGCTTTTGTAGTAGGTTTGATTTCTTTTTTTTACTAATATAAGGTGAGATTTCAAATGTTACACATCATACGCCGTACACATACACATCATATTATGACGACCTCCGTGGCCGAGTGGTTTGTACGCCGGGTTTCATGGCGTCGCCGACTCGAGAGGTCCCGGGTTCGAATCCCGGTGGGGGCAGATGTTTGTGTGATGAACATGAGCCTTTGTACTCCAGTCATGGATGTTTAATATGTATTGCTATATAAATATACTTATATATGTTAATTATATGTATTCTATCCGTTACCCTAGTATCCCATAACACAAGCCTTACAGTGCTTACTTTGGGGCTAGGCTAATTGGTGTGAGTGTTGGAAATATTTATTATTATTTATTATACGCGACTACTGTAAGGCTCGCTCGTTTTTTTTATTTAATCATTTTAAACAGGGCTTAAGCGATGATATCTCAATGTTCGTAAAATTATTTGGCTAAACCCATGCTTTAAAACTTATGTAAAAGATTCTGGAAAAGTTAGCCCATAGCCAACATTAAAACATCCAATGTCCTAATAAAAAAACCATTATAACATCCGTTTGAGTGTTTGGAATACCGAATCACCGACATTTTCCTTCGATATTAGTTTTGTCAAAAAATTATTACTTTGTTTTGATGATAAAAATTAGCGATTCAAGTTTTGACAACATACCACCAGATTTGTCTAATACAGCAAACACATTTCCAACCAAAATCGGAAAATATTATAGGGATAATACATATACAGTAAGAGAATTCATAATATCGTGGGTGTAGATAAAGTCTTGTATTCAACTGGTTTATACAGTAGGTATTAAAAAACCCACATTCGTGTTTTTTAAATACCCATTATACAACAGTTGCACAAACGTACATTATTGTTGCAATAACAATAATGTACGTTTGCATTAAAAAATAATTCTAATTGCCTTGAATTATGTAACATATTCCCTTGTTTAGAATGATTTAATTAAGGTCGATGTTTTTTAGATACATCTCTTTTTATTGAAGTCAATTCCAACCAAAGTACTTTGTACGCCAGTTGAATTCGCTTGCTAAGTAAGCGAGTGTTGAAACAAGATCGACCTATAAGGACTGGCCGCGGCCATAGGCCGCCTCTATCTGTGAGAAACTTACGGTTAAGTTCTGATCTATAAAAAAATCCATAAAAATACTTTAGAATTAGAGCACGAATATGCGTTTCAGACTTGTCATTAATTAGTTAGACCTTACACATCTCTGATTTGAACTGCTCAACAGGTGGCGGATGAGAGCAGCCAGCATTCTTTAATAGAGCACGCGGAGTCGTCGTGCGGCCCCGACGGGCCCGAGAAGCAGTCCCCGCCCGCCATCCTGCCCGACGACCTCAAGGTCGTCGACCTGCGGCTCAAATCCGAGACCCTCACGAGAGATTCGCAAAGTCAGGTACGCCGTTTTAAGTTGACGGCTATTCGTGAAATCCCGGGTTCGAATCCCGGTAGGGCAAATTGTTAGTACGATGAACACGAGCATTTACCTAAGTCATGGATGTTTAATAGTATTTTTAAATAAAAAATTCTTATATATGTATCAGTATATGTATCCTATTCGTTACCTTAATATCCCATAACACAAGCCTTTCGGTGCTTACTTTTGCAGTTTTATTCGCTCGTAAAGTAAGCGAGTGTTGAAACAAGACCCATTAACCGGTTTGAGTATTGGAAATATTTACTTATATCACAACTGTCGCCCCCCCAGGTGAACTTCGTGAGCGCTTACGACCCGATCAAACTGTCCCCGCCGACGCCCACTCAGAGCGATTCACCGTCCCCTCTCGCGACGTTCACGCAGCAGCTGCAGGCGATCCAGAACCAAGTGCAGACCGACAAGATGGTCGAGACCGTGACGGCGGCCATCTTCAACTCGGGCGAGAACGCCGACCAGATCTACCAGCCCATCCTGCCGATGCGGCAGCTGATGGCCGCCAAGACGCCTCACGACCCGCTGCGGCCCGAGATGAAGGCGCTCGACTCCGGCCTCATGATGGAACAGCCTCGCGACTCCGCGCTAATGGCGTACGAAACGTTGCCGCCGCAGCGCGCCGACGACGCCTTCAACCCATTCGGCGCAATGACAAAAATGGAGATGCAGACGCAGCACATCGAGCAGCGCCTGGCTCAACAGAGCGCGCACATGGACGCTCTCGTCGAAGACGCAATGAAGGCGACGGCCGCAATGCTGCCCGGCGACGCGGCCAAGCTCGACGAGCTCGTCAACTCGCGCGTCGACGACCTCGCCGGCGCCGAGCCCCTCCCCCCGCCCGCCGGTGACGTCATGATGCTGCCCGAGCAGGTGCAGCTGACGTCGGTGAAGACGCCGCCCGCCGCCGTCAAGTCGATGATTCTGAACGCGGCCGCGGAGATCCTGACCTCGGACACGACGATGAACGCTTTGGTGACGTCGGCGATTAACACGGCCAATATCCTGTCGACGGATGCGCAGGCGACGGACACGCAGCCGCCCGCCGAGCCGGCCGCGGAGCCGCTGGTCGCCATGTCGCACGCCGTGTCGCAGGCCGTGACGCAGGCCGTGTCGCAGGCCGTGTCGCAAGCCGTGTCGCAGGCCGTGTCGCAGGAGATGACGGCGCCCGTGCAAGGCCTAACCGACATGAGCGATCAGGACCTGCTCTCCTACATCAACCCGAGCACCTTCGACCAGGGTGAGTGCTTCCACCTCTACTGCTGACCGCTCCGGTGTTTACGCTCCGAGCGTTCAGTCCATTTATAATCTGTTCTTGTTAATCTGCTTAGGAGGGAGGGAAGGATCGTATTTGTTTTACGATGTGATTTATGATGATTTGGTTCAAGTATTTTCCGAATTTTTGAAGTGAAAACTTCTTTTCGGACGGGGTGTAAATGGAAAAATCTTTTGGATGTTTTTAAACTAATCGAACAAGCATTTAAATTATACCCTAGACTATAAAGACCCACGCGATTGAACGGATGAGTAAACCTTTCGTCTCAGTGCTGTCACATGGTGCCCGTTATTCCAGAAAACCCGCATTGGATTAGAATGAAAAAAAATCATATTGTCTTCTTTGTTTGGCCATATAATTGGCGACCTCCGCAGCCGAGTGCTTTGTACGCCGGGTTTCATTTCAAGTTGTCTCCTACTCGAGAGGTCCCGGTTTCAAATCCCAGTGGGGGCAGATATTTGTGTGATGAATACGAGCATTTGAACTCCAGTCATCATCTTCATTATCATCAGCCTATTAATGTCCCCACTGCTGGGGCACCGGCCTTCCCTATGGATGGAATAGGGAGATTGGGCCATGACCCACCACGCGGGCCCAGTGCGGATTGGTGGGTGCAAACGACTGCAGATCCAGCCGGGACCAACGGCTTAACGTGCCTTCCGAAGGAGTTCGAGATAGTAATTTTTGGTCACCCAACCAATGACCGACCACTGCGAAAGTTGCTTAAGTTCAACGATCGCAGCTGAACGCGCTAACCACTTGCGCCATCGAGCTCCTCTGACTCCAGTCATGGATGTTAAATATGTGTGTCTATATAAATATACTTATATGTGTCAATATTTGTATTCTATCCGTTATCCTGGTATCCCATAACACAAACCTAAGTTGCTTGCTTTGGAGCTAGGCTAATTGGTGTGAGTGTTAGAAATATAATATATCGACAGTGGAAAGGCTAAATCGCTTATACACCACTTTGGTCGAAAATACGAATAAATATTTTATTCATTCATTTTAATCAGTTTTTTTTTCTGCGCCGATCGGTTATATGTTTTGTGAACATTTGAGTACTTTTTTGGCGCATAAGTAACTCAATTTTATGAAGATTTTTATTGTTCACAACGCTAAAGCCACATAAATTTTGGTGTTTTTAAACCAATGTCGCTTACACCCTACTACTTGGCGTATGATTTGAAGGTTGCTTGACAAAAAAATTATGGCGGGCCAAGTGATTTTCGCTTAAAAGCGACATCTAATTCGCAAAGGAAAGGCACTACGTAACTTTTTAATAGGAGGATATTTAGAAAATATTATTTTATAAATATGTTTTCATGATTATAGCTCTACTTCTCATTTATAACAGTACACTAAAGTTTTATAATCCAAACATAAAATTTTTAATTCTTATAATTTTTATAATTTATGGACATTGTGGGTTTACCTATAATGCGAAGAGATGGCGCTGCCTTGCAGCTTAATAATGGCTAGAAGAATTTCGACGCGGTCCGTGAGGGCCGCGGTAGCATAATTGGTCAGTGCATTTGCCCGGATTGCGAAGGGTGCTGGTTCGGGTCCCGTCTGCTGCCTGGTCGGCGTGGAATTTTTTCTAATTATATTTTCTTTAGGTTTTAAATTCTTTTTTCTTTTAAATTAAAAATAATATCGAACTGACTCGTTCGTTGGAGATTGTCTTGTTAGTGGTCAGTTTTATTTTATTTATATTCTTAAGCATTCCAAAAAGTTAGATAATTAAAAAAAATCTAAATTAATTTTGGGTACGAAACTGTTTTTTATTTGTATTAATAAAAATAATAGTGGGTGACTGTTAATGGCCTCACATGCAACCGTAAAACCAAAAATGTAAAACTTAATTGATAGGCTATTGTCCCTAAAAAATAAATAAATACAATGAGGTATAGACCACAGATCCTTGCAGCTGAGCGGCGGTTCGTTCCTCGAATGATGCGCGAGGCTATTAAGATTAAAAAATATCCAAATTTCAATAGGGAAGATGGTTGGTATGTACCACCAGCTTGGGAACCTATTATACAGGAGATAAAATCCCAACCGAGCACACACTGCAAGACCATCAGATACTATTAGTTCTTTTTGTTTGCATAATTTAACATAAGAAGGAGATAGAAAGCCTCTCTTGAGTTTGTTTCGCCGGTTCTTCTCAGGAAGGTCTCCCAATTTTGGAACCGGTGGTAGTTTACGGTAGTTAGGGTCAAATAAATAAACTCAAAATTACAAACAAGAATTTTAAATAAAATTACTTTATTAAGTAAATTAAATAATAAATTCATACATAGACAATAAAATTTTAAAAATCTTCCAATGAAATAACCGAACGCTCAATATAAGTCTTTCGAAGGTAGCTCGACAATTTTAAATAAAAAATCATTATTCTGACGATGCACACCTGAAAAGGCTGCGAAACGTCAATAAATAAATAAAGTTTCGTGCATTAACCCGTAAAAACTAGTTTTATTTAATGAGGTACTGTTTTTTTTTGTGAAAAAAAAATTTTATCCTCTTTTCTGTAAAGTTACTTAAGTGACGATAAAGCGAGTTTTCTTTTTCCACTGTCGGATAATAATATATGAATGTATAATGAGCGATGTATTTGTTATTACAGTGTGAACGCCCGCGACTGGAAGAGGCTGCGCGCGCGCAGTGTACTGGAGGACACTCATTATACGCCTAATTTAATGCATTTCACTGTGAGGTGTTGAGGGCTCAAAAGCAGATTTTATTTGAATTTTTAATGAATGTTATTATATTATTTAGTTGTTTTTGTTAAGAATTGTAGAACATTATAATCTCCAATTGCTGAATGGTGGTGAATATTTTATGGTGTCGAATGGAATTTTATGGATTTGTTTTTGATTCTCATGCATACTGAGTGTATTTAATGGACGAGAAGTGTCAGGATGTCAATTATATTTCATGATGTGAATCAGTATTACAGGGCTAATAAATTTATGCATTCGTGTTCAGAACAGTGAAAGAAAAGAAGACTAGACGTTGCACATTTCTTGTACTCCAAAATCGAAAATCTCTTTTTTATTTGGATCTTTCTCATATATATATATTCGGTCCAATTGATCTCGTGCAACGAATAAAAAAATATATAACAAACATATTTTTGAAAAAAAAAAGCTTATGAGCACTTTTTGAATACAAACAAAGATTATATAAATTGTTCGTAACATGTTATGTATGTTAGAAATTATTGTGTAAATAATTAAATGATAGATTGGTATTTATGTTATTTACTGTTTAGAGTTGTAAGTGTAGTAGATGCGGCCGGGACACGTCAAAGTGACATTTTGATAGGAAAGTCGATAATTTATTTTTTACTAACTATTAAAAAATGAAATATACCTAATATTTGTGTCTGAATACCTTAATATTAGGAAATATTTAAACTACAATTTTGTACTAAACCGACCAGTCCGGCGTCTCATTTGTTTTTTATAGAAAACACTTTTGCAGTTCATAATACTGCGCGTTAAACAGAACTGCCACACAAATTTATATATAAAGAGATTAAATATACTTCTAGAATATAGTTTTATAAAAAAATATATGATGGATCATTTAGTTTATTTAGGTATAGCTAAAACAATGCGCCTGTTAGTGAACTGTAGAGATGTTTTTTGTTACATGTTGTATATTATGATTGTGATATATAAAATATATAACTGTTCGCAAAGTAGCTAATTTTATATGTTAAGACGAAACTGTACTGAGGTGATGTTTAGAGCAAAGATTTATAAAATAAAATTATGTTAAACTATTATTGTAAGGAGTTCATTTTTTTATATAAGTGAAAATCGAATGCTACATATTTAAATGTGCCATTTACCGAGTGTAATCCTAGAATAGGTAACGTTTTACGAATGATAACATTTAAGTTGACATCACAATATGATTATGGGCCTACATAACCGGCCCCCTGGCATGAGCACCGCGATATGATATATAACGCGTTTTTATCACGCTCAACACTCAAATTACTACGGAGTTTGACAGTTAGGCGCGATAAAATACGTGATATAATGTAAATTGTGGTGCTCATGCTTCGGGGTCTGAATAGCGTAACATAACACGTGCCTTGAATTACCTTCCATGCCCCGACCACAATTAGTGATACGGATGATGACTATTTTTTCTTCGTCTTATCAGGTGGATTATCAAAAGTACTGGACACATATTTTTCCTTTTTTTTGTGAAAAAATCAATACATTACAGTATTGATTCGAAATGTTGCATGTCTTGGTATAAGCCGCGCCAATAAAGAAACGAATCTAAAATGGCGGCGGCGATCATGCGCTCTCACTCTAAACTATTGCTGTCTTTAGTCGCACACGGCGCGTACTGCATGCAAAAATATCAGTTCTGACTTTGTTCTCGCACTGTCTCTACATCTTTCTTTTTATTTGTTGACCCTATCATCTGTCAGTGCAGGTACATAGACGCCATTTTCGATTCTTTTCTTTATTGTCGAGGATTATACAATTTTTACTTAGAAGTGACGTCACTCCCGAACTTTGATTTTGACTCTTTGTTATTTTTAAGTTTGACAAAAGCAAAAATAAGCGTCCATTATCATTTAATAATCTAAAGGACGTGCATAGATAGAATTTCGTTTGTTTGAACCCGTCATCACCCCTATTGAACATACGTATTTGTTTGCTAAATTGTAGTTATTTTAAAGTCATTATACATACGTACTGCAGTATTCATATCAGGGACCACACAGAAGGAACACTATCGGATAGTATCGTAATTAATTAAGATTTAAAAAGTCCAGAATTTATTAGACAAAGTCGTCGACATACTATTGCAGCCGACCTTGAAATATTACTATATCCAACTATATTAGTGAATTACATCAAGACATAATCAACTGTACATAATTTAGTTAGTAAATCAATTCAAAAGAAGATTTGAAATAAAACAACTTTTTTAAAAAATACATGGAATGTTTTTTTAATCCATTTAAAATGTTAATAAAAAAAATCCACTTTTTAATTAGCATGTTAGAAATGATTATTTAATTTGTTTTTAGTGACATATTGTAGAAACTTACTATTACTTGCTATACTTAGCACTTCGCTCCTGCCCTCAGCTGTCGTATAAAAACGACTTTGCTGTCGCATAGAAGCGTAGCCGGCTTTTCAAATATATAAGTTTCCACTTGAGTATTTCTAAAGAGACAGTCTTTTTTTTCTTATTGTTTAATAATTAACTATGAATTTCCGTAGCACTGCCTAAAATTTCAGACTGACACGTTCCAGGCAGAATGTACTTTGAAATGTCACAAGTATGGAGAGATTATTTTATTGTGAAGACGCACTCGCAGCACCACCACTCTGGTACAGTTAACATCACTTGGCTCAGAGTTACAATTTAAAATATCATTTTTATATTATGTTCTGACGTGGGCAGTAGATGCGGTATAGAATAGCTGAACAAAATTTTCTAATGTATTTTGTACTTTATTACAACCACGTCAAAGTTAAAAATGGCCTGATGTGTTGTTGACTGTACATGCGATTACAAAGGCTGACACTTTTTAGACTTGAGAAAATAACTATATATCTACTCGTCCAAAAATATTTGCATTTAAGAAATATTTGATATTATAATACACTTTTAATTAGTAATCATATTCCTTTTTAGTGTTCTGTAAATAATTAACAATTTTAGAGCACTCCGAATTATGTTACATTAAAATAAAATATAAGATGCTTTATTATCAGGAATTCGGTGAAAAGGGGCATTTTTCTGAGAAGAGGTTATTTGCGTTTTCTTCTCTGTTTTATCTCTTTCTTTCAGACACCTGAATGAAAAGATTTAATAAAGCAATTAATATCCATGTAACTAAATACTAAAAGTAATTTCTTAAAAGGGCCTTGACAAGCAATATTACAATTGTTTTGACTGTACTACCATAAGGTTTAAACCCCGGCAAACTTCTTGAGCAGCGACCATAGACAAGATAGCAGAAAAACGCAAACTTCATTTGCCTAGGGTTGCTCAAGAAGCTGCTACCTAAATGTAAGGTACATTCATTACATAATGGAACAAGCCGTCAGTTTATATTCTATCTAAAGCAACACATTGGTACTGATACGTACGTCCGTCAACTGTCCTTAGTGTAGCTAGGGATTTTTCCTAGAGGGGAAGGGGGGAGAGATTTTTTTCTTAGGGGACTTTCTTAATCGTCCAGTTGGCCTAATGGCTCATTCCTGCCCACCTCTAGTTACGCCCATGCGTGCCAATCAAACAATCGAACCAATCAGTGCTCACAACCGGGAGCAACGACGCAATCAGAACCAAGTTTTGGTCAAGTTAAGAGCATTTGCTCACACAACTGTGGCGCGCCTGCCCCGCCCACAAGACCCTTCTAAACTCTTTCTGTGTTCTGTGGGAGCAGTCAATAGGGTATTTGACAAGTTTTAGAAAACGATCTCACGTTATTGACTAATGTTTATGGAGTCCGTCCGGAGTGGATATTCATCATTCTGTTGTGTATTTCAGTAAAAATAACCCAATCAAAAACTCCATTTTCAAGTTGCCGCGAAAACGTTTTTCTAGACAATATGGCGTCTTACTAGTGTGTGACGTCACACGACTGTTATAAAAACGTCAAACGATACAATATAATGTCACTTTAACCGGAAGTTTACTTGCGTGTGACATCATTTTAGGCTCCGACAATCCCAAGCGTTTTGGGTCACGTGACAATAGATAAGAAAACTATTATCTTTTTCGTGGGTTTTAGTAAGAATAGTAAAAACTCCTGCCAATATTCATTCTAAACACAGATGCTAACATTTGGCACTTTATTTTTAATACTGTCAAATACTCTATTACAAGCTTCTCAATAAAAGTTTAATTGCGGATTTTAGTTTACGACCCCAAGCAGGAACAACTAGCGAGGAAATATTGGTATTGTCATTGTCAAAATTTATATGGAAAGAGCTAGTATGTTTTTACGTCCGGTAGGGGCGCTGCTTAATTTCCATAGAAAAAGACATGGTGATACATTTTTTTCTCCCTAGTTCTTGCTTAGGGTTGTGAACTAAACTTTGCAAAAGCTTTTATTGAAAGTTTGACGTCGCTGCCGGTCGTAAATTAAAACCATAGGCAGAAAATGGCCGGATCCTGTCCAACTGTAGCTTGAACGGCCCAAAGTACGTATAGTTATTAGCTATATCTTCGCTTTCTCTCTTTCAAGAGTTGCCAATTTCATACGACTTGAAACAAATGCAGTGTCTGAAGTACCTCTTTGGCCAATAATGGTCTTCTCACTACGAATAGCGTTAACTGTAACCTAGTATGTCCGTTCATTACAACTAATACCAGCTGAGTTCGGTATTCGCAGAGGCGACGGATTTTTGGTCACTTGATAACAGATTAATCAGAGCAAATTGCCACATAAATAACCAAAAGCTAATATATTTTACAAATGAGATATAATTCTTATATTTTTTGTGTTCATTTACAATCCATTGAAAATTTAAAAACTCACTTGATAGAATAATAAACTTACCGTTTGTGTCATTTTTATGTATTAATGGTGACATATACTATCATCATCAATCAATCTCCGATGCCAGCAACATCAACGGGTTTTCCTTATAACATACATTTTGTTAGAATCATATATGTAATTAAAATGGTACCTATATCTGTAGCCGAATTTATGTGACGGATCCAATACGTTCCTACCATTTGTAAGCTCTAGTCTGCCTGTATCATTCAATGCAACTTGCCGAGAGGAAATATTTATCAAAGACGTGTATGTTATTTGTTTTGATGTAATTAATTAAATGTTATGAAAAATATTCATCACTTTCATTTACTATTCGACTTTATTAATGGCCGTTCGAGTGATGGGTGACCAAAATTAATTGAATGAAATTTCATGCTTCATTCGTACATAACTTTGTTGTTTCCACATTACATCAAAAGGGATGGTAAGATAGAAGACTTAATTGAATTCAGGTATTTATAAAATCAACAACAATTAAATTTTATTTTGTTTTATTTAAAGTGGATAAAAAAAAAACAAATTCAACTTCTCAATTCATTTTAATCAATTGATCCTATTACACATAAGTATGAGCATAATGTTCACCATGATATAATCAATAACCTATACATATTCTTATTAAATTCTACCCTATCGTAACCGCCGGGTTACTGCCACTCGGATGGCTCAGCTCGAGACAAACGGATAGCATGCAATAGTGCCATTATATGTAAAACATGTGACTTTCAAGAGATAAATTCGACTGTTAAAGTTCCAGTCATAGAAAAAAAGACCTTAAGGTTAATTGAGTAAGGGTCTAATAGCTGGCCTTCTAAACTGCGCACCAATTCCAAAATTACTATGTTGAGAGCAGCTTATTTTAGCCAGTTCTATCAATTAGTTTAGGCAATCATACTCATTACAATACTCAAATAGACTCAAACAACAAACTATTTGGATTATATTGGAAAAAGCTAGCACTAATGAAAGCTTTCCTGCTATTGGCCGGATTGTATTGCTGTCTTTACTCTAGCCAATGGCATCTCGATTTCTCGCGTGACACAGATGTCCATCATTGCATTTTGTAATGAAGAAAGCGCTCCACTAAATCGTATTTGTGAGTCGAGTAGTTATTTATCCAGTCTTCTTGACAGTATAATTATATTATACAATACAAAGCTACCAGAGCTTAAAACTCATTTGTATTTACAGTGGTATTTTGCAGTTCAGTTGCAATCCCGAAACAAAATCCCATTAGGGTTATCATAAGTAGCAGCGCATGAGAAATGAAGGATTTCTGAAACGATGGACGCTAGATGGCAGCAGTCTACATATTTGTTAAGCATCCCTCAATAAATTCGCGCCATAAATCCCATTTATGCCATGGTAATGCCAACTAGAAGCATACATTTTCCTGAACCTCATTCAGTAATATGTCAGCGTAATTCATAACATTTTCATTAAAATACTTTATCATCAATCCGCGCCTGCTCTGTCGACTTTCGATATATCGAGGCTGTCATTGTCCATCGTTTCTAATGCCAACACTTCACTTGGCCGACGTATTTGCTATTTCTAAACTTGACGCAACAGTCTGTCTTTATCATGCTTTATAAGTTATGAAAAGGACAGACGGATGTCAAGTCAACAAATAACAAATACGAATAGCCAAGTGAAATCTTGGCATAACTTACATAGTTTACACGACACGACAAAATCGTCGAAATTCACTACAAATTGAGTAGATTTTTAGAGTGCAGCCCCTGGTTTCAGTTCTAACTTTAGATACTATATTTTATAGTTGGAGTGTGACTCGGCGCTATGTGACAAATAAAACCAGTACTTTGATTAAAGGTATTATCTCAGATCGCGGTCATCGATTAAAAATTCGAATAAATACCTATCTACTTACATGATTTCGTTTACAATAGCTTAGCATATATATTTTACTATAGACGATATCTTAGGAAGCTAGGAAATAAATTTACTTCATTGACACGTATTGAGCGCAGACCACATTGGCAGCGAAGCGAAACGAATGAAACAGTTCAGTTCACTATTTCAGTTCATGCCGGCACTTCACATGGCTATTCGTATTTGCTATTTGTAAACATGACAACAGCCTCTACTTTTACTCTCTTTATAGTATGAATCAATCTCCTTATTCCATCCATGGGGAAGGCCTGTGCCCCAGCAGTGGGGATATTAAAAGGCTGATGATGATGATAGTATGATTAGAAAAACCTCAGTCAAAATGACGAATAGCTAATAAAATTAACCATTTGAAGTGCCGACATCGAATCGCAAACGTTTTAATTGCAACCGGCTTCCCCACTCGGTGGTTTTTTTGAAAAATTGTTAATTATTTGTTCTCTCAATATAGTAAACAAAATAATCATATTAAATACAGATGCCAATTATTGGTACTTTATTTTTCATACTGTCAAAGAGCCCATCATTCTCCAATTGATTTTACCAATCTTAGACACAAAGTTCAAAATGGATTGCACAATTTTGTAGTAACCTGGCCTGCTGTTTTCCGTACATCGGCAACATGATCACTTCCAACAACATGAAACAAGCATGCAGATCATTACTGTACCGCTTTAACATTGAACTTTATAAGTAAATGTACTAGGATTCAAAATAATTTATAACTTCACTAGATATATTTACGGTGACTTTTAAAATTACTTCAAAATCTTTGAAGGCTATGGACGGTTATGTAGCTAGATATTTAAGTTCACATATAAACACTTGGCTATGAGGCACAGATAATTATTTATATATGATTGCACAGCAAAAGGAATTATTCATACCTACAGTAGACCTACGCCTCTGATCTACAAATGCCGAAAAAAATGCATTAAACCTCTAAACAGTACAGATAACTATACAAGATAGAAATAGGTTCTATACGTTACACAATAAAAAACTTAAATATATAATAAAACAGCCATATTATTCAGTTTCTTATTTTACATACGTTTTGTATTTGATACAAAATAGACTGTGAATTAATTCGAATGCAAAGTGATTGTGCCTAAAATGGTATAATGTCGAAGTCATCATACACCTAGAGAAAGCATTGCAGTAGAATATGTTAAACAGTAGCATTTTAAAATAATTAAATATTTTGTCTCCATATTGATATAATAAGACAAAAGAATTATGTGACACCATGTAAATTCAATATCGAAAGGAAATTATGAATTAAATATTTATATAGCTATATACATTTTTTATATACTTTTATACACACAAACTATGTTAATTCCTGTTTATTGAATTTATGTTGTGCCTATTGTTTTAATACGATAGTTATAATAAAAGTGTTTTCATTATATACATTGGTTATATTTGAATTGAAATATAAACCTTTCTGTGAACAAGATAAGGCACTATTATTATTTTATCCATGTTTCGTTTATAATACCTGAACAGTTTTACGTGTAATTGTTACACAAGTAACATAGAATAAACAATGATGTCTCAAGACCAACCATCTCCATAGCCGTTACATAATAATTTATATATCAATTTAATTTTAATATATAACAACAATAAAACTATATTATTATGATATTTACAAGCTGTTAAATGCCTAAATACGATAATAATGTGAAGGTACAGAATAGTACGAAAACTATTAGAATAATGGCAACCCAGGCAGGTACGGTACCTGAAAAACAAAAAATTGGTATTTATACACCAGTAAATTACAAGCATATATATATAAATATAAAAAAAAACGACGGGTTGCACTCCGGGAGTGCCGGCAGAAGTGAAAACTTGAATATTAACGTTGTGCATTTTTGATGAATGTTTAGAGAATAATTTTTCACGAATTGCTTTAATTATCAGTATAAAAGTACTATTGTTAATGTGGTAGAAAACAATATTTATTTATTGCGCTATCGTACACAAACATGACAATTTATATTACATTAAAAAGTTTATCTCTCAGAAAAATCAACTACCATGAATCACATTTTAGCGCACCTAGCGACATCTATTGTAAAAAAAATGCATTTTCTTCGCAATAAAGCTGCCACCTGGACGACCTTATTAGAGACTTATTATTATAATACGATAAAATAAACTATTACTATGTTTCGTCCAATATATTGAAAGTCAACAACCTTTCCAATTTTATTGTTTTCGTCTTACGAATTTTCGATTAAGTCACGTGTCCTGACGCGAGTTTAACAATTTTTACCATTACAAAAAATGTGTACAACTCCGCTAAAGAAGTTTTCACTTCATAAAAATAATAAGTTCGATGGCCAAGCAGTAAGCGTGAGCGCTTTTTAAGCAATATGTTTTGTCTGTTGTTAGCACCCACTAACCCACACTGGGCCTGCTCTCTGTAAGTCATGACCCTATTCCGGCCGTAGAGAAGAGTTTTAAACGAAGTACGGTACAGCTGGTTTAAACCCGAATCAAAGCACCCAATGAAGACCATTACTAGGTCAGCAAATCAACTCAAAATCAACAGTATAATGATCTAACAAGCTTTTTAATTCATATACTTTTTAAATTTTAAAAATCGGTTCATTCGTTGCGTTTTTATAACTAATTTTATGGTAGCCAATATTCACCGGCAACCGAAACGTGTGACGTCACACAGCTCGGTCGTGGTTCACTCCGGTTGACCTTTAGTAGCGTCTCTACTCACGCTCGCGCCCGAGCTCTGTGACGTCACAGTCGGTCAGTCGGAAATTCGTTTAGTAATTTGGTCATAACTTCGTCAATATTTGTCGCAGAACAAAAATTTAACCACTGTATTTTATGGAATCCTTAGCTCTATAAATCTGCATTCTCAACTAAAATCGTTACGGGTCCCCATTGGTGAAGTAACCTCTGCCTTAAAGAAGACCACCACACTGAAATAAAACTTTCAGAATGATCTCAGGTCTGAGAATCGGACAACATCTATTTTTTATCCCCCTAAATGTTAGGGTAATCCACCCCTAAATTTTTTTTTTCAATTTTAGATAATATTTTTTTTTATTTTTTTATGATACAGTATTAGTAAATACATACAGCCCTAAATTTTGACCCTTCTACCACCAACCCCTATTTTTTTATGGCGGTACGAAGTTCGCTGGGACAGCTAGTACGCATCTAAAAATTCATAATTAAAAAAGTGACATTAAATAGAGTTTAATTAAAAAGGCAGTTGTCGACGGATATGGACAGCAGCGCCAGCGCGGCGTCTGACCGCGCAGTGAGGCCGGCACATTGATAGTGCGTCATGTATGGAGTGTAGTGTGTGGTGTACGGGTGGTATACTGACCGCGCGGGGGCAGGCTGTGCACGCAGAGGCAGTTGTCGACGGATATGGACAGCAGCGCGGCGTCTGACCGCGCAGTGAGGCCGGCACATTGATAGTGCGTCATGTATGGAGTGTAGTGTGTGGTGTACGGGTGGTATACTGACCGCGCGGGGGCAGGCTGTGCACGCAGAGGCAGTTGTCGACGGATATGGACAGCAGCGCGGCGTCTGACCGCGCAGTGAGGCCGGGACCGCCCCCTCGGACGGGGAGGAACTCCACGCCCGTTACAAACATCATGTGAGCGTTCTTCACGTGGAGCACTCGCTGTATATAATGCAGAACATTAATACATACTTACATTCAAGTTACTAATTGCAATACATATTAATATTCATGGTGTTACTTTTGTGTTACAGTGATACGCGCGCATCTTGAAATTTCACTCTCATGATTTTTTCATAACGCGCCCGCGGCCAACTTCAATGTGTTACTTTTGTGTTACAGTGATGCGCGTCTTAAAATTTCACTCTCATAATTTTTTCATCTCTATTAGTATATGGAAGTTAGTCGTCACCCCTTTTAGTAGGGAAGTATGGATACTGACCTGCAGACTGAACGCCACGTATACATAGATGGAGCCACTGAACATGGTGCCCACGCCCACGTAGCGGCCGTCGTCCCGGACCGCTAGCGCCGACAGCGCCTCCGTAACGCTGGCGGAGCGCTGCAGCCCTCCCTCGGCACCCCACGACTGCAGGAGCCCGCGCTGCCGGGACCCGCCCCGTAGTAACGGGTTCGCGATACTGAACATTCGATGGGCTCCCGGCTGGTCTTCCACCATGCCGAACCTGGACACGACAATGTTATTGGAACGAAGTTCCTTACGGCAGGCTTGGAAGAGATAGGGATTTTGCTGCGCGACCAAATTGAAAAAAATGTGATAGTAAAACCGTAAGAAAAAATCCGTGGAAAAAAGTGCGTGGAATAAAACCGTTAAATGAGACGTGCGCAGGCGCGACAGTCACATACACAAGCGAGTTTGCAATTTGTGTCGATTCTACATTAGCCGAAGGAACTTCGTTCCTACCTGGTGTCCCACGACACCACATCATTTTTATTATTACGATCTCCTCAGTAATAGTAACGGCGCTAGGCTACTTCAACAAACACCTTTATAATATAGGTATTTCTGACAGCCCTCTGTGCAGAGCCTGCTTGGAGGAGGAGGAGACGAGCGCCCATGTTCTGCTGGAGTGCAGAGGCGTTGCAAGACAAAGGACATCTCTAATGGGAAGCCCGCGGACACTAGTAGAAGCCTGCAGCAATGTCCGGGGACTGCTGAGCTTTTTGGAGGAGCTGGGATGGCAGGACTGATGCCAATCCCCACGCAAAATAGGCACTGGGTGTCGAGTTGCAGAAACAGCCCGCCCTTCTACTAAGACTAGCAACGGCGCTAGCCGAAAGGTCCTTTACACTGAAGCAGCACTGCTACCAAGGCACGGACGCAAAGTAGTCCCGCATACAAATTATTGAAAAAAAAAATATCTGCAGCTGCATACGCTGACCCATTCCCCTAATCCCTGGAGTACTTATTACATTTGGTATGATCATCCACCATTCAATACTGGCGGATACACACATTAATGTATACGGTTCACAATACTGAACATGCAGTGCTTGCCTGATCTTCTTCTGTTGGTGCTGGTGTGTCTGAGTTAATGCTGAACTCCAAGCATTAACAGAAACAATCAGTGTCAGATAGAAACCAGAAACCAGATAGAGCCTCTCCTTTAAAACGCCTTTACGTTAAACTTAAAGCATTAAAACGTAAAACCAAATATTATGAGATTTTGACTTTGTACAATGGCCCAAAAAACACATATGTATAACGAAATATTTACTTTTTCTGTATATCAGTTACAGACCATCAAAAATTATAGCATTAAAAAACAATTCTCCAATAAAAATATCATTATATAAGAAGTCTTCCAGACACATGTGTTATAAAACAGAATTCAATTTAGATTTATCATCTGAGACATATAATTTTTTACTGACCTGCACCTCCGAAAGAGATATTTGCTACCATTGGGTGGCTGGCAAGTGATCTTGAGTAATGGTTCTCGTGGGGTCCCAGAAGTAGACCACACTAGTGCCTGACCATCTTTGCCAATGCTCACCAGCTGCTTGTCACAGGGACTGAAGTCTAGGTCATCAAGCTAGAATTATCAACAATCCAAACTAACTTGATATATCCTCACAATTAAAATAAGAAAAAGACAAGGAACTCTTTCAAGTTCGAACTGTTCAAAGCAATATATTTATATCTTATTAAACTTCAAATTTGAAGATAAAGCAAAAGAATTCTTTTTATATTATACACATACTGTTCTAATTAAATAGAAATTTAAGCTCACCTCTTTGGAGTGACCTTCTAGCACATATAGTAACTCCATCTTGGGGAACGACCAAACCCTAACTTTAGTATCAAATCCTCCGGTTGCCATCAACTTGCCGTTGTGGCTAACTCTTACCACACGCAACAAGGGATCATCACTGAAATGTTAATTAGATCATTAAAGAATAATAGTTTTTTTTTGCGCTATGTAAAAAGGATGGCCGATAAAGATATGAACTGACTTATGGTAAATGGCTACGGCATGTAAAGATTTGTAATACTAAAGCATCACTTGCATTTTGCAAATCCTAGCCCCTTGGAAGCTTGGAACCTTAATCACTGATGGGTACCCAACACCCGCTTAAGATCTTATTTCTTTGTTGGTCTTATGTCACAGTGGTCTTCTGTAAGGTGTGAGTTACTTCCCCAGAGAGGCAAGGAAAGTCTGCTTTGCCCTTCCTCTCTCACAATGGTTTCAGTATTACACATTATGGCATAGAAAGCAATTATTTATCACAATTTTTCAATTATTTTCTAACCTTGTTAATAAAGAAAAGAAGCATGTTTATGGTGAGTATTGAAATTATTGTAAGCTCCAGACTAATTCCGGTGTATGATTTTTAAAATATATTGAATTGAGCATTAAAGAGATTTTATTACTAGAGCGAAATTCTTAAGTCAGTATGAAATAAAACAGCTTATGGTGTCGATTCTGGCATGATTCTCTCAACTTAAAACAAAATTTAACATCAGTCTCTCCTTTTCATTCTATATAGAGAATGACAAGAATGCACTGTTGTCAAATTTAAGTTTAGGCTTGAAGAATCATGCCAGATTTGTCTACATCACTGTTCTACTAAACATTATTTCAAGTGACTTTTCAAAAAGTCACTTGAAATATTTTATGCAATCATGCTATTTTTTAAATAATTATATTTCAAATTATTTTTATAGAATTTACTTCTACCTTGACAAAAAATTTAGTAATATATAATGCAAACCAACCAGCATAGCAAAAATCAAATCAAAACAATTACAAATGTTTTAATACAAGAAGTTACAGGAAATAATATTTTTTAACTGAAAAACACTTTATAATTGAAATTTATTAACAATAAAAATATTTACCTGAAATCTGTCTGAACACTATCACAAGGCCTAATCTCAAATGATATTCTTTTCTCCGTAGTATTGCTATTGCGGTCTGTCTTAGAGATATTGTCGTTTTCAGACACTGTACGTCTCCTTCTCCTTACAAGTCCATTTTCAGCTCGAAAACTACCTCTCCTCATCTCTGCTGCATCTACCATTTTCATATTTATCTTGTACAACTGGCAGTGACTCTCTTGGCCCGCTGTCAAGTAAGTCCGGTTCTGCAGGTTACGCACAGAACAGGTCATCACCACATTCGGGCCAGTCTCATGCCGCATCACCTCTTCGGCCACAAATCTAGTTCCATTGTGAGAGAGCTCAAATATTTCCTACAAAGAATACAGAGCATCCGTTACATAGGCTATAATTAATTAGTTTTGCTTCAGCAACGTACTCGGACACGTATGCGGATACACCGATTGCTTTGTTTTTTAACAAAAAATAATACGAAATATACTCACAAATCCATTATGCACTCCCGTATTTGAAGCTCCTCCACCGCCCGCCACAATAACATGTCGATTTGTAAGTGTTTGAAGGGTGTAGAGAGGAAAATCTACTCGGGCTAATAATCCGTCGCATCTATTACGAGACATTTTATGTTAGAACATCAAGTCCACAGAATTGAATCATCCAAATTTCACTTCAATCACTACTTTCTATCTGGCAAAGCCACATGAGTCCTTTTTCTATAGAAAAATCATTTTAATCACTCTTAAATATGGCTAAAACATCTTTAATTTAGAACCAAACTTAGACGAGAATTCATAGTTCCAACATGACAAAAGTCATTTTGACAGACTTGCGTTCAGGAATAAGTGTGTAAGCAGAGTAGATAAGTTTATGAACAAGGTGTTGAAAAGGAATCAAGAAACACGTGACTAAGTACATTTTTCGCTGCATGACGAATTTTTTTATTTATAATATTTTTTATTTTAACACAAGAGTAAAGTAGGCAGCCTCATGCATTACTTGTGTTATTATAATTTTCAACATTGCAGATCAAATGTCAAGAAGTTCGTACTTCGTATACTACTGCTTTTTACCGTTGTAGAGCTGCGCAAGTTTTATCAAAAAACTTCTTGACATAGGACGCGTATCGAGGTCGAATTCAACTTCTTGCAAAATTGTATTGGAGTATTAGTACAGTCAATCTGTCGAAAAAATATCGTTTCAGTGAAAAAAAAAACCTAAAGGGTAAATCTTGTTTTTTCTGTTGCCAAATGACGTCAGTAAGCCACCTTGGCGATGGGCATGTTCAACTCGTAGGCGTTTTTTTAAACTCAAAAAATCCCTCAAAAAATTTTTGAAACGCATTTTTCTTGTTTTGTATGCATTTTAGAAACTTTTTTTTTCGACCATAATTGTAGAGGGCGTTGAGTGCTATAATTTATGTCATTGTTGCAATCTCGTACAACAAAAAATGCGCATTGTAGGTGGCGCTAAAGTCTCAAAAAAGTGTTTTTTCACTCTGAAAATATCATTTTAATGGAAAACTTCAAATGGCAAAGTTGTTTCGTACATAATTACCAACAACTTTTGTATAAACATTTTTTTTGTATTACTTACCGTTTTCCAGTCATAAATTGCGCTGGTATGAAAAATCCAATAGAGCGGTATTGGGCAGTTCAAGTACACATTTGCAGTGCACATTTCAATGTACGTTTTACTATTTTTTATTTTTTTTCATGATTGGAAAAAAAATAGTAAAAACGTACATTGAAATGTGCACTGCAAATGTGTACTTGAACTGCCCAAAACCGCTCTATTTTTCATAACTGCGCAATTTATAACTTGAAAACGGTAAGTAATACAAAAAAAATGTTTATACAAAAGTTGTTGGTAATTATGTACGAAATAACTTTGCCATTTGAAGTTTTCCATTAAAATGATATTTTCAGGGTGAAAAAGTGAAAAAACACTTTTTTGAGACTTTAGCGCCACCTACAATGCGCATTTTGTGTTGTACGAGATTGCAACAATGACATAAATTGTAGTACTCAACGCCCTCTACAATTATGGTCGAAAAAAAAGTTTCTAAAATGCATACAAAACAAGAAAACTGCGTTTCAAAAAATTTTTGACGGTTTTTTTGAGTTTTTAAAAAAACGCCTACGAGTTGAACATGCCCATCGCCAAGGTGGCTTACTGACGTCATTTGGCAACAGAAAAAACAAGACTTACCCTTTAGGTTTTTTTTTCACCACTCAACCTACAGATTGACTGTACTATATTGGTTTGTGCTAGGGGTACCGAACTGATTTTTGGTTACCCTCACTTTCATCCTATTAAAAGAGGATAAAAAGGCCTCCGTTCTCTATCTCTTACTCGTCCTGTTTTATCACTATACCTCTTGTTTAAATAGTATGTCCATGTATGGCATTCATGTTCATGACATCCCGTTGACATTCACGTCATTGATTCACGTCACACATACTCTTTGAAGCCCTACGTTTACGATTATAATCATTTATGCCATGGGGATACTTCATTTCTCTATTCGTGTTGGCTATTTGTAAACTTGACATCAGTCTGTCCTTTTCTTTCTTTGAAAAGCATGACAAGGACAGACTGTTGTCAAGTAAATAAATAGTAAACATGGATAATTAAGTGACATAATCACTGGTGTCGATTCTGGCATGATTCCTAAAACTTAAAAAAAATTACATCAGTCTCTCCTTTTCATTTTGTACAGAGAATGACAGAGATACACTTGTTGTCAAAAAGTTAAGATTTACAGAATCATGTCAGAATCTACCTTCACCAATGTCTGTAATCTGTGTGGCGGACTGGCGGATTGGCGGTTGATTTATGAAAAAGTTAAGAAGCTGGTAGGAACAATTTTGTTTAGTACCTACTGAGGAAATAAATGTCGAAGCGGTATTTTACGGTTCTTACAAAACTTCTTCATAAAACTATTTGTGACCCTGCAAAGTCTCATCATCATGGCTTCTGCAACACCGGGAAGAGATTGGCAGCTCGGTTGTATGGAGTTGAAGCAGAGAGGAGCTCATTTACTGCAGTCAAGTCAATGGTCTGACTGCTCGTTCTTGGTGGGATCAGATTCCAATCGGATTACCATCAAAGCCCACAAACTTGTTCTAGCATGTGCATCGCCAGTGTTCGAGGCCATGTTTTACGGTGGTATGGCCGAAAAAGACGGTCCCGTTGAAATTTTAGATGTAGAGCCTGAAGCATTCGAAACACTTCTGCGGTATGTGCTTACTATTTAAATCACATCATACTAATCTATCTAGCATTATGTAGATGCAACCTTATTCATGTTGATATACCTTGTATTTATGTTTGTAGCTACATTTATACAGATAAGGCTGAGATAAGTTCTTTTGAAAGAGCTTGTTCAGTGTATTATAGTGCTAAGAAATATATGTTACCATATTTGGAAAAAGAGTGCACTTGGTACATATCCTTAAATCTTAACCCAAAAAATGTGTGCCGCGCCTATGAATTAGCTCAGCTTTTCGAGGAAAAGCTACTGATGGATAAGTGCGTAAAGGTAAATACAAAACAGGTCAATGAACAATTTTATTATTTAATAGAGACAAAAAAGTACCTAAACCTTTAAAGTTAAACTTGTTAAAATTCTCAAAAATTGCAGATATTGACAAATAGCACCAAAGAAGTCATAAATGAGGATAGTTTTGAGGAGGCAGATATTGGCACACTTCTGACTCTGCTCTCCCAGGATACACTAAGTATAGATAATGAGCTGGACTTGTTCCATGCCATTGAGAAGTATGCTAACATCCACACAAGCAGAAAAAGGAGTCTAGACATCAGTGACAGTCTCAAAAAATGTCATACAAAGAAACCTAGACAGAGCCTGGATGCACTGGGGGTAGGTGCACATTTTCAATATAGTATAATAAAATAGGTTTATAAATGAAAATAAACTTTATTTAAATTGACTTATTGAAACCTCTTTTGAATCTTCCTATACTTTTTTGGCTCCTAGTGATGGGATGGGTGAGAGTGATGGGATGAGGAATCAAACAGCCAGTGTGTGGCTTGATAACTAAGAGCAATATTTACATCTTATATACTAATTTTGATGTGCGTCAGCTGTAAATTCTGTGCTTGTCGTGTTAGGTATACAAAGTACACGCTGACACTACACTTTTATAACAAGTTAAACAACTTTTTTAAACAAAATATTGCTTCTAGGAAGCTCTTGTCAATATGTTTGAAGTGACAAAAGAATTTCAAGAACACAATATGGAAGTGAACAATAATAGAACACCAACAAAGACATTGGATCATCAGGCAGGCCCTGTAGAAGCTCCTTTCAGTAAAGATAATCAAAATAGTGCCTGTGACAGTAACAACAATGATGCAAGCTTGTCGTGTTCTCTCGATAGTGAAAACAGTGGTAAGTATATTGAATAATTGTTATTCAAAAATCTATTTGTAGCTTTCATTAACCTTTGATTGATCAAGGACTATCCTAAGTTCTAAGTAATTATAATACACTAACATTCTGAAAGTATGAGTAAATGAAGAATAAGACTGCTAAGATGCAATTCGGTACTGATAATAAAGAATTTCCTACAATGGTTTATGTAACTATTATTTGTAAATGGCATCTTAAACTCAACAGTTTGCCACTCAAAAGGTATGTCTGTAATAATAAATAAATAAACTGTAATAGCAATTACCTTGCCCCAAACTTAGCAAATAAACATACTGAAATTTTTAATAATGATAGGCTGGAAAATGTATGTTTTCATCACACTATCATTTGGCTATTCCAGGAATGGAACTCACATATTCAGTGGGATATGCATTTAGAATCACTAACTAGTAGGCCTGGTGAGACAGCTATAAGAGTATTATAAATTACGTTGTGTATTTGTAACTATTTCATGCTCTGATGCTCTACCAACATATTGTATACTAAAGGTTCAGTTAGACAGCAACTGAGTGACATGTTGTGGTTGTCAAATCCCATGCATATGTTTGATCAAGCTTTTTTCTTATAAAATTTTATTTGCTGATTTAATGAGTGTAATAATAATAACAATTGGGTTTGTCAAACAAAGTCATACAAAAAACCTAACTAGGAACAATTTCTATATTTTTGCTCAGTTTCATTAATTGTTAATATCCACCGTGTGACAATTTTGCGGGCTTTTATCGCGCCATCGTCGCCCGCCACGCCCCGCGGCTGCTGTCAGACTGAGGAAATGTTTTTTTTTTGTGTGGTAAATGCTTTACGCGTCCTTCAACCATCGAGTGAGCGAGAAGAAGGTACGTGGGACCCCTCCCTGCTCATTTCATCCAGCCCTAGGGCCGGAGCTGGGCCCTACCTACGCCCTGAACAGTACCAATAAAAACTAGATAATATTCCTGCACCGGTCACCCGACACGCATTCAGAGGACCTCAGTCCCCCCAATGCGTGGCACCTGATTTCCAATGAGGGCTATCGTTTTTTGTCTCACCAGATGGCGCCACTGTTGAGTGAGGTCCTGAAGTGTAGCTTTTAAAGTTAGTAAACATGCTCGTGATATCAAAGTTTACATTTAAATCACATTTTAATACAAAAGAATCGTATTGTAAACATAATCGCCCATGCCACAGTGATGCGCAGTCCCGTTTTGTTCGGAAAAAAGAAGGACAATATTTTTTCTTAGCTCCGCTTTTAAATAACTGACATTCATTGACACGTAACTCATATTTGCCATAATAAGTCTGAGTTATTAGCAAATATTCACAACTATTATTTTAATTAGAAAAAAAACCGCGTAGTCGACCCACAAGCTATAACATTTGACATTTCGGAGACCTCACGCAACACAAGCGCCTCTAGTGGCGGTTTCAGACGCGATAGCCCTCATTGGCCACGCATCCGCCGTGCTGTCTGACTGAAGGGTTTCTTAAAGACACGGTGCGATGGGACTTGCGGCCGGCCGTGTGCAAGATTCGTTTCCTGACGCTGACGGCAGCGCAGTTCGCGGGCGGTCCGGCGCGCTCGGTGCTGCTGTCGCAGGCGGAGTCGTTCGCGGTGCTGATGAACATCCTCTCCAGCCAGGCGCCCGTGCCAATGCCTCAAGGGTTCTCCACTTCGCGAACCATTAGGAGCCAGGTTTGAAACAACTATCTCATTTAAATCTAAAGAAAAGTTTTAATACAAAAAAAAAACCACGTGGACCAGGCCATTCCGGGCGAATGCACTGACCAATTATGCTACCGCGGCCCCGATGGCCGCGTCGAAATTTTCCTATCCTTAAGCTGCAAGGCAGCGCCATCTCTTCGCATTGTAGGTAACCCACAATGTCAAATGAATACTTTTTTTTTCTATTAAAACTTTTCTTTAGATTAAAACATCTAGCAGTTAAATGCTTTTATAGAAAAAGAAACTAATGCTTTGCTATATTTTTTTAAGTGAAACTCTTAGGGAGCTCTTAGGGTTTTTTCAGTCACGGAAAAGGGTTACGGCCGCGTGGAGGGGGTAGACGATATACTGCGCGTTGACAAGTAGCAGCGGCGGAGGGGAAAGAAAGGCTGGCGGGCGGCGGGGAGAGGGCAAAGGGGAGGTCACCATTTAACACAACACAATGGTGTTAAATGGTGACGACCTCCGTGGCCGAGTGGTATGTACGCTGGGTTTCAAGATGTGCCCTACTAAGAGGTCCCTGTTTGAATCGTTCGAGCATTTGCACTCTTAAGTCAATGTGTATATGTATTTTCTATATAAAAAAAAATGTGTGCGTGTACTAGTGTACACACGTAAGAAGTGAAACTTCTTTATGGCCTTATTTTTTTCGAAAAATGATCTACATGCAACTTTCCAGAAATATATATATAGGCGTGCGCTAAGATTTTTCAAAAACTCACCCACTAAAGGGGTATAACTACACCTTACCTTACCTTACCTTACCTTACCTTACCTTACCTTACCTTACCTTACCTTACCTTACCTTACCTTACCTTGTGTGAAACACGAATATTTGCTGTCGATACTTTTTTTTTTAAAGTTGACAGAAGAAGCAATTGTTCGGATGAGGTAAATAGTGCTCTTTTAAAAAAAAGATGGCGCGTAACCAAAAAACGTGACGCGTAACCGAAAAAAATGTGACGGTAAATTTTTTTCCAACGCCGATAAAGAAGTTTCACTTCAAATACTTATATATGTATGCCCAATATCTTGCGGCGCCCCACGGGATCGCGGGTAGTGAGTCCGGAAATAAAAGATTTATTTTACAGAAACAAAACCTTGTATTGTGGCCAAATCAAGGTCTGTGACCCTTGCAACTTGGCAGGTAGGATGGTGAGAGAAATTTACTAGCGTGTGACGTCATTTTAGGCTCCGCCAATCCCAGACACTTTCGGTCACGTGACAATAGATAAGATAACTATTATCTTCGTTGTGGATTTTAAGTAAAATTATGATTATTTTTTTTGTAATGCCAATGTTCATTGAAAATTGGCACTTTTTATTTTAATACTGTCAAATACCCTATTGGTGTCAGTGTTGTAAATATTTATTTATTTATGAAAATTATAAATAGGGATGATGACTAAGTAATTTTTTTTCTTCGTTTATCAGGTAGATTATCAAAAAGTATTGGACACGTATTTTTTCTTTTTTCACATAATATAAACATTGCAGAGATATATTGATTTGAAAAGTCGCATGACGTCACGTTTGAGTACACTTATAAGTGAAAATTCAGTCAAAAGTGACGTCACGAGCCCCTACTCCCAAACTTTGACGCGCTATAACTTTGTCATTTTTTGGTTGATTGCCCAAAGAAAAAATACGTGTCCATTATTTTTTGATCATCTAACTGACGGACTAAATAGAATTTCCGTCATCATCCCTATTCTAGCAATTGGTGCCTCAAGAGCCTGAGGCGGAGAGCGCCAGCGAGGTAGTGTTCAGGTTCACGGTGCTGAACTTCAAGACGCGCCGCCGCTCCGTGGAGTCGCGCCCATTCAGCTACCTCGACATGCAGTGGAGCATAAAGATAGTACCCCGCTTCGAGACCGACACCTACGGGCTGGAGTTCAAATACTTCGGACTATACCTCAAGTGAGTGTTCTAACATCACCGCCTTTGGATCACGTTAAAGTTTATCTAGAGATCTTATACAGATATGTCATGGAGCATCAAGTTAGTGACGAGATCGACATCTACGGCTTCGGCTCATAGTGTCAGGAGATGAAGAATCAAACAGTCAGTATATTATATATTGAAGATAGGATATTTTACTGAAATAAGACATCATTTTATTTTTAATAATAACTAGAACAAAAATAAAACTTGGCACATTTTATGATAACCATCGAAAGGGTTAAATATAAGGATTAATTTTTCAATATTTAATATACTTTCCCTCCGTGTGAGGTAGCCGTGGGACGCCTGTATACTATTTTTTTTAATTAATTATGAATGTGCGTCCACTGTAAATAGTTAATTCTGAGTGATTAAGGTGTTCTACATTCAAAGTTCACGCTGAGACTATTTAACTGTTCTAATACGTTTTTGGTGTCGACGTTGTCTCGATAAGTCGATCTACATTGTGATCAGAGCGACGTGTATAATGTTGGCACATGTATTGGCGTAGATGCGCGGGTCGCAGTGGGAGCGCCTGGTCGGCCAAGGTCCGCGCGCGTGACGCTGGTGTCGTACGACCGCGCGCGGGCCTGTGTGATCAGAGCGACGTGTATAATGTTGGCACATGTATTGGCGTAGATGCGCGGGTCGCAGTGGGAGCGCCTGGTCGGCCAAGGTCCGCGCGCGCGTGACGCTGGTGTCGCACGACCGCGCGCGGGCCTGTGTGATCAGAGCGACGTGTATAATGTTGGCACATGTATTGGCGTAGATGCGCGGGTCGCAGTGGGAGCGCCTGGTCGGCCAAGGTCCGCGCGCGCGTGACGCTGGTGTCGCACGACCGCGCGCGGGCCTGTGTGATCAGAGCGACGTGTATAATGTTGGCACATGTATTGGCGTAGATGCGCGGGTCGCAGTGGGAGCGCCTGGTCGGCCAAGGTCCGCGCGCGCGTGACGCTGGTGTCGCACGACCGCGCGCGGGCCTGTGTGATCAGAGCGACGTGTATAATGTTGGCACATGTATTGGCGTAGATGCGCGGGTCGCAGTGGGAGCGCCTGGTCGGCCAAGGTCCGCGCGCGCGTGACGCTGGTGTCGCACGACCGCGCGCGGGCCTGTGTGATCAGAGCGACGTGTATAATGTTGGCACATGTATTGGCGTAGATGCGCGGGTCGCAGTGGGAGCGCCTGGTCGGCCAAGGTCCGCGCGCGCGTGACGCTGGTGTCGCACGACCGCGCGCGGGCCTGTGTGATCAGAGCGACGTGTATAATGTTGGCACATGTATTGGCGTAGATGCGCGGGTCGCAGTGGGAGCGCCTGGTCGGCCAAGGTCCGCGCGCGCGTGACGCTGGTGTCGCACGACCGCGCGCGGGCCTGTGTGATCAGAGCGACGTGTATAATGTTGGCACATGTATTGGCTTAGATGCGCGGGTCGCAGTGGGAGCGCCTGGTCGGCCAAGGTCCGCGCGCGCGTGACGCTGGTGTCGCACGACCGCACGCGGGCGCCCGTCGCCGCTGACCTCAACCGGACCTTTACCAGGTACGTATCAATCATCATCATCATCACAACCTTTACGAGTTCCCGATCGTATATAGGTTATGTTTATGTGTACATCATTTTAAGATCGCGCCGCCGTTTTTCGTAACCGCGTGCAATTTGTACAATAATCGTGTTTAATTACCTGTATTGAATAAATCAGTAACAATTTAGCACTCAAACTAATACTACTACATCAAGCAAATTATTATTAATAAAAATAATCCAAGGAAAATAGAAAATTTTAAATTCTTTATCGGATCGAGTTTGTTAGTCTGATGACGATGCAATATTAAAAGCTTTAAAAATAAAACAACAATAAAAACTATAGCAAATCATTTAAGTAAAGAGTTTACGAAATCGTCTAACTCAATTCAATTAGATCCCTAATCATAATAATCAATTTCTTAATCTGGTAATGACATCTCATAATTTAATTAACTCTTTGGCTGTCAGTTACCTCCTAGTGCATCTAGATCCGCATCACCCGGCTTTGAAAATCTCTGTAAATCTTTCACCTCTACGATTTTTGAAAAATAAACTATTAATAAATTTAACTTTAAGCTAGCAAATTACTCAGATATTAACAAAGATTTCGCCGCTATTAATTGGGATAGTGAATTTAAGAACACGGACAAGGACTCTAACGCACAAGGTTTGAGATAAGGCGCAGCCCTCTGCAATAATCAACTGTGCTATGACCTGGGGAATATGTATGCTTTTTAGATTTATTTAGTAGTTCATGATAGTATAAAGAAGTTCATCGCCGAAAAAAAAAAATTATTAAAAAGAAAATTTGTGCACCGACCACACATCTGGAGTGAAACTTCTTTTCCTAAATAACCGAACATTAGGCGGTGCATAAGGCATAGGAAAATGGAGTAGTGCACGCATCACTTATATATATGTACATAAACATATATATTTTATTTTATCCCCTCGGCTGTGTAAGTGGATGATTTCTGCCAGGGGTTGAGAAAATTATTTTCATTTTTCCTATTTTGCGTTTATCATATTTAATAATGGTTATAATGTACAGAGCTCATATATACATAGATAAGTTTGTAGAGAAACTATTCAGGTTTGATTTAAGACAATAGATATAAATTTAAGAAATGAAACCTGGATGTCAGATGTAACTTTTTCAAATATTAAACATTTGAAAGAAGAAATAGCAATTATAGTTATGATTGTGGGTTACCTGCAATGCGAAGAGATGGCGCTGCCATGCAGCTTAAGGCTAGGAAAATTTCGACGCGGCTAATAGGGCCGTGGTAGCATAATGGTCAGTGCATTCGCCCGGATAGCGAAGGATGCGGGTTCGAGTCCCGTCCGCTGCCTGGTCCGCGTGGATTTTTTTCTAGTAAACTTTTCTTTAGATTTAAACATCTAGCAGTTAAATGCTTAAAAAATAAATAAAATCATAGATGTAACTATTATTTTTTAATTTTAGTCCCTTTCTGACCTTCAATTGTGTCCTTCACCAGCAAGGAATGCGTGTGGGGTTTCGAGCGGTTTGTATCGTGGGAGGATGCCATGAACCCCGAGCGAGGCCTGGTGAAGAGCAACGCTATCACCATAGAGGCCCATCTTGTCGCCGAATAACAATATTAGGGGCTGTAGTACGATCCAATGCAAAGAACAGGAATATCCGAAATATTAGCAGGTACGATTACATCATATAATGAGGGCAACCGTTTTCTGCCTCACCAGATGGCGCCAGTGAGGAGTGAAGTCCTGAATTGTAACTTTCAAAGTTTATTAATGCGCACGTGAAATCAATGTTTACATTTAAATCATATAATACAAAAGAGCCGTATCGTAAAATTAATCGTCCATGCCACAGTGATGCGTAGTTCCATTTTGTTGGGAAAAAAAGGAGGACATGATATTTTTTCTTAGCTCCTTAGCTTTTAAATAACTAACTTTCATTGCCACGTAACTCATATATGCCATAATTGAGCCGAGTTATTGCTAAATATTCACAACATTATTTTAATCAGACATAAACCGGCTTAGTTAACCTACATCCTACATTTGACATTTCGGAGACCCCACGCAACACTAGCGCCTCTAGCGGCTGATTCATACGCGATAGCCCTCATTGTACAGTGGTGGAAAAAACACAACTCTTTACATGTGCATACCGCAATAGTAGAGGTATTGGTTTTCATTTCCAGTAAATTTTGTTTTATATGTCAGGAATTTAATGATAGAGTCTGTGCGGTAAGAGAATGGGCGTAGCGAAAAACGGAACTAACATTAAGATATTTATTTGGCAATCCAACCCAGCAATCTGTAAAACGTCAAAGTTTTGTATTGATACGGATTTGTTTGTTGTTGTGATTTCTTGCGGTTTTTTGTATTTAATCTTGTCTAAAAGGGGTAAAACCTTACAAATACGGTAGAAAAGCACTACAGCGCCCTCCAATCTAAATCCCTTTCTCTTTCCGCTCAGACTCTAAAGAAATTTATGCTAAAATAAAATATTTTAATCCAATACGTTAAATACTTACTCCTGGGGAAGACCGGTAAACTGGTCAGAGCGACTCGCCGCCCTCGCACTGGCGCATTTGACGGTTATGCCATTTTACTGTAATGGCGCAATTACATTTGGCCGTTAGCCCGTATTCCGGTGCACGAAAAACGTTACTCGAATTCGAGCACCCGAAGCAATATTTAACACTGGAATTCGGGCTGGAAGACGGTGTCGGGTAACCAATACGAAATCTACCCGAGTACGAGCGTACTCGACTCCATTGATTTACACTAAGGCCCGTATTATAGAAAGATTCTCAGTAATTAATCTAGTCTTGAGCATAGATAGAAAAGGATGTCGCTATATATAGCACATAGCGATATCCCTTTCTAACTTTACTCAAGTAAAGATCAACACTTAGTCGTCATTCTGTAATACGGGCCTTAGTCGTTTACCCGAATTCCATTGGCACTCGTATTCGGGCTAACGACCGAATGTAATCGCGCCATAATGATGTCTCCATTTTGTTTTTTTATTTATTCCCGCTCACTAGACAGGCAATAGATTCAATTCCAGTGGCAGCAAAGTATTTGATTGCCAAAAATAGCTAACAGATAGCAATTCAAAAATAAAAAGACCACGAAGCCTTCATATTATATTCATACTAAAAAGAATTATGCGCCATGTTAAATGATTTATCAACCATCTTGCATAATTATACTACATTGACTCTTAATCAATTAAGTTAGTTATTGCGCTACTCAATCCCGTCATTGTTCACCAGATGTCGAAAGAAATTGTTGTGATATTCCAGTATTTTCTGAGCTTAACATAAGGGGATAGAACCTATCTAGCGTATGGACAAGTCGCCATTTTGTTTTTTTTGTTCGTCTGTGTGTCCTCTTCCCATGCATAGCACATTTAACGTGCGCCGCAACTTCGAAAAAAAAATCTAAATGGTGGAGAGTCGAGGCCTAAGTCTTGATGACTTACAAGCCATCTCTAGTAAGACTAGTATTCGTTAGTGCGTTTCTAGTGTTGATTTTTTTTATTTAATTAAGAAGATAATAGACTGATATTAATAAAGACTGTTTAAGTTATGATTTTGAAAACGGAAAGTTGATTTTTTGTAGATTTTTATACTGTTTGTTGTTTAGTTGATTAATCGTTAGGAAAAAAATTAAGAGAAATCTTCCGGACACATCTAACGGGCCACCAAGCATTTTAAGTTTTAACGGACCCCTTACTAGACATAAATGTTACATTGAGAACAAAATTATTATTATCTAAGCAGTTTTAAAGCTGATTTACCGACCATCTTTTCATGTACATTTTAAAAATTATGGCTCAACCATAAACATATATTTTTGGTTTAGCGTTGAAACTTATAACACTAAGGCCCGTATTACAGAATGACATTGAAGTGTTGATCTTTACTTGAGTACAGTTAGAAAGGGATATCGCTATGTGCTATATACACCGTGTTCCTGAGGATATACATTAACTTTGAATAATACTTCTATAGCTCTTGTTAAACATATCGTACAAAGAAAGTAGTAGTTTAAATAGCATAGTTTTTAAGTTATTAGTAATTTAAGTTTAATCAACTTAATTGTATTGTGCAGTGAGAAAGAGTCTTTATCTGTGAGATGTTGCCACTTTGTGCAACCAAAACTATCAAACTATCAACTCTTTGTCAATTGTCATTAAGTCATAGTTACAAAAGTCAAAATTCTAAAAAACATTGTTGACGTCAAGAAAAGTTTCAAAAAGTTAGTGTGGACATGTGAACCAAAGTTTCAAAGGCGACGTTGCCAGATGAGGTAAAGAGTAATTCATATAAGATAAATTACATCTAAGCATTTAGTTTGTATGATAATAAAAAATGCTAAAGAAATTGGAATTCATAAGTGTCCATAGTAAAAAATAATCAATTTAATAGTCTGAATAACTTGCCAAAGTTAGTGTTTAATCTCAGGAACACGGTGTATAGCGACATCCTTTTCTAACTGTGCTCAAGACTAGATCAATCACTGAGAATCTTTCTATAATACGGGCCTAAGTGGACCGATAGATGTGTCTGGGTGTATATATAAAGCCTCTGGGTTTTATTTACTAACAAGAAAACTGGCATGGGTCATGTACTTCGATATTTTGTATGTTGATGTCTTCGTAGATATTTTAAAGGACGACAAAATTTGTATGTGTTTATTGGCGTGCAAATATGTGTGTATATGCCGATCGATTCTTGCTAGTGCAGATTTTTCGTAGTGGCATGCGCGAACACTGTTAAGAGTCTATACGGAAAGAGAATAGGCGTGGCGAAAAACGGAACTAACATTAAGTTTTTTTTTTGGCAATCAAACCCAGCAATCTGTAAAACGTCAAAGTTTTGTAAATTACGAAATTGAGCCGTCAGGTAGGGTTTTTGAAAACTAAACATTAAATTATAACTTTATTTATTTAAATGTTTTACAAAATTACTTATATTAATTGATCCCGATGATCAGGTCTTACAAACTATACGTCAAGATGCTTCCACGATTGAAGCTCAAGCGACTCCCAAAACTGTCCGATGGTTTTTCATGAACTAAATCTGTCTAATAAGCACTTTTCAACACGATTGCTCAATCGAGCCACCTGCACTTGGGAAACACATAATGTACGTGTGACGTATGAGTGACGTACACGAGTCTTGTACTCGGAACATGTATCAAAACACGGATTTGTTTGTTGTTGTGATTTCTTGCGGATTTTTGTATTTAATCATGTCTAAAAGTGGTAAAAAACCTTACCCATTCTCTTTCCGCACAGACTATTATATGTTTCACACGAAATAATAATTTTCGTTTTATTAGCTTCTACTTCGTTTATAAAAGTTTCTTTTCCAATTCCTAGATCCGTAAAATTAATTGTCCGTATGATTCCTAGTACAATTAATGGGAAGAAAATCTATTTGTGATTATAAAGCATGTATTATAAACTTAAGTGCCTATCAGCAGCTGTGATTTTTTGAAATTATTGTTACCTTATTTGTCATTAAGAATAGAAACGTGTAAGCATAGATAAGAAACAGCCCAGGAACTACCCCTAGCACGAACCATTATCGAATTCGAATAGTTTGCAAACCGTAATGTCAATGTCAAATTTTGTATGGAAACTTGAATAGCAATGGCACAAAGTACGTAGCGAGAACTAAAAATCAGTCCACATTTGACAATGACATTTCGGACTCGCAAACGATACGAATTCGATATTGGTTCGTGCTAGGGGTACTGGTCTGTGATATTTAATTGTGATGTTTTTGGATTACTGAGAAACAATAAAACTGATCTCGATGAGAAGTGTTTTTTTTCTTTATTGCTATTGCTATTGCAATGAGTATTTGACAAGTTTAAGAAATCCATACGTTAAGATCTAATTTTCACCGAAGGCTTATAATTACCTATATGAATAAAGTCATAATAGAAGCCTGAGAACAAAAACTATAGACTTATACTATAAGTAAAATATAAATAATAAAATTTCCAACACTCATACCAATTAGCCTAGCCCCAAAGTGTGTTATGGGATGCTAGGGTAACGGATAGAATACATATACTGTGCATATATAAGTATCTTTATATATATAATTCTTCTGTGAGTGTGTATGTCACTGAACTTCTCTTAAACGACTGGACCGATTTTGATGAATTTTTTTGTGTGTATTCAAGGGGATCTGAGAATGGTTTAGATTCACAATTTTGTCCGCTGGACAATGTTTTTTAATAGATTTTTTTATGGCGGTACGAAGTTCGCTGGGTCAGCTAGTATTAATATAGAAATACATATTAAACATCCATGACTGGAGTACAAATGCTCGTATTCATCACACAAACATCTGCCCCCACCGGGATTCGAACCCGGGACCTCTCGACACATGAAAAACACAAAAAACACCCGGCGTACAAACCTCAACAATATACTTACATTTTAAAGACTTCATTATCAGCCCATTAATATTCCCACTGCTGGGCACAGGCCTTCTCTATGGATGAAATAGGGAGATTGGGCTACGACCTACCACACGGGCCCATATTGTTTAGTGCCAATGACTGCATATACAGCCTGGACCAACCGGGCTTACCGAAGCACGGAGGAGCTCGAGATAGTCAGATTTTGGTCACCCATCTAGTAACCGACCACTGCCAAAGTTGCTTAACTTCACCAATCGTAGCTGAACGCGCAAACTACTTGCGCCATCGAACTCTTCACATAATATTCAATATACTTGCTTATATTTTTAAGACAGGACTACCAAATTTCATATTATTCTTGATTTATAATCTAATTACGTAATTAAATTGATGAGAAAAAAATAAATTGAATTGAATTATTCGTACTCAGAAAAAAAAACTCAATTAAAACAACACTTTATTTTTTTTAAATATTTTTTAACATAATATTACATCATTATTTATTAGGTTAAACACTGTTCACGTAACACATTATGTTAAACAAAAACTATATTCGATCCTCGTAAATTCTTAGTAGTTTATTATCACACGCAGCTTTATTAGTAAAAGGAAAGGAACTCTCATGTCACGCTCTCTCGTGGCAACTTTTTGAAAAATAAAACAAAATATCACCATTATGGCAAATACTCGACATACAGTTTTTAAACAGATTTGTATTCGATTTTTTTATTTCTTAAGATTTAATATAACTTTAAAGAAAAAAAAATCTTTAGATTTAAACATCTAGCAGTTAAATGCTTAATAAATAAATATTAGGACTGTATTAGCTCAATGTCATGATTACGAACTTCTTAAGTTCTTTAACACTCGAAAGTTTCAATATAATTACATATTAAATAAAGAACACTGTTATATCATCATCATCATCAGCCTATTAATGTCCCTACTGCTGGGGCACAGGCCTTCCCTATGGATGGAATAGGGAGATTGGGCCATGACCCACCACGCGGGCCCAGTGCGGATTGGCGGGTGCTAACGACTGTAGATGCAGCCGGGACCAACGGCTTAACTTGCCTTCCGAAGCACGGAGGAACTCGAGATAGTAAATTTTTGGTCACCCATCCACTGACCGACCACTGCGAAAGTTGCTAAACTTCAATGATCGCAGCCGAACGCGCTAACCACTTGCGCCATCGAGCTCCTCACTGTTATATAAAGGGTGTAAAAAAACCTTTAACGAAGTCGAAGGCCACATATTTTCCACATCATGGCGATATTTTTTTCTTCTGGTCCATACTTGGGAAATTTATGGTTATGGAGATATTAAGGTCAGTCACAATTATTTTTTCAAGATTTTTACAAAAACGTTATTTAGAAACTTTTTTATCGACGCACTTACACACACGGAAACACATACACACAGGCACATTGTTTGCGTAGCGCCACAGTAGCACGCCGCGCTATACATTGCGTACTGGAAAAAAATGTGTATTTTTTTTACTTAAAAATACAAATGTTTCCCACGTATAATATTTTGTAATATTACTTGTTTGGCTGTACAGAATGCGTAGTTTTAGTCTTTGTCATAGGTTTTTTTACACCCTGTATACTGAAATGCAATGCCAATAAATTAACAGTTCATTATAACAAGGTATACAGTAGTTCTTATTAACATCATTAGTGTTCGTCGATTCTAAAGCTTCGAACGGCCTTGACTTTCCTATTTCTGTACCCTTAGCACGAAGCAATATCGAATTCGTATCGCTTGTGAATACGAAATGTCATTGTCAAATGTGTACTGATTTTTAGTTCTCGTTACGTACGTTAGTGTTGCCGATCGATAGTCGACTATCGATGATTAATAACAGAATATATAACAGAAAAATCCAATACTATCGAATGAGTTAAATACTATCGATAGTATCGATACTGTCGACTTTATTTGCAACCATACTATCGATACTTTAACAATTTGCAATAGTATTGTTTACAATTTTCAGGTATTATAGTCAATCACAAACTTTAGTCTAAAACAATCGCTAGTATCGATAGTATTGTTGCAGATAAAATCAACACTATCGATATTATCGATACTATAAATAGTTTGTTATTAACGAACTACAATAGTATCGATAGTATCTATAGTATTGCACTCATTCGATAGTATTGACTTTTTCTGTATTATCGATACTATCGATTCTATCGATAGGGTACATGATTTTCGATGTAAACTGTCGATAGTTTTAATATCAATAGTTCGGCAACACTAACGTACGTTATGGCGCTTATGTTCAAGTTTTCATACAAAATTTGACAATGAAATTTCGGACTCGCAAACTAATCGAATACGATAATGGTTCGTGCCAACGGTACTGATCGCTTCATAGAAGCTCGCTTTTAACTCAGGCGAGTATTTCATCCATCATCTTGCCATTTTGGACGTTAGGCATCGGATATAAAGTTCAAAATTTAAGCTGAGAGTTTTATTAAACGCTCTTACGCGCGATTCCTCAGCGCAATCGCAACTAGCTCTCACATAATTATGAATATTAACATAATTTTTGTCAAATCTTTTCGTTCACATTTTCTCTAAATACATTTCACACAAGAAAAAGAAGCAACTCAAAGAAAAAATAAAAATTATTATCAACTTATCGTCGCATCAAAACGCGCTTAAGTGTATATCCAAGCTTTACTTAACCCCCTTAGATTGGGCTTGGACATGTTATATTAAATAACTGATTTTGTAAATCGATCAAGAAACACAAAACACAAAGAGACTAATTCGTTTTTAATAAGAGAGAAATTCATAGTTTTTCTAACGTACAACAAGTACTTACACAAGTGACCGCATACAAGGGCAGCCGCTTGTGCCAAGCTTATGTAATAATACTGCATAAGCGTGTGACACGCCTGCAAACGTCGCGATACAAGATTGCATCAAATTTGTCACCCGACCATGATTGACTTGCCAATTCAAAGCGCGGCTTACCAATTTCGATTTTAAACAAAAAATTAGCAATGTTGAGGGGTTCTCTCGTGCCGTATAAAAGATACCGTCTCGTATCAACGGTGGTTAGTACGTGAATATGATGGAGCGTATGAGCCCGTCGCGCACGCTATCGCTGCTCTGGCCGATGCCAAAGTTAAAGAATACAGATTCTGCCGCAACCTGCTGCGCGCATACGCCCATAGGATACCAGCCTGCTTTGTTGAACACTATGCCCACCTTGTATACCTGATGGGATAAAAAAAAAGGGGATTTTCGGTAGTAACAGCTATTAATAAAAATAATAAAAACTTAAATTATTACAAAAAAGCCAATAGGGATGATGACTAATTTTTTTTCTTCGTTTATCAGGTAGATTATCAAAAAGTATTGGACACGTATTTTTTCTTTTGTCACATAATATAAACATTGCAGAGATATTATATTGATTTGAAAATTCGCATGACGTTACGTTTTATAATTAAACAAGTACAATTTTCATTCAAAAGTGACGTCACGAACCCCTACTCCCAAACTTTGACACGCCATAACTTTGTCATTTTTTGGTTGATTGCCTAAAGAAAAAATACGTGTTCATTATTTTTTGATCATCTAACTGACGGACTAAATAGAATTTCGTTTAATGTACCCCGTCATCACCCCTATTACAGGGCCTCACCAATAAAAAACACATTACATAATTAAGCACACTTTGAACATAATAATTACAAAAAATAACACTGTACAATTGCCTATTCGTCAAAAAATGCACTGCTCAATACCCGCCTCAGTGATGGAACGCTAGTATAAAACAAATCAATGCCAGTTCTCTCAGATATAACATTAAAACTATTACCTGTACGCAAGAGATAGGAATTCTGCTAAAAATAATTAAAATACTAGAATATTCGAATAGAAATCTTATGCTGGCGCTTCACTTGGTTATTCGTGTTTGTTATTTAGTTATTTGTAAACTTGACATCAGTCTGCCCTTATCATGATCTACAAGGAATAAAAAGGACAGACTGATTGTTTACAAATAGCAAATACGAATGCCCTACTGAAGTGCCGGCTTTATTCTAATCGCACACAGGGCGTTTCGAAACAAAGACAAGTGGGCGTTAAAATTAACATTTGTATGAAACATGTAAATAACAGTAGATATCAGAAAATAATAATACATTTTTTATGAGTGCTCTGTTACGCATTTTTGTAAATATCTGTCATAAATAATTGTTCAAGAAATTCATTTACATCAAAATGTTGTTATTTAATGATTTTAATTAAGGAAAGAAAGATTTTACACACCAAAAATAGCTCACCTTGTTCCTCTGTATGTAGATGGGCCGGTTGAACATGATGTCCAGCAGATGTCGGTGCGGCACCCGGCTAGTGTAGTGCGTATACGTGAGCCTGGCCCCGTCCGAGTCCAACAAGTGGGCGTACAGCAGCTCGCTGTACCCGCCCGGCCCCAGCCCCGGCCCCAGCCCCGGCCCCAGCCCCGACCCCGCCCCCTGGCCCGGCCCCGCGCCCGGCCCGGCCCCGGTCCCCGACATCGACCCCGTCCCCGACAGCATCCCCGCCCCGCCCCCTCCCGGCATCGCGCTCGAGTTCTCGCAAGGCGCTTGCGTCGGCACCTCCATAGGATAACAAAACATTTTTCTAAATATTAAAATCACACATATCACATTGGTGTCAATTCTGACATGATACTCTAAACCTAAACTTAAATTTTACAACAGTTTCCTTGTCACTCTCTATACAGAATAAAATCGACACCGTTTTTAACTTATTCAATTAAATAAATCTACTTAGATTGGTGTCGACTCTGGCAGAGCTTTAGAGAATCATGCCAGAATCGACATCTCTCTCCATTTCATTCTGTATAGAAAACGGCAAGTATACACTGGTGTCGATTCTGGCATGATTCTCTAAAGCTAAACTTAAATTTGACAACAGTGATGTCGATTCTGGCATGATTCTCTAAAGCTAAACCTAAATTTCACAACAGTGCATCCTTGCCATTCTCTATACAGCATGAAAAGGAGAGACTGATGTTAAATTTAGTTTTAAGTTTAGAGAATCACTCTAGAATCGACACCACTGTATCCCTGTCATTCTCTATACAGAATGAAAAGGACAGAGATATCGATTCTGGCAAGATTCTCTAAAGCTAAACTTAAATTTGACAACAGTGTATCCCTGTCATTCTGTATACAGAATGAAAAGGACAGAGATGTCGATTCTGGCATGATTCTCTAAAGCTGAACTTAAATTTGACAACAGTTCATCCTTGCCATTCTCTATTCAGAATGACAAGGAGAGACTAATGTTAAATTTAGTTTTAAGTTTAGAGAATCACGCCAGAATCGACACCACTGTATCCCTGTCATTCTCTATACAGAATGAAAAGGACAGAGATATCGATTCTGGCATGATTCTCTAAAGCTAAACTTAAATTTGACAACAGTGTATCCCTGTCATTCTGTATACAGAATGAAAAGGACAGAGATGTCGATTCAGGGGCCCAATTCTCGCGGCGTAGATATTATATCGGCTTCGAGATAATATCGAAAGGAGGGATATCTATTGAAAATATCTACTGATGGTAAAAAATGCTATTCTCGTGGATTTTCGATATTCCAATGATATTATATCTATCGTAGATATTCTGTCACTGCCGAATGCGTTCCGTTTTTCTCGATTAAGTTAACATCATAGTCTATATAAAATAATAATAAATTAGAGCAGAATTTTACAAGCAACAAAATGATATTTTATGAATTCCATTCATATTAAATATGAGTATACATTTTTTGAGTATAAGAAATCTCAACTTTACCTAAATTGTATGCGTGTATAATTTCAACGTTATGTATAATGAAACGTCAATATTATTTAAGATTCTCCCTTTTTAGGGAAGGCAAAGGGAACAATGCCCATACAGCCTAGTCTTTAGTTATATTAATCTTCTTTTTTTACATTAGAATGTCGGTGTGACGCATTCTAATGTTTCTTTGAGTGTTTGGCACGAAATTTATGGAGTTGGCTTTTTCTCTAAGCTTCTGTGAGGTAGTCAACACTACAATAAAGTTCTCGCGTCCACTTGACAGGAATAGCGTATATATTAAAGATTCCACTAATTCTTCAGTTGCGCAGACGGTTGTAACACCAAATCACACCAATTTTATTTCACAATATCCACTATGAACGAATTTTAGAATAATTAAAATAAGACGCCAACCGCACTCGCAGAAATCCCGCCAAAAACTCCGTATTGTCAATAAGAAAATGGTGTCGATTCTGGCATGATTCTCTAAACCTAAACGTAAATTTGACAACAGTGTATCCTTGTCATTCTCCATACAGAATGAAAAGAAGAGACTGATGTTAAATTTAGTTTTAAGTTTAGAGAATCGTGTCAGAATCGATACCAATGTCATTCATAACTTTATAGATTTCTAACCAAATTTTTTTTAAATGTAATTTTTTTATGAAGTCGGCGTCCCTCATTTCAAATGGGCCCTCTTGCTCTCACAACGGCGGCGCCTTAGCACAGCAGCAGCAATCACGTCATTTACTAAATCATTGACGAAAACATGAATCAACTCATCCATCGTTAATATAAACTGGTGTCGATTCTGGCACGATTCTCTAAATCTAAACTTAAACTTGACAACAGTGTTTCCTTGTCATTCTCTATACAGAATGAAAAAGAGAGACTGATGTTAAATTTAGGATTAAGTTTAGAGAAGCTGAACGCACAAACCGTGCATGCCATAAAAAAAAGAAAAAGAAGAAGTTTAGAGAATCACGCCAGAATCGACACCATTGTTTACCTACTTCTTTATTTACTAATTATTTATGAAGGCAGTTAACAACATCTTGAGGTAACAATAATTGGCAATGACTCACGACAACACAACAAATAATAGGTAAAAAAAGTGGAAATAACAAGAATGACATGCCAAGATCCATAGATATTTATATATCGAAAGCTCTTTACCAGTCGATGTATGTCTACTGATCATCCGTAGATAAATATCTATTGCGACATGGTGAGAATAGGGCAAAAAGGTTTTCCTTCGATAAAAGCCAGATCATTCGATATATATCGAAGGTGATATAATATCTATGCCGCGAGAATTGGGCCCCTGGCATGATTCTCTAAAGCTGAACTTAAATTTGACAACAGTTCATCCTTGTCATTCTCTATTCAGAATGACAAGGAGAGACTGATGTTAAATTTAGTTTTAAGTTTAGAGAATCACGCCAGAATCGACACCAGTCCGATGTTAAATTTAGATAATCTTGCCTGAATCGACACCAATGTTGTCAAATTAAAAGTTTAGGTTAGACACCACTTATATCACATTTAGATACGTCAAAAAAAACAATGATCATTAAAAAAATGCACTTGTACTTTACACCAACATTTACCCCCTCCGAGATTCGAACCCATAGTGACTGGTTTCGTCATTAAGATCACTAAGCGCTGGGCGACGGATCAAGCGGAAATACTGGATCAGCACGTGTTACATAAGCGAGCTATTGTTTTGATATAACCCCTTGGTATGGAAGGAGACTACTGTGACACCTAACTTTATCATAGTGTCACAAACGCTCTCGAAACGGAACCGCGAAAGTGCTAGAGATCGAATGTGGCAGAGCACCGCGGGTCGCGATAGAGGTCGAGTTATAAGGCTCATTCTAAAATGAGCTTTATGCAGTGCGGCTTAAGGGAGAAAGTGCCGCGACATCTGCACTTGTTTACAAGTTATGCGCGTTACCTGCGTAGGTATAAGTAGGTACTTTGTACTCGCGGGTGCTAGCTAATTCTCAATTTAACAGGTACCTTGTAGAATGCGTCGATCGGCGTATATAAGCGCGATTGGCGCCGCGCAGAGATAGTTGAGTTTTAACAGCGATTTCGGAGCGAATCCAAAGGCGATCAAAGTGCAACAAAAGTGTTCAAGTGCGATTGTTTAGAGACAATGTATAGTGTATAGACTTGTATAGTGAAATACAGTGTTTAGTGAGTGTTTTGTAATTAACATTGTGTGTTAATTGTGTGAACTGTGTGGTGAATAAAGAACTGTCAAGCGTGAACTGGCATATAATTTCGAACCCCATCCCGACATGTAACAATAGTCTCCAGACTGATAAAAATGACAGGTGGAGAGTATTTGGCTTCCTTAATTATTATTAGGAGGCGTGAATCATCATCCTTTTAAAACGTAGGCTACATGGTGGTAAACCCTGCTGTAAACTGAGGTGACCTTCCTAGTTAATAAACATGGCTGTTGCACACCAAAGGAGATTACTCACTACTCAGCTTCCATACATGTTTGGCCTAAAGACCAATAATCATGAAAAATTGTTTCATAGATTCAAAATTATATATAAATTACTGTAGAAACGAATATTATTGACGGACACCCCTGAGAACTTCTATAAACCATATACACTGAACATATTAAAATAATAAAAAACAAATAAGTTATATAAGGAATGGAATGTAAACTAAGGAAATTAAGCTAAGTACCGAAATTATGGATTAGATTCAGGTATATAAAGCATGTAGATTAACAGATAGTTGCCTGTTTTTAAAGTTAATGCATAAGAGTAACTTTTAAAATCAGGTGTCATCTATGCATTTCCGGTTATAATAAGGTACTCTGTGACAGAAACTGTGTGATGATTGTGAATGAGTCCCAGATTAGAGAGAATTTTTAAACTCTCTTTAACCAAAGAAAGCTAAGAGATTTAGGTTATATAGCCATATATTCAGTAGCTTCATTATTTTTGTTATGTTTTTAATATAATCATATTTTAGATTTTTAGGGTATCACACCTTATAATTTTATTTATTTATTAATTTATAGTCAGGCAACGAAGGCCCATAGGACCTTAAAGTCTATCTTAAATACAGATTACAATGTGTTTATGGAGGTGTTTGGCGAAAAATATATGGCAATAGACTTTATGATGTCGCCTACCATCTATAATAATTGTCTGAGCACATTTGCATGTAGTGAAAATGATAATATAGTTGTGGATATTAATACCACAGTGTAATAAAAAAAATCGATCCTTACAAAATAGATTTGTTTTTATGTTTTAAAAACAACTTCGATCAGTCTTTAGCTGAATGTTACTACACCCATAGCCATTAAAAATGATTCGTATGTTTTCCAAACCGGTAAAATTAAAAGTCCTTTTTAAAGTAAATATATTATACAATACAAAGGTGTCCGTTGAAATCTAATGATTGTAAATTAAATTATAAATTACGCCATTAATTACGTATGTCAATATTTTTTGTGCATTTGGGCCAATTTGAGCAATCTCCTTTCGTTTGACCTTGCAATGTCCTCTGTTTACGAATTCGCTATAAGCCGTGTAGCCGTCTGTTGCCACTCAAGCGCAATCGCATCGCTGCAGGTAGTGAGTTCGCACTTCTGGGTTAGGTTATATGCGAACGCAATGTCATCACCCAGTTGTTAGATATATAAAACTGTGCCTTCGGGTTTATAGGTTGAATTCAACAAAGATTTATCTGGGAAATTCTAACCAAATGTGTATAATGCGACCATTCCGTACGCGAGTTCGGAACGCACTGAAGTTGCGGCCGTGTTTACAACTGTGTAGCCGCAATGCTTGCAACAGATGTCAATGAATAGTCATTTGGTTTACAGCGGGGTTTTCCACCATGTCGCCCACGTTTAATGCCACTACTGGGGCATAAACCTTCCCTATGAATGGAATAGGGCTCATAATCCACCACGAGCGACCTGTGTATGTCGGCGATTGCAGATGCAGCCGGGATCAACGGCTTAATGTGCCTTTCGAAACACTGAAGAGCTCGAGAACAAATTTTGACTCCTCGGGCAACTTTTGTAATGGCCGGACACCTCTTCGGATAGGTGACTTACCATAGCAAAGTTGTTTAACTTTCACAGATCACAAACCACTTAAACTACCGAGCTCCTTAATGCCGCCGTGTATGGGGCAGTTTATTTAGACAAGTGTTACCTAAACGCCAAGCAGGCAAATGTTCTTGTCTGTATGATGGGCCGCTGGCAGTAGATCTTGTTGAAGAAGTATTACCTGCACGCCAAGCAGGCAGATGTTCTTGTCCACCATGAAGGTGACGGAGCAGTCGAGCACGCTGGCGTTGAAGCAGGCCGTATGCTGTCTGATGGGCCGCGGGCAGTAGATCTTGTTGAAGAAGTATTACCTGCACGCCAAGCAGGCAGATGTTCTTGTCCACCATGAAGGTGACGGAGCAGTCGAGCACGCTGGCGCTGAAGCAGTCCATTTGCTGTAAGATGGGCCGCTGGCAGTATCTTCTTGAAGAAGTATTACCTGTACGCCGAGCAGACAGATGTTCTTATCCACCATGAAGGTGACGGAGCAGTCGAGCACGCTGGCGCTGAAGCAGTCCATAAGCTGTAAGATGGGCCGCTGGCAGTAGATCTTGTTGAAGAAGTATTACCTGCATGCCCAGCAGGCAGATGTTCTTGTCCACCATGAAGGTGATGGAGCAGTCGAGCACGCTGGCGCTGAAGCAGGCCATATGCTGTAAGATGGGCCGCTGGCAGTAGATCTTGTTGAAGTGTTACCTGCACGCCCAGCAGGCAGATGTTTTTGTCCACCATGAAGGTGACGGAGCAATCGAGCACGCTGGCGTTGAAGTAGTCCATTTGTTGTAAGATGGGCCGCTGGCAGTAGATCTTGTTGAAGGGTTACCTGCACGCCAAGCAGGCATATGTTCTTATCCACCATGAAGGTGACGGAACAGTCGAGCACGCTGGCGTTGAAGCAGTCCATTTGCTGTAAGATGGGCCGCTGGCAGTAGATCTTGTTAAAGTCCGAGTGCCGCTCGCCCTGCTCTAGGCCCAGCGATCCCATACCCATTCCGGCTCCCATTCCTACCCCCGCCATCATGGGGGCTCGACCACCTGTTGAGAATACAGTTATTAACCGGTGTACAAAGAAGACACGATTACAATTCTCGTTATAGATCTTGGTGAAGTTCGAGTGCCGCTGGCACTATTCTAGGCCCTGGAAACCAATAAGCTTGCCTGCCCCTGTCAACATGGGGGCTCGACCACCCCACACGACACAATGCAGTTATTGCAGTGATGTAGGCCAGAACAAAGAAGATTCGGTTTCGGACATCTTTTTCTACTAGATCGGAAAGGTACTTTATTCTGTCGACATAATGAACTGTTAAGACCTGTCAGCATCGGATTTCTTCCTTTGCTGCATTTTTCTCATGGTCTGTTCTTTCTATCTACGGTGCAGGTGACTGACCTTCGTGCCGGTTGAGCCTTGGGTGTGAGAACAGGCAGGCATGCGCGTGCGGCGCGAGGGGGTTCCCGGGGCGGGCCAGCTCGGCGCCGAACACCGGCTCCACCGTCACCGGGCTCGGCGTGTCCACCGTGAACGTCAGCATCTTGACAATATCACAATATTATATTATTACTAGAGGTCGCCCGCGACTTCGTCTGCGTTAACTTAGTTTCTTAAAAATCCCTATGGAACCTAACATTTTTTCGGGATAAAAGTAGCCTATGTGTTAATCTAGGATGTCACCTAACTCCATACCAAATTTTATAAAAATCGCTCCATCCGTTTAGACGTGAAGAAGTAACAAACATACACACTCACAAACTTTCGCCTTTATAATATTAGTGTGATCATCATCATTATCATCAGCCTATTAATGTCCCCACTGCTGGGGCACAGGCCTTCCCTATGGATGGAATAGGGAGATCGGGCCATGACCCACCACGCGGGCCTAGTGCGGGTTGGTGGGTGCTAACGACTGCAAATACGGCCGGGACCGACGTCTTAACGTGCCTTCCGAAGCACGGAGGAGATCGAGATAGTAAATTTTTGGTCACCCATCCAATGACCGACCACTGCGAAAGTTGCTTAAATAAACTCAAAATTACAAAAAAGAATTCTAAATAAAATACTTTATTAAATAAATTAAATAATAAATTCATACATAGACAATAAAACTTTAAAAATCGAACAATGAAATAACCGAACGCCCAACAAAAGTCTTTCGAAGGCAGCTCGACAAATTAAATAAAAGTTTGATTCTGACGACGTAGCCTGTAAAGGCTACGAAACGTCAATAAATAAATAAAGTTTCTTGCATTAACCCGTAAAAACTAGTTTTATTTAATGAGTGATGTACGTGAAAACCTAAGAAACAAATATCACGCCAACATTATTACAGTGTGACTGAATCTTCGTAGCAGTTGTGCAGTTAGCCATTTGTAGTGGCGGCGCAGTAGACAAAAATAATTTTGAAAACCAGCCCTAAATTGACGGGGAAATCGCGGGAAAAAACATACAGTCGAATTGACACCTACTCCTTTTTGAAGAAAGAAAAGAGGTAACCAAGAAACTCGAGACTACAATTACGCCGCAATGTGGCATCATTAAGCGCATTCTACCGACTATACCACGGCGAGTGTTCTGAGGAGTTATTCTCCCTTATCCCTCCATCACCTTTTCTTCAGAGGACCACGCGCGCTGGCCTACGTTGCCACCGACTTACTGTGGCCACTATTCCTACACGAACAAAGAAATTTAGTGACTCATTTCTTTGTCGTACTATTCGTAAGTGGAATTCTTTACCCGCGCAAGTGTTCCCTCCTTCCTATAATCTGGGTTCCTTTAAGAGGCGTGAAAAAGCATTTTTGCAGGCCGGCAAGGTGAGGATGATTGGTGTAGCAGTTTATAACTGTACCAGCTATCTTCGCGTTTGGACTTTCTTACCACTTAACATCAGGTGGGGTACAGTCATTTGCCTACTTCTATATAAAAAAAAGGCGCAAGGAACGAGAGCCAATCGGCGCAACGCACGCCCACCCGCGCGCCTCGTTTCCCCCCAACACATCTTAATTTTTACTTCTGCGCAATAACGGTCAGCGCTAGAGTTTCGTGCCGCGACTTATAAAAGACCCTATGACTAGCTACTATCCGTCTATTGTGTCTTCTTTATTGTCTACAGATCGCACGAGAGGATGGCAATAAAAGACCGTAAACGAGCGGCTTCCGTTAAATATACAGTAGAATCCGTTTATTATGACTCCGCCTATATTGACCAATCGCCTATTATGACGTAACTACACAACGAAGTTTGGTTTTCATATAAAATTCATTGTAACAATGTCGGATATAATGACTTCGCTTACAGTGACATGTCGCTTATTATGACCCATTTTTAATCAATTTTGTGCGTTTATAGTGACCGACATGGTTCTTTACACTTACGGTAATGTTCGTTGATTCAAATTGAACATCAAACATTGTTTTTAGTGATATGCTATGTAAAAAAATGTCATCTCAACGTCGTAAAGCATTTACGACTGAGGAAAAAGGTGCAATAATATGCTGATTAGAAAATGGAGAATCAAACTCATCTCACAATCTTTTTTCACAAATATGCTTTGTATGACGTTCGCTTAGTATGACGTGTTTGTCGATTCCCTTGTCATAATAAACGGATTGTACTGTATGCGAATTTGATCTTCTCGTATGAAGAAATTGCATTGTTTGTATCTTAGTCTTAAATATATCTGTGGACGCTCATATAATTTTATTATATTCATTTAAATGAAGACTCACGCTTGTCCGTGTCGGCTCCGGGCCGGTTTTAGATCGAGCGAAAATAGTGCGAAGCTTCAGTGAATTTCTATAGCATCACTACGACTGCTCGGCGGCTTTACAATCATGCAACGGGCCGTGGCCGAGCCGAGGCGGAACCGAGTTGCTTCCGAGCGTTGTCCGTTGCTCGATTGCCGCTCGGTAAGCGTCAATATGTAATATAAAATGTATGTAGACCCGTTAACCGGGTTGCGGCCGACACTCGGCTCGGTCCCGGCACGGTCTAGCATGAGTCATCATTTTACCGAATTACTGGCTATAACATACCCACCTATGCCATTTTTATATGAATGGGGTATGGTTATAAGTGTAAATTACATTTCCATTTTAATACAATCCTTGGATAATTTATACTGCTACAATGAGAGTGAACCAAGATTTTTATCAATATGAATGATGGTGTGGCGGCGACCTCTATATGCCCCACATATAACTAACATAGAGGAAATAAACACTCGCCTCCTCCAGAGATGGCGCTACCGGCGCTGCGTTCACAACGCCTACATCGCGCAAGTGAAATTCGGCAGCCAACAGTTCATATATACGATGCCCGACCAACTTCAGTCGGGCCGCGGCCCCCGAGCTATCATCACCCAGCTCGGAGAAAGATCTTCCCCTTTGGTTTTCCCACAATGGTATGTTTCTTGATTTGAAGCTCTAATAAGATTTCCTCATTCAGACTGTCTTAATTCAACTGCAATATTTTTAAATCGTCACAAGCGGCTTAGCTCCAAGCTTGGATTGCCTCTAAGGTCTTTTCAAGGTCAATATAATGAAATTTTAAAAAAATTAAGAAAACATTTGCTATATTAAAATATGTTTACAGTTATTCAAGTTCATAACAAAAGTAATAAACTAATAACAAAACTAGATTTTAATGCATATTTTTGTAGAAAAATACAATAGAGTAACTTCATAGTTACCTACAAGTTCCGCCCACTAAAGAGCAGCTTCTATAGTACCCATTTTTATTATACTTTTTCTCATTTAATGCTCAGTGGAGCTGTGGGTCAGCAAGTTGGCTTACGATCAAAGAGGTTAAGCAACTTTTTCAAAGTCCAGTCACTGGATGGGTGACCAATAATTATTTTGATTGCAGTCAAAGACTTCGAATTAAATAAGACTTCGATCAACAATTCTATAGATAACGGTAAAATCCGTCTAGGTAAATATAGCCTCACTTGAGGCGTGAGATCTTCTTTTAAATTAGTTCCGTTAATACAAAACGAAGTAACTCGCTGGCCTATTACTGGTAAAAATATTTTATTTGTATTATATCGAGCCCTTACCGCCAAATTATCGTAAGCGACATTCGCCAAATTATCGTAAGCGACACTTTTGTCGAAATGCGTTTTTTGTGGAAACTAATATTTTAAACCGTAATGGACCCATCTCTGTTGATATTTCCCTCCAAAAGAACACCGTAATAATATAATAGAGGGAAGAATAGAGGGAAATATCAACAGAGATGGGTCCGTTACGGTTTAAAATATTAGTTTCCACAAAAAACGCATTTCGACAAAAGTGTCGCTTACGATAATTTGGCGAATGTCGCTTACGATAATTTGGCGGTAAGGGCTCGATATATATATTATATTGTGGGTCATAAGGTTGATTTCACATTTTCCTTCTTTCACCTTTATCGTTTTTTTCCAAGTATCGGATATAATTTATAAAGCGAAATAACATTTTGTTATTTGTAACCTTATTCTTTTATGAGATAGTTGACATTAGTTTCAACTTTAAACTGTTTTAAAACAATTATCTTTGTTCATTGGGAAGCCAATGCTGCATAAGTTTAACATACGCGAACACTTTTAAGCTTTGATTTTGTATGCAATCTATAGAATTGTTGATCGAAGTGTTTACACTGGAATTAATATTGGAAATAGACTGAGTTGATGTCATAATAATTTTATAAATAATAATTTTTCTATTCGTCTGATAAAAAATATAATAATCTGGCCAAACCTACGCAATAATTCAAAATACGTGATTTAAATGCCTCGAAAAATAATTTTACGAGTCTAAACCTTATTTTTAAAGTGAACATTAATCACACTAATATTATAAAGGCGAAAGTTTGTGAGTGTGTATGTTTGTTACTTCTTCACGTCTAAACGGCTGGAGCAATTTTAATAAAATTTGGTATGGAGTTAGCTGACACCCTGGATTAACACATAGGCTAAGTTTTACTGCGGGAAAATAGCCCTAATAAACCGCGGGTAACACCGCGGGGTACACCTAGTCTTAAAATATAAAAAAACGATGTTCATACACTTCATCGTTCAAACAAGTATCTGTTTAATTAAATTTATGCTAAGATTGTCATTTGTCCTAATGTAATTCGAAACCATTTCGAAGACCCAAATAGGTTTTAGACATACTTACCCCCGTGGAGGGTCCGCCACCGATCAGCTGCTTCCTAGGGACGCGACAAGTGGAGAACCCTTGAGGCATGGGTACGGGCGCCTGGCTGGAGAGGATGTTCATCAGCACCGCGAAGGACTCCGCCTGCGACAGCAGCACCGAGTGCGCCGGACCGCCCGCGAACTGTTGAGCTGTCAGCGTCAGGAAACGGATCTTCTCGACAGCGCTGCGTATTGTCACACGCTCCTTTTGCTCTACGAATGGATAATCGTCTTCTGGTACAGTTACGACTCTTAAAATAATGCCTAACTTCCTCACTTCCTTAATAATGAAGTTAATGTTTCATCATCATCATCAGCCTATTAATGTCCCCACTGCTGGGGCACAGGCCTTCCCTATGGATGGAATAGGGAGATTGGGCCATGACCCACCACGCGGGCCCAGTGTGGATTGGTGGGTGCTAACGACTGCAGATGCAGCCGGGACCAACGGCTTAACGTGCCTTCCGAAGCACGGAGGAGCTCGAGATAGTAATTTTTGGTCACCCATCCAATGACCGACCACTGCGAAAGTTGCTTAACTTCAACGATCGTAGCCGAACGCGCCAACCATTTGCGCCATCGAGCTCCTCGAGTAAAGTTAATGTTTAGTCACACTTAATATAAATAACACTATTTGTATTTATATTGTATGACACAGCAATCAAAATGTAGGTAAACAATTAATATATATTTAATAATAATGTAATGAAAGGTGACTTCATGAATCATCTCTGAAGTCATTTTTCAATTGGACGACTCTGTAAATGAAAATGAAATAATAAAACAGGGAGAATAAAACAGCCCTTGCTGAGTTACTTGCCAGTTCTTCTCAGTACAAGGTAGATTTACGAACCGATGGCGTAGCATCTAGACATTCATGAGTGCTTGTAACAGCCTAAATTAAATAAATGATTTAGATTATAATGAGGCAAGCGCGTCGCCAGCCAGTGATCTAGGGAGGGGCAAGTTGATATACATAAAAGGAGGGTGTAAAAGTATGAATTAGGTACTCAGGTTCGAGTGGCCTAGAGGCTCCAGACGGACATTTCCCCACCGTGGGATACTATCCGCCTATAATACCTCTATAGGTACTCGCCAATTCTCGCCGTCCCCAAACCCGGTGACGCTGTAAAGGTCAGCTGCGACCCACAGCATACATACTCCAAAAAAAATTAATTAGGGTACATGATACTCAGAATTGGAATTATCTAGTGAATTTATCAAGTTTCGAGGAGCAGTAAGCAGAAGTGTTTGTTCAGGCAAGCAAGTCAACTGAGTGGACTGAGGGCAATCTAAGGGGGGAGGGGAGCAGCGGTAACGCAGCTGACCTTCAAAAGAAGAGTTTATTACAAATAAATTCGAAAACTATCAAACCAATTTGAAAAATTTTTTTACTGTTAAATTGCTACACTTTCTCATTGTTCTTAGGTGTCTAAATAGACATTTAATAGTTGTAAAATAAAGTACACTCGTCCATACCATGGTGGATTACTAGTAAGTATATTACGTGTACACTTCTAAAATAAATCCCTAGCAATATTCAACTATAGAGCTTATAGCTATAGCGTAACAATATAGTATTTTATAAATATTGTTAAATAATTTGATTTGACACTGTGAAATTTTTTTCCCCTGTTTTTCTCCACAGCTTAAATTCTTATGTTTTACATCTAAAGGACCTCCTAATCAACAATTAACTATTAAGAGCCTCTACAGTAGCAGTCATTAAATAAATAAATATTTCCAACACTCACACCAATTAGCCTAGCCCCAAAGTAAGCACTGTAAGACTTGTGTTATGGGATACTAGGGTAACGGATAGAATACATATACAGTGGAGCCCCGGTAATCCGGCCCCTGGCTAATGCCGCACCCCCTATAATCCGACATCGTCTATTACATACAAGTATTAGCTAATTCACGATTGAACAAGTTACAACTTGTACGCACCATCACTATTGTGCTCGACGCGTAGGGTATTGTTTTTTATATTTTTTTGTAAAATCTATAGCATTAATGACGTTACTTTTATAATAAAACGTAATCTTTCTATTGTGTTGTTTAATTTACTAAATTTGACATACATAACAAAGTCTCAAAGTATGATGTGTAATCTTATCATTGGATTTGTAATTTGTCGAATTACAAGGTACTCTTTTGTAAAAAAAAACGGACTATAGGGGGTCTTAGGCAGTACTATATAATCCGACAAATTCGATAGTTCGACACTGCCCTGCAAAATGTTTGTCGGACTACCGGGGATCCACTGTACTGTATTTATATGTATAGAAATACATATTAAACATCCATGACTAGAGTACAAATGCTCGTATTCATCACACAAACATCTGCCCCCACCGGGATTCGAACCCTAGTTGGACCTCTCGAGTTGGCGACACCCTGAAACCTGGCGTACAAACCACTTAGCCACGGAAGTCGTCAGTCATTAGCACCAGCCAATCCGCATTGATTGTAAACAATGGATATTTGTTATTCTGACCATGGGAAAAGCCAGTGTTCCAGCTTTAATGACAATTGTAAGCTAACTGATGATGATACTTAGAAATAACTATGGTGTGTATGAAAATAGCAATGTTTAGTATAGGATGACAATTACATACAGAAATTAATGATACAACTATCACCTTTATTCTTTTTGCCATCATCACTAGAAGGTCCAGGGGTGGTTTGCTCAGGTTCAGAAGCCTTGCAAGGCTCCGATGTACTCTCAGGGCTGTTCTCCACACTGCCATCAACATTTACTTCCTGAATTCAAAACAAATTATGCAGCATGTGAAACAAGTGCAAAAAATACAAGAATTGTTAAGTTTAATAAATTGGCATTACATTCTCATTTGAAGAGGAAGGTACTGGACTTTTGCTTTTTGTTTCAGACTGTACACCATTATCTGGAGCAGGTGGACTTGCACTGCGGTCATTACCCCTTTTTTCATGAGCTTTAGCATAACGAACAGCTGCTTCAAATAAATCTAACTCACTGTCAATATTTAAATGGTCTAAGGAGAATACTGTAATAACAGTATTTAATTCAACTTCTTCAAAACTAGTGTCGTTCAACACTTCTTTTGTATTAGTGCTTATTATCTGAAAACAAGAAAAATCTTTGTTAAAATACTAAAATTACATAATTCTAAATATTTGTGTCATCATCATCATCAGCCTATTAATGTCCCCACTGCTGGGGCTCAGGCCTCTCCTATATTTGGAATAGGGAGATTGGACCATGACCAACCATGCGGGCCTAGTGCAGATTGATGGGTGTTAATGATTGCAGTTGCAGCCTAGACCTTCGGCTTAACATGTGTTCCAAAGCAGGAAGGAGCTTGAGATAGTAAATTATTTGTCACCCATCCAATGACTGACCACTGCCAAAAGTTACTTAACTTCAACGATTGCAGCCAAACGTGCTAACCATTTGCGCCATCAAGCTCCTAGTCATAATCAAAAACATTTATTCAGTTTAGGCTGTTACAAGCACATATGAATGTCTAAAAGCTATGCCATTGGTTCGTAAATCTATGGCGGGAGACCTTGTACTGAGCAGAACCGGCAAGAAACTCAGCCAAGGCTGTTTTTTTCTCCCTGTTTTATCATTTACAGAGACGTCAAGTTGAAATATGACTTCAGAGATGATTCATGAAGTCACCTTTCATTACATAATGTGAAATTATACATTAATTGTTCACCTGCATTTTGATTGCTGTGTCACACAGTATAAATACAAATAGAGTTATTTATAATAGGTGTGATTAAACAAACAAACAAACTAGAGGATTATGATTTTAAGCATCCATTAAAACAAAAAACTTTTGTTACCTGTATACATTTTTCCATGAGTACATTCTCTTCAAAAAGTCTAGCAAACTCATAAGCTCTACAAGCATTTCTTGGATAAAGATCAGACCAAAGATATCTGGTGCATTCCTTTACCAAGTGGGGCAGCATGTACTTTTTAGCTCCATAGCAGAGCTCACATGCCTTGTCAAATGAACTTATATTTATGTTGTCTGTATAAATATATCTGCAAAAAAGATTAAATTCTATAGTAATGTATATCTACTAATAACATTGAAATACTAAAAATATAGAAATTACGTAGAAAAATACTACATTAGTTTATTTTTATTACCAATATGGGGAAAAGAACTATGCATATGTTGTCCTTAATTAATTATTACATTTATTAAGATTAGTCTCTTAATAGATTAATATAATTTTTCATAGATACATTACTTACTCTAGTAGAGCTTTGAAAGCTTCTGGCTGAACATCCAGTATTGGAATAGGATCATTTCTCTCAGCCATTCCACCATAGAACATGGCTTCAAACACTGGAGAAGCCATTGCGAGGATGAGCTTGTGTCCAGACACCATAACTTGATTCGGCTCTGTTCCTACAAGGAATGTACAGTCTGACCATTGTCCGGACTGTAAGAGGTGACCACCACGTTGCTTCATCTCTGTGCATCCTAGCTGCCAGTCACTAGGCGCGCCTGCCATGTTCAATAGATTGTAATACTATTTCTGGAGGTTCCTAGTTTAAATAATCATAAGATTTGAACCTAAAAACGTGTATGTAAAGGAACTATGAGATATGTTAAAAACCAACGATTCACGATCTCAATAAAGCCGTCAAGACGTTTACATAACAAACAAACTGTTCTTGTTTTTCATTGCAATAATACAACATTACAGATCCACCCATATACTCTATGCTGCGTTCCAAAATTACACTCCACTCCAGTCCAGGAATAACAAATGTCAAATTTGACATGGTTCATACATTTTTACGATTCTCCTTTTTCAGGGAAGGCAAAAGGAACCATGCCCATACAGCCTAGTTTTTAGTTTTATTCTTAATATTTTTTTATTACATTATAATTAGTAAGATGCATTCTAATGTTTCTAGAAGTGTTTGGCACGAAATGTATCGAGTTGGCTTTTTCGATAAGCTTCTGTGAGGTAGTCAACACTACAAAAAAGTTCTCACGTCCACTTGAACGGAATAGCGTATATTTTAAAGATTCCACTAAGTCTTTAGTTGAGCAGACGGTTGTAACACAAAATCACACCAATTTTAATTTACAATATGAACTTCCACTATGAACGAATTAAAATAAGACGCCAACCGCACTCGATGAAATCCCGCCAAAAACCTTCCATACTTTTTTCAAACTAACGTTCATATTTTGACATAAATGACAAAATATATACTTCAGTTTAAAAAGTTGTACTCAGAGCGTAGGTTTAGAACTTTATTCTAAAAGTGTCTACACAAGTCCCTTAAATCAGAGACAATCTCGGGAAAGTGGTGGGGAGCACCCTAAATCGCTCCCTAGACCGCCTCGTGTGTAGGCAAATCGTAATCATCATTATTATTATTACCCCTAACTCAGAAATTGGATCGGGCGAGCTCACGATTTAGGGCCGATTATCATATAGGGAGCGTTGTCAGTGCGTGTGTAGCGAAATCGGGTTCGACTTCAACGCAGTGCTCGTGCGAGCGGAGTGCGAAGAGGACCCGTGTTGGTTTTATTTCCTTTTTATTGGTGCGGAGGTATGGCGAAAGAAAAGGAGCGAGAGGCCTGGACGAAAACCATAGATATTTATAAAGAGTTGGCGTATTTATGGGATAAGAAACACAACGATTATCTTAATCGCGACATGTGAGGCAGGAGGCCTTTAAAATGTTATTACAAGTATATAACTATAAGTTGTTCTCTTGGACTTATGGATTCTCGCATTAAGGTATTTTGTTTTTGTATTAATGGTGTCACCAAATTCAGTAGCTCTTCAAAACATTCAATATCCATTCTTAAAAAGTTTTTCAAATCAACTGGTTCTAAATGTCTCATAACGTTCATATGACTGAATTCATGGCGTTTCATCAACCACCTCTTAACCCAAGTCTTCCTCTTTAGTTTTTGTTTTGGTCGCACCGTATTAAGTGCCAGGGCGATGCCTATTTTTTGTTGTTTTGAAAGTGTGGGCGGCATCTTGGATCGACAAGCGTTATGTTGCACGGTGGGCTACGTACTGATTGGCAAGGACGTGTGTAGAATAGTAGCCGATTTCATCCCCACCATCATCCGATATCGCCTCTGTTTTAAGGGACGTGTGTAGACACTTTAAGGAGGTGATTATAGCCACAGACAGTTAACAAATGGATGGAGCATTTCACAAAAAAAGCGTAGCCATTTTTCTGAGTGTGTCGCTTTCAATAAGCATGTTGGGTTTGGGTACGGCCACAGTGCACGCTGGGCAGACTCAGAAAACAAGCGCGAGAAATAAACCCGAAATTCAAATATATTCTTCTCTCCTTTCAACCCTTTTCACCAGTATATTTATGTGACCCTATATGCTTTGACCAAAGCAAAAAAAACATAATATCGATAAAAAGTATCGACTAAAGACATCCTACGTCCGCCCGTCCGCCATGTTTGCTCCCCGATTTGTTTAAATAGGTACACACGCGAAGTACATGCTTGTGTCATTTCCATATGATCCTTATTCAGAGGTTCTATTGGTATATAAATAGTTTTTTAGCGGGATTTCATCGAGCGCGGTTGGCGTCTTATTTTAATTATTCTTAAATTCGTTCATAGTGGATATTGTGAAATAAAATTGATGTGATTTTGTGTTACAACCGTGTGTGCAACTGAAGAATAAGTGGAATCTTTAAAATATACGCTTTCCGGTCAAGTGGACGTGAGAACTTTATTGTCGTGTTGACTACCTCACAGAAGCATATCGAAAAAGCCAATTTCATACATTTCGTGGCAAACACTCCAAGAAACATTAGAATGGTGTCGATTCTGGCATGACTATCTAAACCTAAACTTAAATTTGACAACAGTGTATCCTTGTCATTCTCTATACAGAATGAAAGGGAGAGACTGATGTTTAGAGAACTATGCCAGAATCGACACCAATGCTCACTCCGAATTAGGCTATATGGGTATTGTTCCCTTTGCTTTCCGTAAAACGGGGGAATCTTAAAAAAAACCAGTTTTATTGTCAAATTGACATAATTTTATTGTGTGTACCTGTTGTAATGTAGTATTTTTATATTTTCTTTCCTTACAAAAATGAATAACGACGATATTAAGTCCGTAGTTCAAGAGAAATTTCTCTCAAGTGAACGGGTAACAGCATTCCTAAGTGATGCCAAAGTATTACATCCAGAATGGGTTAAAAAGGACAGACTTTTAGCCATTGTGGAATATGGAGATGAAAAGGCCGTCTTCTGCTTACACACGTCCTCCTATCCTCCTAAATCGTTCACGGACTTATCTATAGAAATAGTTTTACCAATCGACAATAGCTTTAAATGTGAAATTGACAACAAACCATCGGATCCTGAAGCCATCCTGTACCTGAATCTTCAATCGCGCAACAATAAGTTTAAATTTGAAATCCAAATGACCACTCGTGTAGATAGTTTCGTAGATGATCTGTTTCGAGGTATCGAAGCTGTTAGTAAAATGCCAACACCACCTGAGTTTCTATGGCTAAAGAAATATCATGGCAAGAACGAGGATGAAATCTTAAGGCAAACTATGGTTTTGCCAAGAAGTGGTGTTGTAAATACACAGGCCCCAGTTGCCATAAGGGAAAGTCTTATAAAACGCAAAATGTGCGATAAAGAGTTTGATTACACATTTACCAAAAAATTTACAGTATTCTGTGGTACTTGGAATGTCAATGACAAATCTCCAGTGATTCCATTGAAAGGTTGGTTGAGTATAGATAAGGAACCTCCTGATATCTATGCAGTTGGTTTCCAGGAACTTGATCTATCTAAAGAAACTTTTCTCTTTGACCAAACTTTCAGAGAGGACGAATGGTACAATGCAGTGATTGCAAATGTGGATCCAAGGGCTAAATATGTAAAAGTTGAGAAAGTGAGGTTGGTAGGAATGATGTTAATAGTGCTTATTAAACAAAAATATGCCTCCCATGTAAGAAATATTGTTTGTGACACAGTGGGCACAGGTATCATGGGTAAAATGGGTAACAAAGGTGCTGTGGCTATGAGGTTTGATCTTCATAATACATCTTTATGTTTTGTCAACTCCCACCTGGCTGCACACGTGGAAGAATATGAGAGGAGGAATCAAGACTTTAGGGACATTTGTAGCAGAACGAGGTTCATCCAACCCAATCAGCTGCCTAAAGCTATAAAAGATCATGACCATATTTATTGGATTGGTGACCTCAACTACCGTATCACTGAGTTGGACCCCACCAACGTTAAGAAGCTGGTAGGTGAAAATAATTTTACCCCAGTCCTTGAGTGGGATCAGTTGAAACAGCAGCACAAGACTAATAATGTGTTTGCTGGGTATACAGAGGGCCCAATAACATTTAAGCCCACATATAAATATGACCCTGGCACTGATAATTGGGATTCTAGTGAAAAAAATAGAGCACCTGCTTGGTGTGATAGAATATTTTGGAGAGGAGACAATATCACACAATTAGCATATAGAAGTCATCCTGCTTTAAATATAAGTGATCACAAACCTGTGTCTGCCATATTCACATCCTCTATAAAAATTATAGATGAGGAAAAATACAGGAAAGTATACGAAGATGTGATTAAACAATTGGATAAGATGGAGAATGAGCTCATCCCACAAGTGAAAGTTGATGTGACTGAAATTGACTTTGGAATGGTGCGCTACCTAGAACTACAAGTTCGCACCATTACAATAAAAAACATAGGAAAATTGCCAGTGGAGTTTGAATTTATTAAAAAATTAGATGAAACAAGCTTTTGCAAGGAATGGTTGATTGTGGAACCGTACAAAAAATGCATATGTGCTGATGAGACATGTGAAATCCAACTTAAAGTGCTTATTAATAAGACTTCTGCTTGTAAAATGAATGCTGGAACTGATAAGTTGTATGATATTTTAGTATTGCACCTGTATGGAGGTAAAGACATCTTCATAACAGTTAATGGAACTTACCAAAGAAGCTGTTTTGGCTGTTCTATTGAGGTGCTTGTTAATCTCAACATGCCTATCAGAGAAGTGCCAGTTGGGAAGTTAATTGAGTTAGAAAGTAAGAGAGATCAGTGTGTATCAAACCAGTCTACTTATTCCATTCCCAAAGAGATTTGGTTCTTGGTTGACCATATTTACTTGCATGGCTTGAAGGAGCCCAATTTGTTTGAGCAACCTGGCCTCCATTCTGAAGTTCTACAGATTAGAGATTGGCTGGATAATGGCTCAGTGGATCCTATCCCAGGGAGTATACATTCTGTTGCAGAAGCTCTTCTACTGCTCTTAGAGAGTACTGTAGATCCAATTATCCCTTACAACCTGCAGTCAGTATGCTTGAGAGCATCCGCTAATTATTTACAATGCAAACAGATTGTCATGGAGTTGCCAGAATTTAGGAAGAATGTGTTCTTGTACTTATGTGAATTTCTACAAGAAGCATTACAGCACAGTGCTGACAATGGCCTTGATTCCAAAACGTTGTCTACTTTATTTGGGGCAATATTCCTTAGAGACAATCCCAGTCAGATTCAGGAACCACAATCTCGAATAAACAAGCAAGTTATAGACAAGAAAAAAGCCCAGTTTGTTTATCATTTCCTTGTGAATGACCATAGTGATTTAATTTTTAGTAGATAATGTGTATGTTTAATATTATTCCTTTATTCTAATACTCATTTTTCCATTCGTTTTAATATAAAATTAATTTATTTTTTTCTCAAATAAGTATTATATTATAGTTACTTAAATCAAACTTAACATTAATTGATGTTTGTCATCGACATAGACTATAAAATAACATTAATTAATTATAATAATTATTTAAATATGTTGATATATAAAATATAGAGCACATCCCATGCACATAGGCATGAGTTTAAAAATTGTACCTTAAAGTATGATAAATAATTATCGAAATGATGTATGTCAGGTTCATGACATTAAAAGTATCCACATTTTTGTATCCTTATGTCAACTACTGCTATCACCAGGGTGACCAATATACAGCAAGAACCTTGTATGAGATCAAATTTGTTATTATTCACATTGGCCAGTTTTAGTATAAAAATATGACAAAGCATTTATACACTTAAATTTCTCATGATTTTGATAAAAAAAAATGTAATAACTTTGAGCTGTACAAAGATCTTTTGTATTATTTATACTATTTATAATAAAATTAAATATAGTGTAATATAACATTAAAATTTAGAAATAGTTGAAACCCATATGCCAAATATTTTTCAATTGTTATAATCACTTGTTACTACCATTCATAATGAAGAGTATCAATGTGTTTAATGTGTACTTTTATATTGAAACAATTTATGTGTACCATCAGTGATTTAGTTAATAAAATCAAGTACAGGTTTTATTAAGTGTCAACAGGTATTGTATACTGCTCTTCAACAATCAATATTATCCAATCTACCTTAAACCCTAGTTGTTGGATTTAAAGTTCAAAAAGATATGCTGTTGGGCATACAAGCTCCTTGTAATTAATCCTATAAATATAAAAGAAAATGATATTCTTTCTAACTTTTATTTTCATGCATTAATTAATATTTTAAACTTCTTTTAAATAAACACTGGTAATTGATATTTAGGACTATATTGTTATGGTTGACCAGGCCATTTTGACGGGTTTTTCAACATATATCCCACTTTCAGCTAAAACCACAAAACATATAATTTTTGTTATTTCTTTATAAATCATTTGTTACCAACAGACTAAGGCCCAAGCAAAGATTTAAATCGTCCAAGTACGAACTTTGACAGATCCGCATTTGTCATCGTCATTTTTTTAATTATTTATGAAAAACACAGCCTTATTATAATACATTTAAGTACAAAATAATTGGTTTGTGCATAAGCCAAATCAGTTTTCACGACGTAATAAAAGTTACTTTAATTAAATTTAAATTGATTTATAGTTAAATCTCATAACTGTAACAGGGATAAACGAGATTTTGTATAAATATTTGAAATGTTGATGAGTCTCATAATACTTATGTAATTTTTAGGAGCCTGTTCTTACGTCCGGTAGGGGCGCTGCTTAGGTTTTACCTCAGTACAATAAACACCCAGACCCGAGCCTGCTGAGAAAAATCATTTAATTTCTCTATTAATACGCTCCGAATTCGATCAAGCTCGGAAAATAAAAAGGGCTTTCCTTAACATGACAACTGACTTAATTAGTTGCGCGCCGTCTGGTGACAAAAACAGCGCACTATCTAGATAGATAGAGCGATTGGAGTTTACCAGATCATTAAAATTTGCAAGTTTGGAGTTGTCTGAATTAAGCATATACTTATGTATCTTAAACATAAGCGGGCTACATAAAAATAAAAGATGGTAATATTGTTTTTTTTCAAGAAACTCCCGGACCGCTGCTCGCTGCTGATAGAAATCTCGTTGACCTCAAAAAAGACTATATTTACCTACCTAATATTTGGTACCTAAATTAAACTAAATATCCTTTCATTTTGTTCACAAACTTTGCTTGAATCAAGCAGGATAAAAATACTGCCTGCACGTATTTACAGTGCGACCAAGATCTTGTAGGACTCAGATGACATTGACAGGGGGACGCTGCTGGTGCGGCGCTCCTGTAGATACAGCACAGCACACCCTTGAGGAATGTCCGGCATGGTCGCAGCAGCGCCGCACTCTGGTAGCGGCTGTGGGACAGGCTCTCCCCCTGTCCAGCGTGGTACGTGCCATGCTGGGCAGCGACAGATTCTGGAAGGCGGTGGCCTCTTTCTGCGAGGACGTTATGTCGCAGAAAGAGGCCGCGGAGAGGGTCCGCTAGGAACAAACCCACGCGGACTCCCTCTGACACAGGAGAGAGGGAGCTAGGAGGCGGCGAGCTCGAGTCCACCCTTAGCCCCCCAGCGGGCCTTCTATGATTGCCCGGTAGGGGATGCACCATACCATCAACGCGACGGAGTAGTGGGGTAATTGGACATGACGTGCAGTGACTCGTAACCCGGAGACCCGTAGTCGTGTTGAATCAGTGCAGGGTTAGAATAAAAAAAAGGAGGACGCTGCTGGTGAAATTACTGTTAACGTACATAAAATCTCCTTTTTTTTATTTAATGTAATAGGGGGCATACGAGCAGACGGCTCACCTGATGGTAAGTGATCACCGTCGCCCGTGGACACTTGCAATACCAGGAGTGTCACAAATGCGATGCCGGCCTTTAAGGAAGGAGTACGCTCTTTTTTTGAAGGTTTTGGTCGTATTGGTCCGGGAACACTGCTGGCGACAATATATTCCACAGTTTTGTCGTACGTGGTAAAAAATTTCGACAAAAACGCACGGTTGTGGATATCCACACATCAAGATGATGGGGATGAAATTTTTGTCGCGATGTACGATGGCGAAATGCAGCAGCTGGAATTAATCCGAACAATTCCTCAGAACACTCCCCGTGATAAATGCGATAGAAGGTGCAGAGCGAAGCTACATCCCTACGCAAAGCCAAAGGATCAAGCTGATCGGAAAGGTCCTGGTCGTCGACGATTCGAGCCGCTCGGTGCTGGATGCGATCCAAAGGGAGAAGCTGGTATTGGGGTGCACCCGCCCAAAGATGAAAGCAGTACTCGCATGTGAGGCCGAACCTGTGCCTTATAAAGTTGCAGTCGGTGGGCCGGTATGAAGTACATTCTCGATCTATTGAGCACACCAAGCTTCTTAGAGGCCAATTTGGCCATGTCCTCTAAATGATCCCGAAACTGGACGTCGCTCGATATGTAAACGCCAAGAATTCCAATACTAGCTGAGGCAGTTAGAAGAGTGTTCTCAAAAAGAGGAGATACGACAATAGTTATTTATTATACAAGAGTGGAAAGTTCCTTTTTAACCGCGTGCTCGATTTGGATGACCGAGCAAGCGAAGGATTCTAAAGTTGAATCACGAGCGCAGCGAGTGATTCTAAATTAGAATCCTGAGCGTCAGCGAGGGAAACAAACGAGCACAAGGTGAAAAATCTTTCCACTCGAGTGCAATACGTAACTTTTCATCCCACCTCAGCGAGGAAATGACAAAATGAAAAAGAAAACAATTTATAATGACAAAATATTTTTATTTCAATTAAAACACATTAAGATAATCTATAAATTGAAGAAAATAATAAGAAGTAGAAAATAATTAAGAAATATTAAATGTAACGTTGCTACAGTTACTTATGTTAAGTTTAATATTTTTGTTAGGTAATGTTATGTTGGTGTTTGTGAATTGTGCGCTGTTTTGTGGTAAACTACTCGTATCAGTAATTTTAAATAGTTGTGCCGATTCATTGGATTCTATTGGCGTAAATGTTGGCGAGAGAGGGCTATTGTTTCCAATCTTATGGGGGCTCATTTTAGATGTAGAAGGGCGAGACCAAGAATCTGACAGAGGTTCTTTCAGCGTTATGGCCTCCACGATACTATTACAAATTTTTGATTTACTTTGGATTGAATCCTCTATGTATCCCTCTACAACCGAATTAGACTTCCAGCCTCCATGGCGCTTAAGCGATAGAAGATCAGCCCCTGATTCGGCCAAAAGTGTGGCTGAGGTTCTTCTAAAACAGTGACCGGTGTATAACGGGGGTTCTAAAAGTCCGAGAAAAGTTGCTATTTCTCGTGGAATACTGCCAATTTTATTCTGACCCATAGGTTGTCGGATACACTTTCCGTTGCGATATTGTAGAAAAAATCGTTCAATTGGGGTGTTAGAAGGACGTAAAGCTTGATATTTCTGAACAATGTTTACATATTCCTTGCGAATAACGAAGTTGCGGTCTTTTTTTGTCTTGGTATTTAGTACATTAATTAATAGCAATTCATCAGAATTATGAGAATATTTTGATACGTTATTGACATTAAGTAGTGTAAGTTCATTTGTTCGACATGCTCCGGTTATACCAATAATAATAACAACCTGTAACAAAAGAAGTATTTATAATCGTAAATAAATTAATCAAATTAAAAATATTGTAAGTACTATGTACAATTTTATCAACAACAAAAAATTACACGTATTGACTTACTTTTGCCGCTAAATATACGGAATCAGGTGCTTCATTAATAAACTTTGCAATTTCAGATGCTGTGAAAACCTTCGATTTTTTTGGTTTATAACCAGATGAGGCTCTTTTTAAAAATGCCACTAATTTATGATAGGTGTCGATATGAACGTCTTTCTTCATCTTAATTGTTAATTTTAGCATTGAATACGTACTCCATAGCGTGCTTGCTTTCTTGGTCTCAGATAATTCTATAAAATATGCCAGCAAAACGTTTTCGGAGAAAGTTTTTGCTCCTTTAGCTAGTCGCCACATGTTAAATATATCGTACTGTTTCAAATACTTCTCTCGTGATTGCTGAGGGAGAAGGCTCATTTGCGCATTATTAACTGTTTCAGTTAACTCAGTTGGCGTTAGATAAACTTCATCGTCGCTAATGTCACTCATTTTAGTTGATTTTTTTGTACAGTTTTTAGGTTATGTTAATTATATTAAGCAATAAAACGTAAAAAACTAGAATGGCGCGAAGCACGCAAATAAAACAAAGAAACCAAGAAGGTTCCAAATTTAAATTTTTTCACAATTTAAAAAGTTCTAATCATAAATTTGGCACCATAGAGGTTACATTAAATAGGTTTAATGACGTTTTGAATTTACAATTATATTGAGTACTCATTATATGTGATGTTCTAAATTCAAATCTACTTTGCCGCTCAAGCGAATAAAATAGAATTTTCCAGCCAGATTTCGAAGCGCAAAATTACACTTTCCGAGGTGGTGGGATGAAAATGTTATTTTTTTGCGGTGAACGCGCATACTTGTGTCTTCGTAGGGTTAAATTGGACTAGATTAAGTCGGCCCCAATTCGTTATTTGGTTTAACAAAGTTTCGACTTAAGACACAAGTTTGTTCCGGCACTCGATGACGATCTCCTCACCTAATGGCTCAATTACATTTATCGGGGGCTCAATTACATTTAGCGGGTGCACGAAAGACATTATTCGAATTCGGACACCCGAAGCAATATTTACACTGGAAGACGGTGTCGGGTAAACAAAAGGAAATCTACCCGAATACGTATACTCCGTTTACACTTTGTCGTTTACCCGAATTCAATTGGCACACGTATTCGGTCTGAATCCCGGTGGGGGCATTTTTGTTTTATTTTTTTTGAGTGTGTTTGCTGTTGGTCGCAGATGACCTTTATAGCGTCACCGGGTTTGGGGACGGCGAGATCCTAAGGGGACCTCAAGCCGAGAATTGGCGATTGCCTCTGGAGGTATTCCAGGCGGATGGCGTCTCCCCACGGGGGGAGTCTCCTCTCCGTCTGGAGCCTCCAGACCACTCGAACCTGAGCGGGTGCGGTGGGGGCAGATGTTTGAGGGTTAAATACGAGCATTTGTACTACAGTCATGGATGTTAAATATGTACTTCAATATAAATTAAATATACATATATATGTATCAGTTTCCTATCTATCTGTTACCCTAGTATCCCATAACACAAGCCTAAAGTGCTTACTTTGGGGCTAGGCTAAATGGTGTGAGTGTTGAAAATATTTATTATTACTTATTATAACTTACTCACCGACAGTTACAAAAACAACACCACCAAAAGATAGCACCTATTATTTCACTGTGGTCGTCTGTAAGATACTTTACTGCCACAGGCTGGCGCTCCAATTCGAGCGGGAAAGCCGCTGACCCTCATCTCTTAACAAATAATAACATGAAAAGGTCCTGCCAATCGTTAACGTGGCATGCGCTTTAGGAATGGTAACATTCGTCAAGAAACAAAACCATAGGGTACGGCCAGAGTGCACTCAGATTCAGACTCAGAAAACAAGCGCGAGAAATATACAGTGTAGTTTAAGCAGGTTGCCAGCTGCCACTATGGCCACCCTGCTTTTACTACACTGTTTATTTCTCGCGCTTGTTTTCTGAGTCTGAATCTGAATCTGAGTGCACTCTGGCCGTACCCATAGACGGGAAACCCCTTGTATAAAAATTTTGTAAGAAAAACTGGGCAAAAATATACCTTTAAAATTTAGTAGCATAACTTCTCTAAAGTGCGAATGCAATTTATAATCGATTCAAAAGTACCTCATTCTGCCTCATGTATAGTCCACGCCATGTCTCATAGTTATTATCAAATAAATATTTATCAAACAGTGATACGTTGTTTTCGTTATTTCCATTCAATATTTTTATTAGGTCCCGCCAGTCTCGGACGGTTAAAAATAAAGATCATTTAAAGAAAATATATTTTAAATGATCTTCAAAAAACCGGACAAGTGCTAGTCGGACTTGCCCACCGAGGATACCTTACATTTTTTTACGTTAACTTCAAAGCCATAGTAGAATGATTGGTCTTGCTCGAAGCGAAGAAATTTGATTTTTTCACATCTTTAAAGGACCCTAACTAAACCTGTTTAAGGTTGATTCCTCCACGTCCTCCTGTGATAAGCGGCCTTGACTGACAGACAACAAAGTGATTCTATACGGGTTCCGTTTTTTCTTTGTAAGTACAGAACCCTAAAAATAATAAATGATCACCAAAAAAATACAATTATTATTTCTTTTTTTCCTAACCTAACCCTTAGGTTAGGTTGGCAGTTCTATTTTTTGTGACCATTTACTATTTTTTGAGAATCATTTAAACATGAACATGTGGCTTAAATATTTTCTGTGGGGAAGTTCTCTTAAGGACTACTAACGCCATCTTATAGAAAATAAAAGGTAACTATGACTCCAGTCCATTTTATTTGCACGCTATAATGATAATAATAATTATTTATTTATGTTCGAGTAGAGATTAAAATCCCTGTGTCCGAAAATATTATTGAACAAAATTATCACAATAAAAACTATACAAAAAAGCAAACCTCTTGGTTTCTTTTACACAAGCGTTCTGTAAGCCATTCCGCAAAGGTTTTAATGCGATTGCTGGCCTAATTGATTTATTTTTCCAAATTTCAAAAATTCAATCATCGTAACAAATGACATACGTCGTTGTCATTTGTCACGTTTGTGTATCGATTTTTGGAATGAGGAAAGTTCATTATGAAAAAGGACGCCTTGAATTCATCATCGTACTATTTAATTGTTATGAGTTTGCCATATTTTCTTTACTGACGCTGTTATTATGTCATATTAAAATTAATAGTGACGACTGCTTTTACTGGCAGCCAATGTCAAAAGCGTAGTGACGATTGCGCGGGAATTAAACTTCAGCTACCCTGAGTAACTTCGCCACGCTGCGTAGATCAGTGATCAAAGTTATGAAGATCAAACTGCGTAAGTTTCTATGGCTTTTCTTAGAAAATAACTTCCTGAAACTATAACGTAGTCAGGATTCAGTAGTTCATACATATCTTTGTAGCTGTTTGGGAAGAAAAACTTATAAGTACCTTCGAAGGTACTTTTAAGTTATTTTCATAGATTTTGAATAACTATTGATCTAGGGTTCGAATCCCTTTTGCTGCCTTAAGTAAGTAAGTAAGTATCTATTTAAAAAACTATATGGTATAATAAAATTATTGATCTAGTTACGACAATTAGATAATCTTTCACTCAGACAAAACCTAACATGTTGATTTTTGGAAGTACCTAAATAAGTTAATAGTGATGGACTAAAGCAGCTATTTGTTATTTCACCTTTGTGAATGCTGCACTGCAATCAGTGCCGTCTTTGACCTATTGGAGGCCTCGGGCATATTAGGATAATGGGGCCCCTATGATCCCCGTTTGGAGATCTAACAGGAACTAGGGACTTTGTATTTGTGATCTGAGGTGGGCCCCTATCGATCGCGGGGCCCTGGGCACTTGCCCAAAGTGCCCACTGGGAAAGACGGGTCTGAATATCTCGTATAACCGAAATGACATCGTAAATGCATCTCGTAATACAGCGCGCGACCGCTTTCCGTCGACCTCATCGACGGAAGACAACGAGAGCGGTACGGACTGGGAGCACCCGCACGCGGTGCAGCACCCCCACCCGGCGATGCTGCACCAGCGCCACCCGCCGCCGCCGCCGCCCGCCGTGCTCGCGGGCACGGTGCGCAAGCGGCGCGGCAACCTGCCCAAGCACTCCGTCAAGATCTTGAAGCGATGGCTGTACGACCATCGCTATAACGCGTATCCGAGTGACGCCGAGAAGCTCGCCCTCAGCCAAGAGGCCAATCTGACCGTGTTGCAGGTGACTGAGACATCTTATCCTACCTATTCGCATTTCTCCCATCCAAACAACAAGGATGTTTTATGAATCCCAAAATGTTTCTAAAAACCCCCAGTTGAACTACTGGGAATTTCTTTCCCAATAGACTTACTGATAGTAATACTACGCTGGTGTTATTTTTTTCTCATTAGTTTTACTTTATCAAAATTTATAAAACATGGACCTCGTAATTGATAAACATAGTTATTGATCAGTAGCTTTATTAAATAAGTTAAGAGAAAAAAAAATGTATTTTTTCCAAATGACAAACAATTCTTCTTACTTTTAACCTTTTTCATTACCAGAACCTCCTAGTTATGTATGGTACTTTTACAAACTACGTAGGTATTCTATCAATTACCTAGGTCTACATAAGAAGGCGACTATTGGGAGTTTTAGTTTCCTGGTATGTCTACTGGGTACAAAGTTCCCAGTGGTCTTACTAGTAAGTCTATTGGGAAGGAAATTCCCAGTAGTTCAACTGGTAAGACTGGACTGGAAAACGGGGAAATTAACCACAGATTCCCCGCCATTTGCCTTTTATAAGTTGTTTTAATTCTTCAATAAGTAGCCAGAGCGGTTGTGTTCCGTAACTCGGAAATAAGGCGCCAAAACCACAGATGCATCGGACCGAATGTGTGTAGAAATGGCACCAGAGCCAACTCAACGGCTGCCAGTACCAGTATCTCTCTTAGATCTTTGATTTACTTTAAGGCTGCCTGTCCACTGGAGCGGAGAAACGTAGAAATATTAACTAATAGGCTTGCACAAAATCTGTCCACCTAAGAGGAGCGAATTTTATTGGTTAATATATCTCCGTTTCTCCGCTCAGCGCTCCGCAGCCTCGCTCGGCTCCAGTGAACATGCAGCCTTAATTTGATTAATAAACAGTTATTCGTCGACGTAGGTGTGCAATTGGTTCATTAATGCGCGCCGGCGTATCTTGCCGGAGATGATTCGGCGGGAGGGCCACGACCCGCTGCACTACACGATATCGCGGCGCGGACGCAAGCAGCCGATGGCGCCAGGGGTGGGCTCCATCATCGGCCTCCCTGGGCCCTCTGCCTCGGGAGTCACGCTAGGCCCCGGCTCCAGCGTAACCGTCACTTCGTGGGATGGAGTCGTTGTACAGGTTTGATTTGATTACGTCATTGGTCTCCTAAAACCATACATCTCTAGCTTCAATGTTTCACATCTTTCAGCTTTCTAGGCGTCCCGCGGCGACGTAGTTACCTATTTAAATCAAAGCGAGCCTAAATAACCCCCCTGATATAAAGCGGCTACCACAACCTACAGTCGCTTGCAATACCGTACAGTATTATACATCATCATCATCAGCCTATTAATGTCCCCACTGCTGGGGCACAGGCCTTCCCTATGGATGGAATAGGGAGATAGGTGCATGACCCACCACGCGGGCCCAGTGCTGATTGGTGGGTGCTAACGACTGCAGATGCAACCGGCACCAACGGCTTAACGTGCCTTCCGAAGCACGGAGGAGCTCGAGATAGTAAATTTTTGGTCACCCATCCAATGACCGACCACTGCGAAAGTTGCTTAACTTCAACGATCGCAGCCGAACGCGCTAACCAGTTGCGCCATCGAGCTCCTCTCAGTATTATACATCAGGGAATTATTCCCATCCATAGGCGCCGGCTCCAGGGTAACCTTCGTGGGATGGAGTCGTGGTACAAGTTTGATTTGATTACTTTATTCTCTGGGTCACATAAGAACTGTACTTCTAATATGTCACATGTTCCAGGCATCCCGCGACGCCATACTTTTTGTATGAAAAGGATGGCAAGCGAGCATATGGTCCGCCTGATGGAAAGCGAGTCGCTCCCATAGACTACATACCCTTGCGACCGTGCACTTTCTTATGTCGCAAACGGAAGTTGTAATTTTTTCGTAGAATGGGATTGTGAAAATTAAGCAAATCTCGAAATGGTCGGCTCTGGAATAGAAACCCAAAATTTTACAAGGCTTCGAAATACACGTTAAGTTGAATGAGTTGGTCTCGGCTGCGCTCGGCTGAGCGGCAGATGCAGTCGTTTTCAACTTGGGCGGGAGTGGTATCTCTACGAGTTCGTGATTCTGTCCACAGCAAAGGCCTTAAATATATATTCTAGCTTTGTGGGGGCATAAATATCCTTTTCTGATCATCATCGTAGAATGGAGAACACGTTCGCAACCACGGCTTCGGCGACGGTCTGCTGGTGTACCGCAGCGAGGGTGACGAGCTGGTAGACGCTGAGGAGGGGTACTCCAGCGCCCTGAGCGAGGAAGAGGTGAAATACGACCCCTCCGTGTGGCAGTCCGTCATACGCTACGCCCCGGACGACCGCGACTTCCACCCGGCTACTAGAGGGTGGGTTTAGGTCAACTTGCGTGTTGATTTGAGCATTATTTATGATTCTGTTAAAAAGGACCACTCCAGCGCGTTCAGCGAGGAAGAGGTCAAATACGACCCCTCGGTTTGGCAGTACGTCATACGCTATGTCCTGGACGACCGCGACTTCCATCCGGCTACCATAGGGTGGGTTTTGGTCAAATTGCGTGTTGATTTGAGCATTATTTATGACTACCTGTACCCCGTGGTGATGCCCGCGGTTTATTAGGCATATTTTCTCGTATTAAAACGTAGCCTATGTGTTAATCCAGGGTGTCAGCTAACCCCATACCAAATTTTATTAAAATTGCTCCAACAGTTTAAACGTGAAGAAGTAACAAACATACGCACTCACAAACTTTTGCCTTTATATTAGTGTGATTATGTTGAAGAGGACCACTCCAGCATGCTTAGCGAGCAGAAGGTAGAGCACGAACTCCAGGCAGTCCTTCACACGCTACGCCTCGAATGACCATGACTTCAGACCAACTTTAACTTGCGTTTGATTAAATTGTGCATAAATTTTGCTTTTGTGTTGAAGTACACTGGGGTAATGCAATAATGTCTAACACGTCATTTTGACTAAAAAGTGCTCATAACCGCTAAATTTTACATCAGTCTCTCCTTTCATTCTGTATAGAGAATGACAAGTATGCAATGTTGTTAAATTCGAGTTTAAGTTTAGAGAATCATGCCAGAACCAACACCGTAGTCATATCACGCAATTTGATGTGTTAGCTCCAGAAGAACCACAGAATTAGGACAACGCAGTTTGTCAGATATTGTCCTTTATTTTTTGTTCATTATTGTTTTTAAAATTATTGTTCTATCTTCTTAATAAAGCGTTCCTCAATGTAATGCACTGAATTTGATAGAAATGAACAAGGTTAATTGAGTTTGACAAAAAACTTAAACATTCATAATAATAATAATTTATTCTCAGACAATATTGTACAGTCCATAGAATGTAAGTAACAATGTGCCTTAAAAAACTATGTTAGTAAAGTATAAAATAGATTACAAATAAACAATATGATCCTACCCTGCTGGAACACAAGGCACCCCCTACATGTGCGAAGCCCCCGTCGCATGCAAATGCAACCAGTGTTTATTTATTTATTTTTATTTATTTACTCTGTATTGTTATTTAAAACAAATGGCGGACTAAATGCCAGATGGCATTCTCTACCAGTCAACCATCGGGCTAAGCAGAGACAATTATGCGGTAAAGTAAATAAAAGCAAAAGGTGAAAGGAAAAAAATATATAAAACTACATGATACTTAATATAAAATTATAATACATAACATCTATAAATATACTTACATAACTACATATATATACATATTTATATATACGATAAATACATAAATATATACAATAATAAATACCTCTATACTTACTTAAGAATACTATAATAAAACAAAATACAAATAATAATAAAATATAATAGAAATAATATTAATATTAGTGGAGTGTGTAACAACAACAACAACAACAACAGTGGAAAATCCCACCTATCAACTAGTGCCGACAGGATGCTGTTGGTGCTGCCACGTATTCTGCTCAGCAGTGCCGCGCAGCGTTTCCTGATTATGGCATGAAAGCCGTCAATATGCACATCTGCGAACATACTTGAGGCACTACAACACCACGGCAAACCCAACAGCACCCTGAGAGCATTATTGTACTGGACCCGTAGTGCGCTGTAAGCCCTCTGTGTAAGTCGGACCCACAGGCTACACGTGTAGAAAGACTGGCATTACGCCTAAAAACACTGCCGAATTTAGGGGAGGGCAACCGGGGCGAAAGCCCCGGGGCCTCCAAAAACGGGGGGCCCCCACTTCGGAAAAAAAAACTTTCAAATTCCAAGTAGTAAACACTAGTAAACATCTTTTCCTTTGGTATTTTTTTTGCTCTTTTACCTTTACCCAGGGCCGAATTTAAGGCAGGGCAGGTGGGGCTGTGGCCCAGGGGCCTCCACAACAGCTTAAGAAATGACAACATTTCAATGGGTCAATAAGCATACAAATCCTAAGTGGCCCGGGGCCTCCACAATCCTCAATCCGGCCCTGCCTAAAAGGGATTACAAATCAACATTTATTGAGCGTGCTGTAAAATTACTAACAACGCCCGCGCAATTCCCTTAGAACTGCGGCCGTCGTTACAGTTACGACGCCTATGGAGCTAGCTCAGCAGGCGAGCGGGGCCGTGACGATGGCTAGGGACGGGGGTTGGCACTCGCACTCGGTGCAGCTGCCGCCGCAGATGCCGCCGCTGGCGCTGCCGCTGCCGCCGATGCCGCGCCGCATGCAGGTAGGCACGCCACCGCCACCAGCACCGCCCGCTCCCGGGCCGGCGCCGCCGCCGCCGCCGCCCGTCGCCGTCGAGCTGGAGGTCGCCGCCACCGACGTTTGGTGCCACACTTACTCCCACGACAAGGACGACAGTTAACTCGCCCACTCTAAGGGTACGGGTGCGGCCAGAGTGCACTCAGATTTAGATTCAGACTCAGAAAACAAGCGCGAGAAATATACAGTGGTGTCGATTCTAGCTTGATTCTCTAAACCTAAACTTAAATTTGACAGCAGTATATCCTTGTCATTCTCTATACAGAATGAAAAGGAGAGACTGATGTTAAATTTAGTTTTAAGTTTAGAGAATCACGTCAGAATTGGCACCAGTGTAGTTTAAGCAGGTTGCCTGCTGCCACTATGGCCACCCTGCGTTAAGTACACTGTTTATTTCTCGCGCTTGTTTTTTGAGTCTGAATCTGAATCTGAGTGCACTCTGGCCGTACCCTATCCACTACGCGCGTGTGCGAATCTATGTTTGTGTACCGGTTACTAATGACTTATTAGATGTTAACCTGCTTTTAAATGTAACACCGATTTTTTTTTCATTGCACGCTTGCTGTTCGATTTTAGACGAAGTCGGTGTTAAAACACATTCCGTTTTCCTTGATGAGAGTTGACATATTCTTTACATTCCTATAGCTCTGTAAGAAGCATTGACTTTTGTAATTTTTAGTTCGTTAGCAATTGAACATGTCCGGGCGCAATGTATCGAGATCGAATCGGATTAAAAGAAGCGATCCCTTCAGATATTTATGTAGCGTACGACAATGATTGTTATGTACAAATAAATATCTTCTTTCTAGATCTGCTTTTTCACTTGTAGTCATTCAGAGGGAAGGGTTAGTGTTTTAATACCGGCATCACCTGATCTGTCCAATTTACTGCGACTAAGCAGCGCCTTTGATACACTTTGAGATTTTGAAAGCCGTAAGAACTGCCTGTGAGAGTCGTTATTCTGATGGCAGGTGGTGCCGGGCGAAGGGGAAGGAGAGCAGTTTAAATGCCTCTACCTCCTCGTGGAGACCGCGGTTGCCGTACGTCAGCGGGAAAAGGAACAAGAGGAGGCCATTCTCCCGATCTAAGTTTAAAAAGTTAAGGAACAGTTAGAATAAGATTAACAGATAGGATAATATGAAGTTCAAAGTAATTGTTTGCCCCTATGGATTTTTATACATACTTAGTTAAAACTACTGATGGCCCTCGTTTATTAGATAGACATAGAGAAAAAAACGTAGGTGTAAGGATAATTTTATTATTCTCTAATTTGCGGAAGAACCCAAAGTTGTAAATTTGCCGGACGTCTGTTCAGACGTCTCAATGTTGATTAATAGTAATGAGTTCTACACACAGAAAGAGGTTTGAAGGGTGATCATAGACCGTTTGTACGGGAACCGATGTCGCCGGCTCGCCCCACTACACTTTCACCTAATAATAATAGCCAATTAAACGATCGAATCAATCAACGCTCACATCCGTGAGTGACGACGCAAGCCTAACCAAGTTTTGGTCAAATTATGAGCATTTGCTCACACAACTGTGGCGCGCCTGCCCCGCCCACAAGGCCATTCCAATCTCTTTCTGTGGTTCTACATCAGTTAGTTCTGTTTAAGCTTGACCGTGAATAGCATGTAAGTCGATATATTTTGTTACATTCTGGGCTAAATAAATCTAATGTTAATTCAACGGATATTTCTCAGTTTAAAACAAAAAGCATGAGTCGTCCCGTTGTTTTACTGATATGAACGACGTATGAAATAGAATACCCATGAACACCTCAGGGGTGAGGCTGGTGAAGGTGCTCCATGGAACAACTTAAGAGTGGAAATCAACCAGTGGCGTGTACAACTAGTAAGACGGAAAAGTCTCGTCAATTCGGATGAACGGACTAACATAACCACACCCTCGAACTCCTGATACAAGGCCGTCACCCAGACTATTGAGCCGCACTTTGCGATTAATCTCAGCATCAGTAGTTTGGTGGTGTTAAAAAACTTTTGCAAGACAATCATCTACTCCTTATTCCAATAGCAGCAGTTAGAACCAAATGGGAAGTTATCATTGGCATATGAAAATGGCTTTAATCAGAAACATTAGGTACCTGAGGCACATACACTAGGAGTCCTGCCAAAGTGGTCTTATTACCATTAAGGTCCTATTATCGGAATATCCAGTCGGATTTTTAGGTCTATTTCTCTGAACGTCCACTACCTGGAACGTCCGCTACCCGGAACGTCCGCTACCCGGAACGTCCACTACCCAGACCGTCCACTACCCGGAACGTCAGCTACCCGGAACGTCAACTTCCCGGAACGTCCACTTCCCGGAACGTCCACTTCCCGAAACGTCCACTTCCCGAAACGTCCACTACCCGGAACGTCCACTACCCAGAAAGTCTACTATCCGGAACGTCCACTACCCGGAACGTCTACTACCCGGAACGGCCGCTACCCGGAACGTCCAATACCCGGAACGTCCACTACCCAGAATGTCCACTTCACTGAAAGTATTTCCCTAAAGGATAATTTCCCTGTGAGTATATTTCCCTTAACGTACACTTTCCTGAACGTCCATTTCCCTGAAAGTCCACTTTCCTGAAGGTCTAAACCTAGAATTCTAGGATAAATATTTTAAGTTATCTCAACAAGCATTATTATGGTTTAGGGTTCTGTACCCAAAGGTAAAAACGGGACCCTATTACTAAGACTCCACGGTGATGGCTAGACAGACGATGTATTTCTGCTGCCGCTTTTTAGGGTTCCGTGGCCAAATGGCAAAAAACGGAACCCTTATGGATTCGTCATGTCTGTCTGTCTGTCCGTCCGTATGTAACAGCTACTTCTTTCCGAAACTATAAGAACTATACTGTTGGACCTTGGTAAGTAGATGTATTCTGTGAACGGCATTAAGATTTTTACACAAAAATAGAAAAAGACCATAAATTTTGGGGGTCCCCATACTTAGAACTGAAATTCAAAAAAATATTTTCATCAAACCCATGTGGTGTATCTATAGGTGTAGGATAGGTCTTTAAAAATGTTATTGAGGTTTCTAATATCATTTTTTTTCTAAACTGAATAGTTTGCGTCAACACTTCTAAAATGGTAAAATGTGTGTCGTCGTCGTCCCCTGTAATTTCGAAAATAAGAGAAAACCGCAATTTACACTATTTAAAACATCAATCAACGTTACAACGAACTACAAGAACTTTTTTAATATGTTATTTGCTGCTACAGAACCCTTCATGGGCGAGTCCGTTTCGCACTTGGCCCCTTATTTTTAATTTTAGGAGGCATACGAGCTGAAGACGGCTCGCCCATAGACACCTGCAACACCAGGAGCATGCAGCAAATCGCAGGATTCATGACTCTGTACATCCCATTTGTTTATGGTTGTTGTTTCTACCAATCTTACTACCAGTATTAACACCGTTTAATTTGATTTATGAGGAGCTCGATGGCGCATGTGGTTAGCGCGTTCGGCTGCAATGGTTGAAGTTAATCAACTTTCACAGTGGTCGGTCATTGGATGGGTGACCAAAAATATCTATCTCGAGTTCCTCCGTGCTTCGGAAGGCACGTTAAGCCGTTGCTCCCGGCTGCATCTGCAGTCATTAGCACCCGCCAATCCGCACTGGGCCCGCGTGGTGGGTTATGGCCCAATCTCCCTATTCCATCCATAGGGAAGGCCTGTGCCCCAGCAGTGGGGACATTAATAGGCTGATGATGATGATGCTGAATTTTATTACCCTTCTTACTTCAGTTCGAGTGGTGAGAAAGGAAAAATTAAAAGTTACCACCGCGAGTACACTTGGTCGTTAGCCCGAATACGAGTGCCAATGGAATAGGGTATTTGACAAGTTTGTTTTACTAATGTTTATGGTTTCCATAAAAAGGATAATCATCATTCTTTTGAGTATTTCAGTAAAACAATCAAAGTAAAAAAAAATATCCATTTTCAAGATGCCGCAAAAACGTTTCTCTGGACAATATGGCGTCTCACTAGTATGTGACGTCACATGACTGTAATTAAAACGTCAAACGATACAATGTAATGTCACTTTGACCAGAAGATTACTAGCGTGTGACGTCATTTAGTCTTCGCCAATCCGAGGCGTTTTCGGTCCCGTGACCACAAAAGAAAAAATCGTTCCTATTTAATGTTTTTTAGAACATTTATTAACATTTTGTTCCCCCAGAATAGTAAAATCGTTGCTAATATTCATATAAATTACAAATAGACTCTATGCGGAAAGAGAATGGGATTTAGATTGGAGGGCGCTGTAGTGCTTTTCTACCGTATTTGTAAGGTTTTACCCCTTTTAGACATGATTAAATACAAAAAACCGCAAGAAATCACAACAATAAACAAATCCGTATCAATACAAAACTTTGAAGTTTTACAGATTGCTGGTTTTGATTACCAAATAAAAATCTTAATGTTAGTTCCGTTTTTCGCTAAGCATATTCTCTTTCCGCACAGACTCTACCAACAATTGGTATTTATCATACTATCAAACAGCCTATTCGGGTAAACGACTAAGTTTAAATGAAAGGAGTCAAGTACGCTCGAATTCGGGTAGATTTCCTTTTGTTTATCCGACTCACCGTTTTCGTTTTTGTTAACCGACACCGTCTTCCAGCCCGTATTCCACTGTAAATATTGCATCGGGTGCCCGAATTCGAGTAATGTCTTTCGTGTACCCGAATACAGGCTAACGACCAAATGAATTTGCGGCTTTAATAAGTTTTCTATTTAAAAAAAACATTATTCCGGAAAAAAGTACCAGGAGACCATACATGTCTAAGAGGTTCTGTAGGCCTATTCGCCATCTGCTTTTGACAGATGGTAGTGATAATCACCGAAATATTTAGTGATCCACTACTGCTTTATTATAACGCAACTAAGATACTTGATCTGAAAAGCGTCGATGGATATGCAATTTTCTCTTTAGTTACCATTAGTCGAAACTGAAAATGCCAGAAACGTTAGCTGGTTATGAAAATGGAGAATATCTGATATGAATTATGAATAAGAATTTCTTTTCACTGTTTCATAACCAGAACCTTTTAGTTACGTAATTTATTCGGAATAACGTTTTTTATATGGAAAAGTAATTTGAGAAAATAGTTACTATGCCATTCATGTTTAATTTAATTATAAAAACACACTTGGCGCCATTTGGAAATGCGCACAATTTTCTTATTAGAAAAAGTTTGATTTATTACTCAAATTAGGTAGGTACTTATACTGTTTTCTCCCAAATGTGTTGAATAACGTTGTTGGACATTACATTACATTCGTCTATTCGTTTGTAATAACCAATTTAAATAACTAATATCATAATTAACCATTATTAAAAAAAATAAAGTGCCGAAAATCTGAAAAGCAGAAAATAATAAACCTTTTCAACACACTGACTCAAAAAATGCATTTACGGAAGTTGCACAAACTGCTCGACAGTTCACAAGTACGAGTCATCCAACGGAGCATGCGGTAAATCATTTAACCGCACACTCTCATACATGGCGCCGTCTGTGCGCATTCTTCACGGTTTTTTTAATTTTGGTCGAATCTACTTGGAAGCACTAATACAAAAAAAAGCATATGCGTTTTGGGACGCACGACAGAAGTGAGATAGGAAAAAGGGGATTCGAGGATTAAAAGGGATTCGAGGTTGAAAAGGGGGATTACATGGTGAAAGGGATTCAAGGGTGATAAGGGGATTGTTGGGTGATAATAAGGGATTGGTGGGCGATAGTGGAGATTGATGGGTGATAATAGGGAATTGGTAGTATGGTAGGTATAAGTACTGTTTCCTCGCAAATGTGTTAAAAAGCGTTTCATGAGGTAAGCGTCATTGGTTCAAAAAATCCTAACAAACAACAAAAACCATAAATACATTGAGTTGCTCAAGCGCCAAAATAGTACTCAAATTCTTCACGAAATATAAATAGATCGACGCAACGATGTATAACTCATTTTCGACCAAAGTGGCGTATACAATAAGTGATTTTGTCTTTCCACTGTCGATATAATAAGTCCATGGTTACAAACCATCTATTATTTCTAAACGACATCAGTCTGTCCTTTTCATTCCGTAAAAAGCATGATAAGGACAGACTATTGTCAAGTTTATAAATAGCAAACACTAATAGCCAAGTGAAGTGCCGGTATAAAAGGTTCTACGCAACTGTTTCCGAACGCAATTTCATAGATCATGGTCGATGAGAATCGAACAGACTGGCGCGAAATTTAAATTAGCCAATCACGACTCGCATTTTTCTTGTCAGAAAAAAAGAAAACATTTCATAGCTTACCGATTTTACTTCACATCCTGTCTCTGCTCTGAACCGTATTTCTTTGAATTCAAAGAGTTTGAAATAACTGTTAAACAACGGCGTTCATAAAAAGCGAATAAGTTGTTAATAAGTCGACTGTATAACGAGTATTATTTAAAGTTGACCGGCCTTCTACAGAAAGCAGACGTCTTCAAAGCCAAAAACCACATCTAAAGTTATCAAGTTTCTTTGTTGTTGTTGTGCGACCCAAACAATGGAAGTTGAAACTAAATGTAAGTTTTGAATTATATTTTTATTTTGCCATTTTCAATAAAACAATGCCATTCATCGTGTTTTTAAATATTAAAATGATATTTTTCTAAATTATTTGACAATGTAGAATTTATTTTTGAGAAGGACACAGGTTCACCATGAATGAACTAGTTATTAAAGGGAAATTTACAAAACTGATAAAGATTGACATTGCAAATTAATATCGAAAAGGCTAGGTATTTATTTGTTATTTAAAAATAAATTTCGTTAAATACTAGAATCTTTTAAATCTGTATTTAAATAAAAATTATGATGTTCATTATCTAGCAGATAAAATATGTCGCTTTAATGTAAAAATTCAACAATATTAATTTTATTGTACTAATTTGTCAGTGGTTATATTTAAATATTCTGTCACAATCTTTCTATGTGCATTAAGTTGAAGCGCTGCAAAAGTAAATTATATTTTCAGTGACCTGATTCAAACCTTTTTTTAATTTGATACTGACACCATCTTTAAATATGTATGTTTATTTTTTTGTTATAATTTAAGTTCAAGTATTTAACATTTTTCTTGTACCTACCTATTTCAAAATTATTTTTAAAAATCAAGTTTTACCCTCCTTTTTTCAAATTAACTGTTGGTTTTAAAACTTGGAGAACAAATAACACCAAAACTCAATAAGCTAAGATCTATATAAAATATTGGTTAAATCTCACTTCAGCATTTCTATGGTGTGTGTGCATTAAACATTATTTTGTTAAACTGAAAAGTTTATGTTAGAATAGACTAGCCGCTATTATATTCTCTGAGTGTAGTAGTAACACCAGTAGTTAGGAAAACCATTCCCATAATATTATTATTAAAAAAATCTACAAACTTAATTTCTCATATTATTAATTAAATTTCAAATTACTTAGTGAACCTTTTTATGCTGCACTGAAGATTAAATGAAGTCCTAAAATATCCTAGGTGTCAATTTGCCCATGAATACAGTGAAGGCCTGTCATTGCACAGGAGAATTCAGGTAACAATTAATAGGCTATGTGTAAGGCCTGGGCCTAGGGGTGTATTTTGAAGTCTGGCGCCCCAGGCCATATATGATTTCCACCCGAACCCGCCCCCCTAGAATTTGCAAATTAATTGAAAATGTAATTCAGTAATGAATGCCTTTGTATCGATTCTGCTGCCTCTCATAGCTCTTGCAGCCATACCAGGCCTTGGCCCCTTTTGGCTCCAGGGTACGCCTCTGTCTGGGCCATAATAAGAATAGGGAATTAATTACGACGCAATGAGGAAAATGAAAAAAAGTGCTAAAGAAAGACAAAAAAAATAACACATTTTGTTGATAACAATAAATGATTAGTCTAGATTCCATACATTAGACAGCCCCAACACATATAACCCACCTGATGGTAAAATATGCCATCGTACCTTATAGACACTTGCGATACCAAAGTATCACTTTCGCCGATGTTTACCCTGACTATCCTATTCCCATCCTTTGTTATCATCCCCTTGTCTCCCTCATTGTCAGAAACACGACACCAACAAACGGTAGGAACGTCCCCAACGGGCGCTCTAATTTGAGCGATAAATCCGCTATGCCCTACCTGTAATAAATTAACAAAATATTTGCACTTACGTATTTGTAAACCGTGCCTACTATTTTTGGCAAGTTCAGAAGTAAGTCCATATCTACTAATATAAGAAATGCGGAAGTAAATTCTGTCTTTCTGTTATATTTCCTTTTTACATTACGGTTTAGTGTGAAAGCATTACAGATTTTTTATAAATTATGTTATGGACGTTGGAGAAGGACAGGATCATTTTTAAACCGCCCCGGAAATAAAGGACTGAAATAGGAACCTCTAAGGGGCTAGTACGATATAATAAAAATAGTTTAAAAAAATAAAAACTAAAATTAAGTAATGATAATATTTCGAAAAACGTTAAAATAAAATGTACTATTTAAACAAAGATTTCCATATCAGTATTAAACTTGTAGGTACTTATAAAGCTTACGTCAACAAAAAAGTCCGTTAAACGGGTCGCAATTTATCATTGAACTCGTCCGATTGTGAGAGTTTTTGTTTTTCTACGAGTTGTGTGTCATCTCGGTTTGGATTTAAACTGGCGACGGTTGCAAGGACGACCTGCACACCAACGGTCGAGTTGGTGACTCACGCGCATCTTCCGCGCCGGCTGCGCACTACTATTTCTATATTTGTACTGTAAGTACTCTTCCTTTTTTAGAATGTTCTTCGTAAGAGTACGACAATATGTGGCCGCATTTGGTAAGGAATTCTTCATAACTACCTACTCAAATTAAACTTTGCAATTATGATTTTCGTATACCAACGGTCAACGGAAGAATTAGAAAGCAAGATAAACAAGGCGGTTTAAATAGAATTAACTGATATTTCAACTCAATTTTCTCATTCTGAATGAATCACAAAGGAATGTAATAAGTATGTGATCATTATTTGTTTGTAGCTTTTGTTCGTGACCAATGAACCTAAGACATACGATACATTGAATTGGGAGCACAGCTGTAATAATTCTGTCGCCACAGTTATACGATCTATTTGAGTTAAAGTTTAATAAGTTTCTGAGAGGTTTACTCTACAAAGAACTTATTTGGGCTTTCATTAACGGTCTGTCGTACCGGGTGTAAAATATTGGTTCCCTCTAAAGCGGGGAAGCAATCGGGTTTCTTGGAATGAAATGCCCAATTAGAACTGTTATTAACTAGACAACGAGGTCCCAATCTTAAGAGGGGCTGTGATTAAAAGTAGAAAAGTGAAAACAGCCATCACCCCTCACCTTGGAAATGCCAATACCAGTCCTATGGGACGATGTAATTTTTCGTACCGCGCCGCCTAACGGCCCATTCCAGGCTGTAACTTTATACATTCATTTGGTAGAACGACGTATTCGATCCGCGATAGTATTATTCCGAGGGTCGCGTACTTACCTCGCATTATCAAGACTAGAAAGAATATTGTGCCGACGTTGTATCCCGCCACGCCCGATCAGTAAATATTGACCTTGGAGCCATTGTCCGTATATCGGTCTGAACAAAAGCGTAATTCCTGATAAGTAGTTGACTGATGCCCGTCTGTCGATTCCTTGTAACGTGTTCTCTTGATTAAATGGTTGGCAAGCTTGTCATTCGTTGTTTCAGCCGAAGAATTTCTGTTACCCCATTTCTTGATTAAAAAGGGGAGGGGGGAATTGCGATGTTGAGAGACTTGAGGAATCGCGAATTCTCTAAGTAAATGTAATCTGTTTAACAGATCTTATTCGTTCGGCCTACACAAAAAATGTCACTGGGGTGTTCCGTTGTTAACTTTCACTGTATCGCATTACGCATCTTAGTATTATAATCGGTCACGCTGATTGCTGGAAAGGATGGTCCACATGTCTATTGATGTGTTATTGTGAGCGATCAAATGTAGTGGTGCTGTCCTCCTACACGCCTTTCAGATTCCCGTTCTGCGGCGCTCTCTGTGCCAGTTGCCGGTATGCAACGAAAGCTCGTTTTACGTGTAATGTTGCCACAAAAGGCAAGATGTGGGTGGCATCAATTGCGCAGCCCACACACCCGTACAAAACTCACTAGCTTAGCTATTTTGAATTTACTTTTTATTATAACTATATCACTATGTCATCAATGATGAGTAATACCTACTTTATAAGATTCTAAAAAATAAGGTCATTATTGTTTTATTACTCTCGCTCAGTTCATCGTGTTTTAAACGAGATAGATTTCATTAAACGTTAGTCGGGTCCAGCGCGTATTCTGCCCTACACAATTAACAAAGACATATCAACATTCAATAAAATCTTCTACACAAAATTTTGTTTCACTAAACATATTTGTTTGGATCAACAATGTTTTTGCTTTCCGAGACCGATGCAAAACACGTAGGTACACAAATCCCAATCGCGCGGGTCAAGGGGCATGGTATGGTTTCAATGGTATTTTTTTTTAAACTCGCTAGCGGGGGTTCCGTTCTAAACCTACGCTCAGTGTACAACTTTCACTCTGAAGTTGCAATTTTAACATAAAATGTACGAAACTTTTGACAAATTTTGCAGTTGTTGCGCCTGGATCGTAGTTTTTGAAGGCAGCCCTGTGTAAATCTAAAGAAAAGTTTACTAGAGAAAAATCCAGGCAGACCAGGCAGCGGACGGGACTTGAACCCGCACCCTTCGCAATCCGGGCGAATGCACTGACCATTATGCTACCACGGCCCTATTCGCCGCGTCGAAATTTTCCTAGCCTTAAGCCATTAAGCTGTATGGCAGCGCCATCTCTTCGCATTGTAGGTAACCCACAATGTCAAATAAATACTTTTTCAAGTATTAAACATTTGAAAGAAGAAATAGCAATTATAGTTATGTTTTTATTTATTTTTAAGCATTTAACTGCTAGATGTTTAAATCTAAAGAAAAGTTTACTAGAAAAAGATCCACGCGGACCAGGCAGCGGACGGGACTCGAACCCACACCCTTCGCAATCCGGGCGAATGCACTGACCATTATGCTTCCACGGCCCTATTCGCCGCGTCGAACATCTAGCAGTTAAATGCTTAAAAATAAATAAAAACATAGCCCTGTATATTTTGTGTACGACAGCCACGTGAGCAGTAGACGTCGTTTGTAGAGAAACATGTTTTTGAAACAAAGATTCGGTTATGTGTTTTTGTTGGATGTTTTCAAAACTGTTGTTGGGATCCTTCTGTTAATAGGCGACATTAATTTACAATTTTGTTTTAAATCTGAAATAACTTTCTGACAAGTTGATGATGATTGACGACCCTTTATCTAATTAGGAACTAATTATAGCTTTTCTTAAAGTATGAAAAAAGCAAATAGGTATGTCTTATAAGTGTAAATAAAACTGCGTTTATTGTACGATAAGATGATTATTATAGCGTGCGTTGTAGGCAAACTTATCTGAGACATTGCACTCGTCGGGTCATCAAACTCCTTTGTTTTCGCTGTCACCGA